GTGTGCGCGCGCGCAGGCCACCGGCCAGCCGCTACCCGCGCACGTGTTTGCACATGTAAGGCGTACACCACAAATACCGAACACAGACATGTCCTATAGTTTACATTTCATCATGACTTGCGAATCGAAACTAACTAAATGATGTGTTGCACAGGTAAACGGCAAGCCAACAAATATAACTGGTCGCGGTGGCCGCCGTCACGTTATCTCGTGGATGGACGCCCCCGACGACCTTTACTTTAGGGCGACAGAGGCGGCCAAGTGAGTACCGTATTGATATGATTAGTAACGAGCTTGAAAAACTTGCAAGGTGGATACAGGCCAGGATATTGAATGTTTAATTAAATTTCAGGTCTGCCCGGCGAACGTTGAGCTGCGGAGAATTGCGGCGCGGCGCCCGCGCGCCGTGGCGAGCGATGCGCGGTGGGGGCGCGGCGGCGACGGGCGGCGCGGGCGCAGGCGCCGGTGTGGGCGGCAAGGCGGCGGGCGCGGGCGCGGGCGCGGGGGCGGGCGCGGCCGCCGCGCCGCCGCTGCAGCTCGTGATCCTCGACTGACAGGAGCCGCCGCGTCCGCCGCACCCGCCGCACCCCTACACCATGGAGGCGCTGCTCGGCTGAGCGCGCCGGCCCGCCGCCCGCTCCGCCGCCGCGCGCCACTCCCCGCTCGCCCGCCGCTCGCGCCTGCGCTCGCGCTCGCGCCGAACGCTCTGTTGTATATTCGTGATGTAAATAATCTCTCGCCGCGCCCCGCGGCCGGCGCCGCCGCCGCCCGCCGCCCGCCGCTGCGCCGCTCGAGGCCGGCAGATCGCGAGACGGTAAAAATTAAACGAAGATTGTATTTTTGGTAATCGAATCGCCGAGAATGGATTCTGTAGATAATATTTTAAACTATATTGTTCTTATGTGGTTTGATCTGGCGTCGAGCAAAATAATGTATTTGATACATAAAACGATATGTAAGTCTATTTCATTCGGAGATTCATTGTAGGATAATTTACAATTTTTTTCATAAATAAAGCACAAATTGAAATATTGTTTAGTTTGATTTTCCTCATTCGTTTTCTATGATATGAAAATCTCCGTCCTCATTGTGTCTTAAAATTTACTTGCAATTAGTAATCGCGTACGTCGTCTTCTGTTCTACTCTGGAAAACTCGCTCTACTGATTCTACAGTGATAAAATCCTGGTCACGGCACCTAAAGGTTGATGAAGACCCTACGATTTATTACAAATCTACTTAATAGCTATTTTTTGTATGTAGGTCGTCTTTTGTTGGCGTCCTAAATACGCTGCCGTAATTCTTTTCTAACCAATTCGATTTGAAAATAAGTGACATGAAAAACTACTTTGACCAGTCCTACTTCTAGTTTTTTTAAAAAGAAAAATAATTGTCCTGATAAAAATGTAGAAACGTCTAGCGTCGTATTTCACTGTACGAAACACAATAATTTCAAATTACGACACATTTGGAGGGAATAAAAACTGTTGGTATACATCTGATGATATAAAAATATATAATCATGTTTTCAAACTCTATCTGAAACCAGATAATTGATAATGCAGCTGAATGTAGCAAATCATTTTTATCTATTGAATCGTTACATAAATAGAAGTATGTTTTGGTTCTAAAATTAAATTCAGACACATTTATCTTAATTTAGTTCAAATTCTTATTTCCAAAATGCAAATATGGACATTTTTTTTACTATTTTTTATATTTTTTTTTTCTCTTTCTTTAAGTCAACAAAGAGTAGACAATAACAATATATATACACATATATCTAAATATCAATAATTTTAGTCCACCAACGGCGTTGGCCGCCTATTACCATAAAACAAAATATGCAAAATGGTTGTGTGCAACTACTTGTACAAAATCAAACTTACACATACATGAATGACAGAAATGTAAAGAAGTGCGTACCAGTGATCCACTCAAAATCAAATAACTTAAAAATTGATATTATAATATTTTAAAAATTAAAATTTATTTACCAGCAATAAATAAATACAACATCAACAACAAAATATCCTTCCTCCACCTTAAGTAGACCACCGATAAGTCTCCTGAATGCACCAACACGTTCCGAAATAATATCAACGGAGTTGAAATTTATAAGCGTTTACAATGCGATTAATGTAACCCCCGTTTGTGCGACAGAGTGAGGTAGCAAACAATTGATGTAGATTACGACAGTGAACCTTACAAGGAACTCTGTAACATAATTAGTTGTTGAGCTGAACACAATCATACCTGCAGTGACACAGGTCATACAAGAACATTGCCTCGAGTTGAATATGCCTGTTCTTCAATGAAAGCAAGTTATACTTAACTAATAATTGGTTGTATGATAAACGTCCATGAAAACATTTATAGTGTACATTACGAAGAAACTTTTTTTGGACCATCTCAAGAGCATATACTTATTTATCGTAGAAGGGATTCCACACAGGTACCGCGTACTCGACCTGAGATCGAATTAAAGACTTATAAATATGTAGAAATGTAGTGGGTTGTACAAAACTGACACATGAGCGCATGGCAAATCCAAACATCTTATAAGCTTTGTTAATTACATTATCTACATGTAGAATTGTTTATCTAGATTTACACCCAGATCTTTTATTTGATCAACAACGTCAAGTAGGCTTACTTTTTTTGTAAATATAATAGATTTGCATTTATTTAGACAATAATTGGAAAAATTTCAAGGTTTTCCTGAAATTTAAGATGATCATCATTACTATCAATTATATAAAATATTTTTAGGTCATCAGCATATAATAAAAATTTACAAAATTTAAAACAATCACCAACATCATTGATGAAAATCGGAAATAGGAGAGGACCCAGAATTGATCCCTGGGGAACTCCAGAGCTTACGTGTACAGAATCTGCCTCAATACCTTTTATTACTTACCTTCTGTGTGCGATTAGAGATGTAGGATTTGAACCAACGTCACAAGTTACCGCGAATACCATTGTATGCAAGTTTTTCAAGAAGCAATTTATGGTCCACCTTATCAAATGCCTTTCTGAAGTCTGTGTACACTACATAGTACATTTATATATAGTATTTTGCGTTATTTTGCTTATTGTTCTCAGCTAATTTTTGCATTCCAAACTGGGCGGTAAAAAATATACATTAAAAAATGCTTATAATTAAGTCTAGTAAAAATTAAATTATTAACTGTAGAACTTTCTTATTTTGATTGCTTACATCTCTTTGCTGTCCTGTTATATGTGACAGACCTGGTTTTAATAGAGCATGTCTTTCAAGCAGTAAATTTTTTACATTTGGCAGACTTAACTTCGGACGGTGTTCTCTACCAGTCAACTATTGAGCAAACCGAAAAATAAGTAGGCGGTGCATTATTGAATTGAAGAAATGTAATAATACTACATTCGTATATCATAAACATATATATAGATTAATATGTTTATATTAATCTCACACATATGTTAAATATATAGATAGAATAAATACATAAATGTTACGATAATACGAGGTCTGTCCGGAAAGTTCGTATAAAAGTGTTCTGGAATGCGAGAAAGAGGAGTGGGGAGGCCAGGTAAGCGCAGGACCCCTTCCTTATGTCCCTAACAATGCTTCAGTTCTGGTCTGACCGCCGTGCGGTGCGAACTGGCTTGTCACGCCATCTGTGAAGTTACCTCTTAACGAAACCCCGTCGGCATGGAGCCCGCTTCCGTTGAAGAGCAGCGCGTCGTAATCAAGTTTCTCTCGAAACTCGGCAAGAATGGCCGTGAAATTTTTGCCGATCTAATTCGATAAGACATCCGGGGAACCACGAACAAAAAAATCAAGAAAATCCCGCTCAAATGTCAAGACAATGTTGATTGTTTTTTTCGATGTTCGGGGGATTGTCCATCAAGAATTCGTCCCTCCAGGCCAGACAGTTGATGGAAAATTCTACGTCGATGTGCTCAGACGCCTCAAAGCTCGTGTGGCACGAGTTCGTCCAGAATTGGCGCGAGAGGGGCGTTGGATTCTTCACCACGACAATGCCCCTGCCCACACCTCTCTTGTTGTCCGTGAGTTTTTGAGTAAAAATTCCATTACGGTGACCGAACACCCCCCTATTCGCCGGATTTGGCCCCGTGTGACTTCTTCTTGTTCCCAAAAACCAAATTGGTACTTCGGGGGCGGCATTTGGGGGACATAAATGAGATAAAAAAAGCTACGACGGGGCAGCTGAGAAACCTACAACCAGAGGACTTTCAAGGAGCCTTCTCACAGTGGAAACGGCGTTGGCACAAGTGCATTATGTCACAGGGGGAGTACTTTGAAGGGGATAAAATTGATTTACCTGAATAATTGTAAAATAAAATTTTTAAAAAACTTTTATACGTACTTTCCGGACAAACCTCGTAAACAACTGTATTAGGAGAGCAAATAAAATAATCTATGACTAGAGTAACCAGCAAGGTTAAGTATTAAGGGAACATGAGAAAAAAATGGAATAAATAAATATATTATATTCATATTCCTTGTTTTAGCTATGAAATAAGTAAATGAATTTTTCTATTACTTTTTATCATATTGATTGACCACAATGTACTTATGTACCGGATTTATAACGGTCAGTCGAACAATTGGCATTACAGGTTTCGATTTATGACACGTGTAATTTTAAACTTATTTCAAAAAGTGTTTAAAAGGTATTTATTCTATTGTGGCCAATTTTAATTTTTTGGTAAGTGCCATCTTTATCTGAATGACATTCAGAAACCAACAAGCAATTCATTTCCTTGGGGAATTCATGGCAAATAACTAACCATAGGAGTTTGCCAAGAGACAATAGGGGTACCAATAACTAAACGGAAGGGCTAGAGGAAATATGTGCATTTTACTGTAAGTACAATCACATTCCAAAACTAAGAGTCGGACTAAACAAGAATTTTTTTCGAAAAAGAGGTTAAGTAAAAATTGAAGGGTAAGTTGAGTAGATACTGTATAAGTATTGAGTAAAAAAAAGACTATATTTGAAAAAGTTATATTTATTCGAGTACATAACTACATCTTATTATAATTGAATAATAACTATTTTCCGAGTGATAAATATGTTTTAAATTGATTTTAAGACACTGTATCCTCGCGTCTCACTTTAATCGAAAAGCTCTATCACATGCTTCGACGTGTGGTAATTGCTTGCATAGAAAAATATTTTTTATTAACAACAGTAAAACAACGTTGTTGCTGAGAGGAACCAGAGTTGTATATTCCTAAAATAACGTTATTCATATAAAACACGTATTGTCTAACTGTTGCGAGATGGTGTTTTTTAAGCAATCTGCGTTACTCAATCTCACTACAGTTAATACAAATACATAGAAAAATTCCAATGGCACTATAATGTACTTGAATCGTAAAGGCAAGTCAGGCGTCAACGCCTTAGTAAAGACGAGAGCACAAATATAGATCAAAATAAATGTCGCAAATAAATGTGCATCACGTGTCAATGTTTGGACCTTATAAGTACATAGTTGAAGTCAAACGGGCTTTTAAATCAGAGGGTCTACCATGTAATGAAATACTAAAATTTAAAATTTCGTATTTTTGTTCAAACCGAAATCAAGCCAGTAAATGAAGCTTAACGTTTTGTTCGTCATAAATCATGCCATAAAAGTCCAAAGGAACGATATCTCAATATTTTTAAACAGCATGTGTTATGTAATTTTAACATCTGTTTGTTTCGTTCGGCCTCGAAATTTCGGAAAACATTTCATAGTAGGCCCTCTGAGATCATAAATAAAACTGGTATCCAAACGAGTTTAAAAGACAGAATTATAAAATGTACTTTTTAAAGACAGGAATGACAGAGAATTTTATTGAGATAATTTAGCAGTAATACTTTCATTTATATGAATTGAGGAATTTGCGTCATCTATCTCTGTCTGTGTGTAAGAATTCTGAGTGAGGTGTTACTTTTGTCCATGAAAGATTTTATCATTTGTACACCTTCGCTTTGATGAATACTTGACTTTACCTAAAAAAAGCGAAATTGGAGATTTGCAATTTTGATACGCCTTCTCCAATTAATGCAACTAGTAAAGCCTAATACAAGTAATGGGCTTCGATTTTACACTTAATACTTATTTATAATTTTATTAAAATATAACAAATCCTGAATCATAAAGACTATACAACATATATTTGTCCAATATAATAAAAATAAAGAAACTTTAAGTAGCCGAGATAAATTTTGCGAGAGAACCTGAATAGATATCGCCAATGTTGCTACTATATTTTATTTTATCGAAGTCCGAATAATATTTAAATTCACGATTTTCTGGTAAAGGTAAATGGACATTTCGTGCCGAACGAGCCAAGATTTGTAGGAGTCTTTGTATAAAACTTCGTTCATCAATCAATAATATATCTAGTAAATCGATATATAAATTTATTCACGGCAATTATTTCTTGAATGGATAGGTGTGCAAGGCTATCTGATACTTGAACTCTTGTTCGTTCGACACTTAACCCTTCTTTGCATGATTTTTTTTTGTATTGGTGAAATAATTCAAAGTGATATAATTCATGTTCAAAATTAAAGGAAAAATGGTTTAAAAATAAATTTAACAGCTGTTTTTTTCTGCAATGGACATTAAAAAGGTATACAGACACGATCAATTTAAAGTGAACTTGTTCTTTGATATAATTTTTAGGCATTCAATGTTATGATGGAAATTTCCACCATTATTGCAAAAAAGGGTTAAAATTGCTCGTTGACAATAAAGTTGCTAAGCTAATGCAAAATTATTTCCGCCGTTCACAATTTAAAGGATGAGCATAGAAAAACCAAAGAGTATATTTGAAATTACGATTTTTTCTGCTCATATAAAATTATAACTTTAGGTATATCATAATCTTCTTCGCATTTTTTTTACATTGGTATTTTTTATATTCTAATAATAATATAATAATTTAATTTTCTGAAATCTATTCAGATTCTTGATAAATTTTGATTATTTATAAGATTTCTGACAGTAAAATTACCTTAAAGATCATGCAATTCATATAACTGACAACAAAAAATGTGTTGCTATGAAATGCATATTCTTGAAGGAAATAATAATTTGCAAAATGTAAATAATAATAAATAAGGTTCTCTCCCGAAGACATTACAACATTGGAATATTGTTGTTATCTAACTGTACTCAGAATTAAATTGAGCATCATCTATTACAGCTATACTTTACACTATATCAACTTTGTTGGCAGACAGATTGTTACAGTAGGCCTCCGATTACTCGACTATTTTATACAATTCCATTAATGATAATATTACATCAGAAGTCAGTCCCTTACCATCGTTTAACTTTCCTTATAATACATAACCCCATACTTCAACTAAATTGCAGTAAACTACCTCTATGATTTAATCTCAAAGCGATGAGCCGCGTGTGCGACGTCGTACGATGCGACGCGATGCGACGACGCGACCCGCGCTTAGCCTGCGACCATACACGTTATCTAGAGCACTTGACAATGCGCATTGGCTTCAAATACCTACTATATGTCACCGTCCGTCTTCCTATTTCGTAAAATACTCATTACAAAAATACTGTACAATTACAATAACTATTATTTGAAGGTAATAAATTCTTACTGATATATCGTAAGCGATTAATTGCTCTGATAAAATCTACGCCACACCTCCATCAATAATACACCATTCACAAATTATATACAATGTCTCTTATTTTAATATACATGTTACATAAACACACATCCAAATTTGATCCCAAAACTGTAGTCTTTATCTCGTTTTATTTTCTAAATTAAATAATGAGATCGAACATAAACATTATGGAATTTTGCAAATGAGTAAGGAACAGGTTCAATATTATATGTATAAATATAATATATTGCGTAAAGAGTAGAACACTCACTAGTAATACAAGTTATGTACTATTTTAGTAAATTTGGACGAACCCAGGTATTCCTTTTATGATTATTTTTTAGTTCATAAATATGTTCATAATATCTTTATTTCTCTCAAGGCACTGATCGTTAACAATTGATAACTGATTTTTTTTTTTTTGTATTTAGATCGTCTTTAATTTCTTATCCTAAAGTAATAGCCAATATTAAAATATTTCAGTAGTACAAATATGTCGTATGAAAATACACACAAGACTCTGCATACATACATCTATACTAAAATATAACTTCTCAGTGTAATATACATTAATTTGTAAATAGATTGTCGGACGAACAGTTGTCCGAAAATCACGATTTATACAAAAATATTTTTGCAATGATTGCAAAAAAGACATTTGTCATATAGTACATACAAGTCGCATCAGTACGATAAATACAATGGGTTAGGTGGGATGTAATTTTTGGACTTCTACACGCGCCAATCGTTCAGTGACATTGGAATGTTAATAGGACATTTTAGAGGACACCACAAGTTTACTGTTCGAACTTGTTCTTCAAAATTAGGTATGTATACATTTAAAATTAAATATTTTATATTGCAAATTTTATATTGCATAACTCTAAGTCTTTGATCGCCCCTCGAGCTACAAGCTTCTGTATGGAGTCTCACTTGCTTTCCCAGCAAAAAAGGTCGAATTCATTTATAAAGAACAATTTTTGTTTGTGTGCTCAGTCTCACGTGTCAGATTTGCGCCATTGCCAACCACTTGCTCAATGCTTCGACAGGTTCAGTGGCAAATCTGAAATATAAAAACAATTTTGTTATATTACAACAATGAATTAAACTAAACTAACTAAAGGCTACAGTATGAAGTTATTCAAGAAGAGGATTATTAAGAATCTTTCAGTGTCAGCAAATTCATTCATACATCAGATGGGCATTTTATTTAATGGGTCATAATGGAATGGTAACCCTACCTGCGCTATCGGTATACACCGGCGGGGCACCAGTAAAGGATGATAGGTGAGGATGAAACAGGTCAGTTAGCCCATCGTGACGAATTCAACGAGAAATTTTCACGATGGTTTCCAGAGGGAACCACGTGGAGGCCGACCTAACAGGACAAATTGCTAGCAATGGGGCTGTAAAACTCCATTGCTAACAATCCCTTTACCCCCCCCCCCCCAACATCAGCTGGGCTGTATGTTTATTTGCCACCTTCATAGTATAAAAATAAAATAGAGACCAATGTAAGTAACAGTAGGCTGTGAATAGCATAATCCAGTTATAATGGATTATAAAAATATTACATAAAAAAGAAAGGGTGAGATGACAACAATAATTAGTGCATTACGTTATAACCACATTATAGCAGAAACCAGCTACTCGGGTGGAATGCAATTAGCTAAATGTTTAACTAAATCAAAGCACAGTATAAATAATAGTACTAAAGTACAGTACCGACACTCCCTACCACCCTCTGCAATCAGACCTCACTCCGTCTCAAATACGTGTCAACGCCCAAACTCTAATCGATGTCTCTGTCCACGCTTCAGTTGCCGCCAATGTTAGAGAAAGAAAGAGGATACAATACTTACGAATTATAACGACGGTAACTAGCTAGTCTTAATTTTATTTTTAAATTGAGTTATTTAAAATCAACTACTAACTTTTACTGGAGGGAGACTTTGTACAAAAGTCGATTGCTTTGGTACCTCTGTCCCATTCGTGTTTCTACCGTGAAGCAGTTGTGTTTGCATGGCTATATTTCTGTTTGAAGGGTGGGATATGGCGTGAATTTACAGGGTACAGAGGAATAACACCTGAGTTCTCGGAAATAGCAATGCATGGGGAGTATCATGGGCGAAACTGATATACTCTGTTATGTCCATGGTACTGCTCATGTCTATAGGCGACGGTTACCACTTTCCATCAGGTGGGCCGTCAACTTGTTTGCCATTCTAAGTTGTATACAAAAAAAAAAAAAAACTACCATTGCATCGCAGTAACCGTGTGATTTTTTGGTAATGACTATTTAAAAATTATTAAAATTACTAATAAAAGAATTGTATAAGTTTTTAATAATTTAAGCTGTTTAAAAATAATAACTATGTCTTATAGACATAAAAAGTATGTATGTATGTACTAAGTATGATACATAGGTATCTCACAGAATAAACTGACAGCAATGGCACCTCTCATATGTTGCTATTACTGAGAACTAATGTGTGATGCATGCATGCAGATGCATGCAGAGCCGCTAATTTAAAACCTTTTTTTTAATGTAAAAATATTCATACTAGAGACTAGCAATAGTGACATAGTTATATATTAGTGGTGTGTTAACTGAAGTACACCTTCGTTATTTTCCAAAGATTCAATTAATTATTTTACAATAAATGCTGCACAACTTTTACAAAGTTATAAAACTACAAATTGTATTCTACTATAGATATGTATATCGAAAAGTGTTTTGCTCTTTTGAGGACAAAGCAATAAACCGAGTTGTGACCATTTTGTGTTACTATGGCACACGCATGAAACAAGGAAATTGTTATTTTACATATTTTGCTTTTTTTTGTTACTTTTTTATTTTTCATTATTGTATCTCTTTTTACTGTGCATGTCTGTATTATGTGTATGTCTGTATTGTTATTTATGCTGTAAGTAATACAAATAAATTATTAATAAATCTATCTAAAAACGCGCTTTTTCCCATACTGGCCATAACTACATTACTCACACATTATCACATGTGCAGAAATTACTTGTTTCTATAGTTATGACAATTACGGATCATAGCGTTATTTGAATGAAATGTATTGTTTAAGGTATGCTAAAAGTAAAAACTCAACTGACCTGAAGTGGGCTCCTCCTTCGGTATGTGGTTAGTGAGCAACGGGTGCGGCTGCGGCGCCCAGGGGCCCGGCGGCACGGCCGGCGACATCGGGTAGTGCACCCACAGCGGCCGGTACAGCGAGGACACGTACCCGTACGGGTACACGTAGCCCATATCGCGCCATTCGTCACGCCCGCCTGGCCCACTCGGTCCGCGGTACGGGCCCGCAGCGCCCCACGGTCGCGAGCCCGCACTCGTGCCCGCCGCGCCGCTGTATGGGGACGTCGGCCCGGCGTACGGCGCCCGGTACCGCGCCAGCTCTGCCGACGGTGGAGTTGGAGAGTCGCGGCTCATCGGCCCCTGGCCTGGAGATCCGACCAGGGCCGAATGCCGATACCGGTAATTGTCCGGACTCGGGCTCAAGTCCGGCGAGTTAATACTCGACGGGGACTCCGTCTTCAGCGAAGCCGGGTACGAATGAGGCGACCGCTTCGCTTCGGGCGACCGCCGCGTCGGGCTCTCGTCAGGCATGCTGAGCAGCGAGTGTATACTGTAACTACTGACGTTCTTCGAGACGGGGGTTTCGCGGCGCGACATGCTACCGTTATGCGAGCGAACCGGCGTTTCTGCCGGTGGCTTGTGCTGCGTGTGACTCGGGCCCGGCGACGGAGGATACGATGCAGTACTCAGTGCAGGCACGGTCTTCGCTCGCCGCTTCGTTCCCTGGTCTTCCAGACTAACTCTCTCCAGTTCTCTCAAAATTCGTTTTCTTGGGGAGACCATCATGTGCTCTTGTCGGCAGTTCGCTAGCTTAGCGTTGATCGGCGCGGGAAGCGAAGCGATCTTCTCACGTAGCTTGTCAACTGTTCGCATGAGCACTTTCCGTCTTATGAGCGGTCTAGTCTTCTTGTACACCCTTAATTTACGATACTGATATGGTTTTTTCAGTTTCATATGATAATATTTCTCTCGGTCGAAATCTGTCCACCTATCGTCGTCTGAAGTCGTGCGAGGTTTCGATGCGACACCGTCAATAGTGTCCTCGCTTTTACTTCTCGCTTCCGGCGAATCGACGTCGCCGTTTCTTTTTTTGCTGCACACTCCATTGGTCAAATTCTTCCTAGAGCTGCTACCATTGACTAGTGCATCCAGGTGACTCGTGTCGTAGGGTCTCCTTCTTTTAACGCGGCTAAATGCATCGATGGCAGCATTATGCAGCGTGGTAGGCCTGCAATAGTACATGGCCAATTCTTTGGAAACATTTTTGCGCGGAGCGGTTTGCTTCCAGCAGTGATCGCGCTGCCAGGGCGAGGACTGCACGGAACTGTTATCGTCAGAGACGCTGAGCGAGGCGGAGGGCGCGTGCGTGCCGGCGGGCGGCGTGGGCGGCGCGGCAGCTGGCGGCCAGAATGTCTTGCGTGGCACCGACACCCACCCCACGCGTTCGCCTTCTCGAGCGCATCCCCGGACCAGCTCCAGGATAAATTTGCCATCTGAAAATATGAATCATATGTTACAGTATCTGCTTATTACGTTCATTTCTACCATATAATTTAATTGTGTAAAAATGTCCCATAAGCTACAATGTGCTCTATTGTTGTTCTTTTGTTTCTTTCTTTTGTAATATATTTAAGAAATTAACTAATTGCAACAGGTGCTTTCTCGAATGACTTTGTGTACACATTTTACCTTTGATAGTACTTTGAAATTTTTTTTCTAATAAGGGATCAGTTGATTTTGCAATACAATAAATAAAATTTATTCATTGGCTTTCTGCATTAAAATAAAAAATATATATAACAGTAAAATAAAAAAAAAAATGTATATAAGAAATAACAACAATAGTAATAACTAATTTAATAACCTTAAATTAACTAACATAATAAACTTATCAAAGATAAATTGACAATGGGTTAAACTTTGTACCAAGTTTAATGTACTTGTTTAGGTTGATTAGGTTGTGTTGGCTTATAGCTTGTCTTAAATATTTGTTTTTATAAAATAAGGACTTAGTACTTATATTATTTGTCACTATGTAATGTCAATAATAAGTTATCGATAATATCAGACTGTTGTTATGGCTGCATATCTCTCTGATGGTGCTGGTTGCAGTACCAGCCAAATTTTGCTATTAATTTAAAAAATAAAATTATAAATTCAGGTTTAAGAAAAATTTTCTCTCTTGAACACTCAGGTAGTGGAATGGTCTCGCTGTTGAGATTTCCCTAGAGACTACAGTATGGGGTTCTTCAAAATTGGTATATTAAGGTTTCTATATGGTTGACAATGCGCATGTGACACCCTTGGTATTTCAGGCATCCATAAGCTACAATAACCGTTTACCATTAGATGGGCTCTATGCCTGTTTGCTACCTTTGTGGTATAAAAAAAAATGTAAAAATGACTGAAGATTTATTACTCAGATTTAAATAAAATTTTAATTACTTATTCATGTGACTGAGGTGATAAGATACTAGGTTGTTCATAAATACTTCAATAAACCGTGTTGGTGAAAGGTGTTTTGATGAATGTAAATGAAATGGTATATATGTTAATATTTTGTAATGGCAAGATAGCAGTGGATACTGCAATAATGGAAATAAAGTCACATCAGATGGATCATAACAAATTCACAGGGAATCGAGAGTATGTATACGCATGGAAGTCAAACAAAGGTAATTTCATCAGCAGGCCATATTATTTTGATTTCTTGATTCAACTGGTCTAAAAGTATAGCATAATCCCCATTTATTGTCCTCCTCTTTTAGAGGAAATCAGTTAATATTGTACATTGCACGGCACAGAAAACCGTAGTCATAATTTTGCCTGCTGATGAAATTACCTTGGCCTTCGGGGCACTGCCACCAGTTTCCACTCAGTACTTAGATTGTTGTTTTGTCTCTGGTGTTTAGAAATATACATGTTTCATTTACAGTGTTGAACCGGCATAAATTATCCTAAGACAGTGTCATTCTTTCATATTTTTGGTCCATTGTAAACAAATGCGGCACCTTGAGCGAGGAGCGTCTTCCGTGCTTGTCCTGCCATAACAAAACTCAGTAAACCACTAGTGAATCATCTTCAATGACGGGGAAGTCCTTCCATAATTCTTATAAAGAGCCTTCCCCCCCCCCTCTGATTTTATTGCGTAAAAATAATGTTTTATCAATACTGGAAATTCACTTTTTTCCATTTTAACAGTGAAAGAACAATTAGTTTAGTCTAAATAGCTGATAAAGCAATACTAATTCGAATATCCCTATGAAATTTTGTGTATGTATTCTCAAAACTATGGCCTGTCCAAACCTGTTATTGTAGCTTATATCGTCATAGTCGGGATCTTTATATGTAATATTCGTCAGATCCGTCAGTATTCTACGACTATGACGATATATTGGTATTACCCCTTTATTTTTACCGGATTTTTCAATTTACCCTCATACATACCCTTCCCTCTGAATATTTTGGTTTTATGTTAAGGTGACTCTTGATGTCAAAGAATGATTGTCTGAATTTGATGCTCTGTTAGCAACTTAATCATTTAACCATGTGCACATGAAAAGTCCTTATTAACAAAGTAGAAGAAGATACAAGCATGCACCAAGCACTTCTGAAGCATTATATATGTATATAAAAGCAGAAGAGAAAAAGAAAAAGGCCAATAAGAAGATAACATTCACAAATGTAATTATTGTAGAGAGAGGACTTTTGTAAGGAAATATGAGCTTGATGGTCCTAACTGTTGAGGAAGATTTTAGAAATGATGTTAATAATTCTATGGTCACCCCATTCTTACCAAACATGAACAAAGAGGCAACTAGTTGTCATCAAAAGACACTTTTCCAGGACTTTATGTACTTTAAAAGTTCGCATATTATTACTGACTACTAGGTAGAGTATCCAAGCCATTTATTATTGTTAGTTTGTGTAATTCAAAAGATGTCTACAAGGTATCGCTGGCGTCTTATGACAGAAATTTGAATTTATACCTAAAAGTTCCCCTTATAATAGCTGAAGTCAAAGCAGCTGATCATGAAATAAGAGAGCTTTTAAATGACAATGGAGGAGAAGTCAACAAAGATAACGTTAGATGTATACTCGAAAAGGAAGGCGTTAGCAATGGTTAACAATGTCCTTCTATACATCACAACAAAATCCAATTGAGAGGAAAAATTTAACTGTGGTAGAAATGGCAAGAATCTTAATGTATGCTCACGAAACAATTCCTGCAGGCTTATGGGTTAAATTGATTCAAATAGTGATTTACTCTTATATCTTGAATAAAACTAGACTTGGACATAAATCATCGCCGAATCATAGTACGACGAAAAGCCAAGGATCACTCATTTAAGAGTAATTGGGACTGTTTGTTATCAACATATTTAAAAAAAAAAATACATACAACAACATTTGTTAATTTGTGGATAATAATCTAATATTGCCAAGAAGAAAGTTTTGTTTTACCACAATATTGCTCCTGCCCTTTCTTCTGCTGAAATACTTTCCCTATCCACCATATTCTCCTGACCTAACTCTGAATGATTTCTTTCTTTTTCTTAAGGGATGAAGATTTGAAAGTTGTCTCTGAAACTAAGGTGTATATTGAGAGTCTTGGAAAACATTACTACAAAGAGGAGATCAAAAAACTCCAGTATTATCTAACCAAATCTCTAAAAGATTATGTCGAAAAATAAATTACGCACATTTGAAAAAAAATACTTTTTAAAACTTTTAGTTTCATTTTTATCGAACTATCAATCCACCCTCATAGAATTTAATATATCAGCAGAATTTCTGGCAAATTAGCAAACAACTGCTTATCAGTGCCAAATAAAATTCATGCCAAATGCCCTTTAGCCATAAAATATGAGTAGCCATGTCATGAGTTAGTTCATTCTGATATCTGAAAAATCTTTGACATAGTTCATATCTGTCTATTATTATAAAGTATGTAGATAAAGCCTTTGCAGCATATCCCCACATGTCCTAACAAATAATTGTTACAAATAATAACAAAGTGAATTAATTTCTATAATATGTCAACTAACATATTTGTTGTAGACAGAACTACTACATTATTGAGTATTCTATTATGCTCTTCTTAATCTTTCTCATACATTGCCTTCTCTTCTGATGTGGCCATAACTTTCAACACTGACATTGGTCTCTTACATTCCAATATATCAGAGGCATTCCCCTGGCATACTTTTAAATACCCTCAAAAACTTAACTGCCATGTCTCAAAGTGATTAGAATGTATCCATATTTTGTTATAGGTACATTTTCAATTATTTTTAGCTTTTATAATAGTTATATGCTCTGGTACTACTTTGAGAAATTAAAAGAAATGGGAATTGTAAGGCATAATTGAAATATAATGTTTTTATATTTATAGTAAAATTATTTGTTTCAAAAGAATTTTAACAAGAAATTGCTAAGTAACACGCAGATAGAGAAGAGCACTATTGTCATTAGACAAAGACCTCTTCTTAACAACTGCCATCTTTCATTACATTAGGTCAAATGTCACTTTTGAGGCTCCCAGTAATATAACAAATAAATTGATAGACAATGTTGAAGTGAATTAATATAGACATCACATGTTATGTTTACCATAATGGCAATTATAAACAAATACCTCTGACTACCCTATTAGCAACTGATAGTTCTTATTATAATAATAATAAAAACTATCAGTTCCTAATATTCTTAAAACTCTTTACAGGAATATTTTTATTAATCATTCATTTCTATGGCCACCTCATTCCATATCTGGAATGGCAAAAATTCCCTCTTCCATTCCTATTTGAATTTGAAAAATTTGAACATATTCATTCCTTTTTCTAAATAATAAGTTCTGTTAAAATAAATATTATATCAAGTGTATATAGTAGAAGCAATCAATCTTCCCTAACTTTAAACATTTCTTAAAGCAACAATCTGAAGCTCTGCTGAAAAAAAAAAATTTCAGTACAGCTTCAGATTATTGCTTAAATTAAACTTTATCAGTTGCTCATTATCATTAAATATAAATGTAAATATTATACTTATAATCAGATATCTCATTCAAATAAGTTAAGTCTCCTTGTTTATATTGATCAACATGCATACATTATACAACAGCAAAATATTGTAACTTATTTTTAAGGTGTATCAAAATACAGCTTTAAAATTTAGTACTTATAATAGTTTTTCAGATAAGAATTATGCTATTAAAACAGACAATATGTTAAAAAACAATTGAATAAAGGAACTGTGTACTGTGAGAGATTTGAAAAATTATGTTTAGTTCCACTGCAGTGAACAAGCTCCTTACGAAACACAAACAATAGCACAGAGGCTGTATTCAGACAATTGGCAATGGCTCAGTCAAATGTGCTTATGTATGCTTATCAGAGCATGAATGACTTTCTCGTTTTTCTTACACTTAATAGAAATAACATAACAAAAATATATAAATAAATTATTTTATTCTTAAACACTCAAACCAATGTACTGACCTTTGAAGAATTTGAGCCGCCCACCAGTTGCAGTGAAAGCAGAATTGTGCACAGCAGCATCCTCACTTACACCCTTGCCACTACTGTTACCATTTACGCCATGTCTTCTGTCTACTTCTTCTGTCATTTTGGAACATGTTGTCAGAGTTGTGTTTGTTCCTTCCTGTATATGCATTTCATTTCTGACCGCTCATACAGCAAACGACCAACACATTAGTCTGTACACTCTCGCCATGTCGTACCGAGCATGGACAACGGTAGCTCGTAAAACAATCGTGGATCCTGATAGACATTCAATATTTTCATCAGAGGCCTCATCCTAAGGCCACCTGCAGATCAAAGCCAGACCAAAACTATCGCATAAACACATTACCGACACGGTGACTACTGAATTGCATCAAGCCTAATAAACCAATCGATCCCGTTTCCAATGGCACTTTTCTCACAATTAAAATAATTACAAAATTTTACAACGCCGAATTCCCGATATCAATCGGGACCACGACACAATTGAATAAAAGCTGTTCGTTTTCAGTACATAGTTCATTCACACCCAGCATCCATTTTGATTCGTTCAAAATCAAATATGATCGTTCTTTTTGTGAAATCGGAATGCGTTGTTAAGTACGTTTAGATATTACTCTACTTCAAAATGTAAAATATTCACTCCATAACTATCTGCCAAAATAAATAAACAGCTTGTTTTTATGGCATTATATAATCTAATGGTAAGCATTAATTAAATATAAGATATTGAAATGACTTCATACTACATTATTAAGAATAATTATTACAAACAAACTTTACTATTAAAAATAACTAAACGCTAATGGCTGCGTTCAGACATAAAATTAACATTTGTAGTTATTATTTAACTATATAATTAATAATTAATCTTATATACCGAAATTGATTTATCTATATTAAATATATTTCAATATGGGTATTTGTAATATCATTTAAATCCTATTAAAACATATTTCAAAATAATATTTATTTGTGACATACCACTTATATAACACCTTATAACATTTTACTCTCCCTAAAATCATGATATTCATAATCTCTATTCAGTGTAAATTCTTTCATCATACGTACCTACTTACAAAACTAAGTTACGGATATTACCCTAAATATTATCTACGCATAATCACAAAGCAAGTAATTACTACATATAATAATAATCTATGAATATTATTATGTTAGATGTTCTCACAGATTTTACGACTAAAAATATAGTTGACTATAAAAGTTTCTTTTTTCTGTTTTTTATTATAGTAGGTAAGTAGGAGTACGAAAATAAATAATTCTTCGATATGAGATATTCCTTCAATCTTTATAGGCCATAAGACTAAGGGGTTAAACGATTTCAGTAATGCACGAAGAATTACTTCGTTGGTATTGACTTTCTGTGACTTAAAACAATCGAAAATTGCAAATTATCAATTTTTTAATTTGTATTTTCTGAATAAAATTAACGTGTTTAAGGGGGACACTATAAAGTACCTATAACCAAAAAAAGTACCCGTAACCGGCGAGTGTGTATGAAAAGATTGATGAATGTGGAAGAAACGAAAGAGGTTTGTTTGAATCGAAGCATTTGGCGTTCCATTGTTTCTATTTACCCCAATGGGATGCAGGCGTGACAAATACACTGCCGATTAAAAGTTTGAAAGCGCTATAAAAAAATAAAAGAAAAATAAAAGTCAACATATTTGAAACTTTATGAAAAACAGGTTTTATTTTAATGTTACACATAAGATTTGAAATTCAAATTTTACACGAAGTCTTGACGAATACAATGTTCTAAAGAAGACGTACACAAGAGAGTTTAAAGAGATTTTTCATCAAAAAATTTTCATTCAAAAACCTCCTTTGCATTTTATGGCCCGTTTTACCAATCTTGGTATGCGAGCAATTAATTTGTTTGTAGTCTCTTATGAGATATTTCTCCAGCTTTCTTTTAATACATTCCACATGGCCTGCTGTAAAGTAGGACATTATTCTCGCACGTTTCGGTCAAGCTCTTCCTACAAAAGCAAAAAGTATAGGGTTAAAATAGAGGCTTTGAGGTGGCCATGTTATATTTTTTAACACTTTTTCCGACTATTTTTTATCTTAATAATCCCTACATAATTTTAAACTGTGCATTAGATCATTATCTTGTTGGAAAATAAATCCTTGGTCGATTAACTTTAGTCCGGAGGGAATAGTATTTTTCTCCAAAATTACTTTATAATGCTTCTTTATCATAATTCCTTTAATTTGGACCAGATTTCCAGTTCCGTAGCCTGAGAAACAACCCTAGACTATAACAGATCCACCACTATGGCATCATCTTTTCTTCGGCGGAACGTCGATCGAAAATTTTCCTTTATGAACCGAATATTACAAATTTAGATTCGTCACTCCATAGCACCTTTTTAAAATCTTCTTCGGTCCAATCTCGGTGGGCTAAAGCCCATTGCAACCGTATATTCTTATTCTGCCGTTTTAGAAGAGGTTTCTGAACAGCAACGCAACCAAATAACTAGGCGTCTCGTAATCGTTTTTGCACTGTAGACACAGGATTTTCTCGAGATTTGTTGACTTCATCACGAATTTCTGGGGCTGTTACGTGTCTATTTCGCTTGCTAATTAACACAATCAATTTGTCTTCACTATTGATCTTGATTACTGCCAGTTTATTGTACCGTACAATAGTGTGATGAACACAAAAATTCGATAATTTAAGTTGAGATGCAATCTCACGTTCAAATTTGCCTTCATTATGGAGAACAACGATAACAGATCGCATTTCAATACTAATTTCGCGAACTATTCCCATTTTAAAAACGTCTTAACTGTAGGAATCACGACATTAAACTAACTGCGCATAATCGTAGATAACACTGAAAATACCGAAATTAAATAAACATTAGAAATATTTTAAGAATTTAGAACAATTACATTGAAAGTTGATGTAAAATAAAAAGTGTCAGTTGCGGTAATGCGATAATAATTTTTTACAATCGATTATCAGACTAACTCTTCCTCGGCTTACATTGGAAAGTTTGGAAACAATGTTTATTTGGCTTATATACAAAATAAATAAGCTTTTCTTCTTTATAAATAATAGAATATGCAGGTGTACAGATTACTTTTTATCATCAATATTTTGAAAACATTTACTAATACTAAGAGTTTTTTATTAGTGGTCTTAAACTTTTGACCGGCAGTGTATGTATGTATGTAGGTATATGCCTATATATGATATAATGATATTGATGATGAAATAACAAATCGCCGTTGGTGTTGCTTCTGCAGAGATGTTTAGTAATTAATATTACTCTTATAAACTCTTTACCTCTAGATCACAAATAATTGTCTTTATCAATAAAAATGCGTTTGTTTAACTAATCAAAGAATTAGGAAGCATTCATGCAATTATATTGTTTAGTAAATAATAAGTTGTAATTATTACTTAAAATAAGCAACTTATTTTGTAATCGATGGATACCGTATAAAATTTTGTATAAAAAGGTCGATTCGAATTACTAAAGGGGTCGATAGTAACGTAGAAAAGGTCAGTAAATACTGATGAGCTGAAAAGACTTTTTTATTTCCACAGACATTCATTTCATAAACTTTTGTTACTAACATAATAAAATGTTACTATGTAGGTATTTCTGTTATTAAACAAATGAGAAAACTATTTTGTATATAATTTTTTCATGCTAGCTGTTTTTTTTTTCATTTCATATTGTTAAACAAAAGATACGCTGAGCTTCGTTTTCTATTCAAACCAACTTCGATATGAAAATAAAATGAACACGTTTTGTAAGAGAAAGGTTGTTGGAGAGTAAAACACACTCTTAGATGGTTATAAACTGGTGTATTTTAAATTTAATTTAACTAGTTACAATATTCCTTTATAATAACTGTTACGCGCTAATATGCTGCAGTAATATTAGGACGTTATTCCATACATTCTGATATGTTCATGGAACATGTCATTAATCACATTACCATATTGAAATTGTTTCTATTCGCCCCTTCCTACGATATCTATTCATGCGTTGACTGCTAGTATCTTTAATCTGTGGTTCATGCTGCATTGGCGTGTTGCCTGCTCATACTAAATGCGCACGGTCGTGCGCAGTCTTGCGTAATTTCCATACTAGCTTTTAATGTATGGATTTGGTCAGGAAACATCATGCCAACGTTTAATTAAATGACTAAATCACAATAGCGCCAACTACCAAAATATTCTCAAATGAGAACAAATGACTGCCATCTAAACTATTTATGGTACAGTTTTAGCTTTGTTTTACATATTTCTTTTTATTTTGACGTGGGAATTACAACTATATACAATTAATATTGACTCTGTTACGAGGTCTACTCTAGAAATTGATCAAATATAACGGAAAGTGTAAAAAACTTGAGTTTACTATCAATAATATTACGAAATTGAGACTTCAAGGTAATATTGTGTAAAATAATAAATATATTTAAGAATTCTATCTTTTGTTTTATTTTTGCTAAAACATGTTCATCGGGACATACAATTTGATATAAAATATCTCTTAACAAAACATATCTTTTATCACATGATTCGCGTTTCTACTATCAAACCATAGTATAGTTATAACCCTATTCGTTTCCATTTTGAACATCAAACTGGCCAACATAACGAAAAAGGAGAATTTTTTGTGTAGGTTAGATATTCCTGACCAAGTCATTTTACATCATCATCATCTTGTATGAAGTGCGTTCTCTTATCTCTTTGTTATACACTGGTCGTGCTTCCTGATTTGCCTCTTACGCTTGTGTTTTGGTGTGTTATAGTGATTTCTCTTTCTCAAAATATACTAAATTAATATATCTAACGTTTACTCAGTTTCAATTATTCATTGAGAAAGTTAAGATGTCTGCGTCGGAAGTATCGTTTAATCGCAAAATTATATCAGAAGATTTATCGAATGTGGAATTCGACACAAGCGAAGATGTGGAAGTTATTCCAACGTTTGATTCAATGGGCCTACGAGACGAATTATTACGTGGGATATATACTTATGGTATGTGGATTTTTTAATCATCTTCATTAATAATTCAATTTCATTTTCAAGATAATTTTTATACATTTTTATAGTGTATTACTTTTGATATATTATCATATACCCTTGTACTATGTATAGAAATTTCACTTAAATTATTATTAATCAGTAATCATTCTACTTCTAAAATAGTATTTTTTATGCTCTTGTCAATCTGTCTATTGCAATTCGTGCAAACCAAGTACACATGTACAGTACACTTGGTTGACTATGCCAGACTCATAGGGAATGTCCGATAGTTAGGTTTGTCAATTCGTCAGGTACACCTTTACCCACAGATATAGGCGTTTGGCAAAAGTATTTAAAAAAAAAAGCATAGAGGCAATATGATACTAAAGATCTTGTAAAGGCAGGTAGGAACTCTAAAATGATTTACAACTCCATAAAAAGAACTGCACATATAAACCATACCGTTCATCCAAATACACAATTATTATCCTATTCATCATCTGGAAACTCTTGCAATACTATTAACATATATGTCATTAATATCGGAAGGGAGCTAGCTGATATGATTGGTTTCATAAAATTAATACAACATTCAAATAATCATATAATAATATATCATGTTCTCATACATCTACACACTAATTACAGTTTTTATTGTAACTGACACTTATAGGATGGCATGGTATTTCTCCATTGGTATTAAAAAGATTTTCTCTATTTTTGCACCCATCCATATATTTCACAGTATGTATTGTAATATATTGTATTTATTGTTAGGGTGGTACAGCTGAAACTTTCCTAAAACCTTTTTGTCCCTTACATTACCCTTTTATACAATAATTGCAAAGTTTTAAACATAAGACATTTATTTTTATATGTTCCTTTTGAAAAAGACATGTGAAGAAATGGAACAAATATTATTTGATGGAGCTTAATATATTTTTTTAACAAATTATAAGATATTGGATTTTAATTTCTGTTTATTATTATTTAACAAATTATATGTAGTGAAGGTGGTTGGGGCTGCGGATCCTTAATACAGGTTAATCTATTTAGGCATTTAGTTCTAAAACCACAAACACTACAGAAATATAAAATTATAATATTAATATTAGTACTGTAAGTTATTTAAACAACAATTTTACAAAAAAAATTAATCTATTATTTTCAGGTTTTGAAAAACCATCAGCTATACAGCAACGTAGCATTTTACCTATCGTAAAAGGGAGAGATGTAATTGCTCAAGCTCAATCTGGCACGGGTAAAACTGCTACATTTTCAATTTCCATTCTCCAATCACTGGACACAACATTACGCGAGACTCAAGTCCTAGTATTGTCTCCTACGCGTGAATTGGCCACACAGATTCAAAAGGTTATCCTTGCATTGGGTGATTTTATGAATGTGCAATGCCATGCTTGCATCGGTGGCACGAATCTCGGTGAAGATATAAGGAAGTTGGATTATGGTCAACATGTTGTTTCTGGAACACCAGGAAGAGTATTTGGTGAGTAATCTAAACATATAGATAGGGCTAGTATTTTAATATAAATGTTAAAATAATTCAAGGAGATTAAACCTTACACATATTTTTACATAACTATGGAAGGTATTCTATATGTTGCTATCCATAGGATGAAACTGCAAGTTTATTACAATGACAGTAGTAAAAAAGTTCATCTTAAGGTTTAGGGATTGTGATGATCAAGAGTTTTTTTAATAAGCGATAATAAAATGGTAACCTACCAGGGAGAACCATGTGAAGGTCGACCTAATAGGGTATATTGCTAGTAATGAGACTGTCAAACTCCATTGCTAACAGTCCCTTTTTCCTCTGATGACCAGGGTTACCCCTTCCAAGTAATCATCTGGTAGTTTAACTTAAATTTCAATTGGTAATATCTCATATAAATTATGCCTATCAAGCAGATGCCCATGCACATAGGAAAAAGAGAACAGAACAGAGAATAATATTGAGTAATAATGATACTCATATGTTTTAAATTTGTAGACATGATAAAGAGACGTGTCCTGCGTACCAGATCAATCAAGATGCTAGTATTGGACGAGGCTGATGAAATGCTGAACAAAGGTTTCAAGGAGCAGATCTATGATGTCTATCGTTACTTACCTCCAGCCACACAAGTAGTATTAATCTCGGCAACATTACCTCATGAGATACTTGAGATGACTTCAAAATTTATGACTGATCCCATCAGAATCTTGGTGAAACGGTATGTATAGCATTTTATTTTATCCATTCGGGGTTAATATATAATGAAGAGGTTATTGCTAGGCTTTAGCTTAGGTCTCATATAATAATATTTTTGAGTATATTCACATAAAACCTAACGTGGAATAAGAAATAAAATAGCAGAACCTATGGTCTTAGTCATCTAACTTCTTTAATGTTTACTTAATTGAACATCCTTATTGTGTTTCTATAATGACTGCAAACTAAATTTTCTATTATGACGAGAACGCAATATGTCACCACTTCTTTTCATGTTTAGAATGTCGTAAATTGCTAATAAAAAAAACAAAGCAATACATGTCATGCTGCAAGCAGCTTAGCATCTTATATATAACTTACTATTATTAGGGCAGGCCCCAATAATAAATAATAGGCTAATATCCCCTTCTTATGACAAGAGATACATACCCAGTAATGGGATGTTAATAAGGTATTATAGTTATGAAGGAGTACTTATTCCTTGGAGTTTGCAGCCACTACATGTGATGTTAAACTGCATCCCTGTGTTTGAGGAACTCTCTATTCTGTATCTTCTAATCTTTCAATATTTATGTTCGCAGTGATGAGTTGACACTGGAAGGCATCAAACAGTTCTTTGTGGCAGTGGAACGTGAAGAATGGAAGTTTGATACACTTTGCGACCTTTACGACACATTGACCATCACACAAGCAGTGATCTTCTGCAATACAAAGCGAAAGGTGGACTGGTTAACGCAGAAAATGCAAGAAGCCAACTTCACAGTCAGCTCCATGCATGGTGACATGCCACAGAAGGAAAGGGACAACATCATGAAGGAATTCAGATCTGGCCAGAGGTGAGAACCAATAAAATTCTTTAATTTTCCATCTTAGTGATTATGACCATCAGCATTACTTTACCTAAATTTTTACGCCACTGTAATTCTGGGCTAGGCAGAGAGTAGAAAGTATAGTGGATTTTTAAGTGATTTTTAATTGGGGTTTTGCAGTTTGCCTGTATGTTTTTGTAATCAATAAGAGTTAGTTCCATGTTGCTATTTTTCTTTGTCAATGACAGATTGATATCGATGCATTGGTCATATTTGGATCAATTTAAATTATTTCGGACATACAAGTGTTTATATGCTATGTAAAAAATACATCCAAGTTGAGATTATAAGCAAACTGATTTATTTATCTTTTACCCTCAGTACACCAAATATCAACTGTCATTAGACATCTCTAATAAATACATAACACTATGGTATTTAGCAACTGATCATAGTGAAAAGGTGACAAGCTTGAATCTCGTTAAGTTAACACTAACGACATATTCATTATCATCTCAGCCATTATCACGAATGATATATTAGTTAATTTATGTAATTGTTATTTTATGTAATAGCAAAATTTGTAATTGCCATTAACAGACCCCTTATGAGTCATTAAGTGACCCTGAAAGGATTTCTTTTTAATTTATACTAAGAAGTTACTTAAATAATTATTATAAACGATCTGATTGCGGCAGTTAGACTACAAAACTGAAATTTGGAATATTAGTTTATTTTGTTACATATAAATCAATTTAAAGAAAAAACAACGTCATGCAACGCTGCTATTAATAGTTAACCTACAAACTACATATTTTTTTTACAGCCGCGTTCTGATCACAACCGACGTCTGGGCGAGAGGTATAGATGTACAACAAGTGTCCCTAGTCATCAACTACGACCTGCCCAACAATCGTGAGCTGTATATTCACAGAATCGGTCGTTCTGGCCGCTTCGGACGCAAAGGTGTCGCCATCAACTTTGTTAAGTCCGACGATATCAGAATCTTGAGAGACATTGAACAGTACTATTCTACACAGATCGACGAAATGCCGATGAATGTAGCCGATTTGATATAATTTTTTTTATAATAAACTTATTACACAGAAGCACTTTATAACCAGCACTTTGGCAGAAATATTGGTGGAAGGAGCATTGTAACATTCTTTCTGTACTTTCCAAGTAATTACGAAGCGGAAATTAATTATATTTCATTAAAATGTATTATAAGTAATACAATATAATTGATATTAATTTTTTTTTATTTAATCATTACTACTTGATTTAGTTTAGCAATAGCCGTGTGGTGCTGGCATAGAATAGCCTCCTCTTCCTTTTCTGTGGGTGTCGTATGAGGTGACTAAGGAAACTCAATAAATTAATTATCCTGCCTAAAATCAAATCAAATTTCATAAATGACTCCAAATTGTATGAATATTGTCAAACTTATGGTGTGGGATATGGCGTGAATTTACTGGGTACAGAGGAATAACACCTGAGTCCTCAGGAATGGCAAGGCATGGGGGATATCATGAGCGAAACAGTATACTATGTTATGTCCATGGTACTGCTCATGTCTATAGGCGACGGTTACCACTTTCCATCGGGTGTCGTATGAGATGACTAAGGAAACTTAATAAATTAATTATCCTGCCTAAAATCAAATCAAATTTCATAAATGACTCCAAATTGTATGAATATTGTCAAACTTATGGTGTGGGATATGGCGTGAATTTACTGGGTACAGAGGAATAACAACTGAGTCCTCAGGAATGGCAACGCATGGGGGATATCATGGGCAAACCAATATACTATGTTATGTCCATGGTACTGCTCATGTCTATAGGCGACGGTTATCACTTTCCATCGGGTGGGCGGTCAGCTTGTTTGCCATTCTAAGTTGTATAAAAAAAAACCGCGCAAAACAAGCTAGCCACGACTCGAACAAAAAACTGCTATGGCAAGCGAACGAGCGCCTACCTCATATCGCAATCAGTAAATTCTTTACCTACCGACTTGCGAAGCAATATATAAGTTAAAAACATAATATTCAAACTACGAGCATATTTTCTGTTCAACTTTGCTAAATAGCAGAATACTAATGTCAATACTATTATTTAAGGACGAAATAGTGCCACACACAAGCCCAACAGATTTAAGTGGTACTAAAATTTCTTTTTGCATAATAAATAAAATAATAAATTATAATGGTAGAGATTATGTCCAGCAGTGGACGAATAATGGCAGAAAGATGGGCAACAGGATCTCTTAAAACATCTCTAAAAGACTAAGAGACCCATTATTGCGGATAAAACATGTAGAGCGTTGTTCTAGAGATATGGATAGCGAAAGTTTCAAAGTAGAATAAACAGTTTTTCCGTCGTTTATTACTGTCCATAACGCTGTCCACCGCTGAACATAAGCTTTCCTCATAAGGAGAGTTTCGCAAATAGTTGCCACTCTTGGCAGGCGAGTTGGCAACCGCAGTTAAGCTTTTAGAGATGTTTTAAGAGCGACGCGACGTTGATTATTAAGCTTTTTTAGTCTCCTCTTACGACACCTACAGGAAAGGAAGGGGTGGCCTATTCTATGCGGGGACACAACCATAGTTGTGAAGGATTTAACACACCATCTCACCTATTAATGGTAGCCCGCAACAATTATTTGTATTCATTATAAATTATTATTAGAAGTGTTTGTTTTGGTTTGTGCGTTTTCTGTGTATAATAACAATTCACAAAAAAAAAACACGAAAAAAAGATATCCTCTTGAATTGGAATATTTAGCGCTCCATTGTTTCCGTCTGTCTAATGAGAGATTACATGTACAACGTACCTGGTTATATACTCTTTGGTTCTTATAAGCAAAACACATAAATAATTAATTTACACATTTATTTTAGTCAAATAATGATTAATCCAATCTCAAAGAAAAACAATTAAATACTTTATAATTTACAGTAAAATGTACATAAAACATGAATTTACATTTATTTGTATTGTTTATATTGGCTATAGATAGATAATTTGATTTATTTGCATTACTTACAGCACACAAATAACAACAGACATGGGTACATACACAAAAAAAAAAGAAAAAACATAAACAAAAAAGAAACAAAAGGAAAAGACATAAAAGTAATAATTTTTCATTTTGTGAGCGTGTACAGCAAATGTGTATCACACAAAATAGTCATAACTCAGTTTATTGCTTTGCCTCAAAAGAGCAAAACACTGATATTATTTTGTGGCCAAAAGCGTACGTATTATTTTTGAAAATTCTATGGAGTTACTTTTAACTAAGAACATAAATTACAATAGATTCCTAGATTAAAATCTAAAATGATCGAAGAAAAAATAAAGCTTATTTTTACCTAAACTAAAAAATATTTTCCTGGAATGTTATTCTAACAAGTTATAATTATCGAAAATAATAATTGATAACCATGGGTTATAATTTTAACAATGTTAAATACACAATTTCTTATAAAATTTTGATTAGCCCTTTGATAAGTATATCTATGTTGCTTAGTAACTTTATCAATATAATCATAGATACAATATTATAGGGAAAATATTATTAAATGCCTTCATTTTTCATAGATTAAAAAATGAAGTCACTTAAAAACTAGTTGTTATTTTAATTATTTATTATATATAACTAAGGGCAAGTTTTGTTGTTTCATGGTTCACTCTCCAATATTTTTAATGTAATATTGTTATAATAAAAAAACAATTCCAATTTTGTAAAAATAGCAACTTTGAAATCAGTTTACAATTGGCGAAAATACGCATGATGTATATCTAGACATAACAAATTTAAAAACTTCCTTTAGAAGTTGGGCAAAAAGTGACTAGCGAGTCTAGCAACCATTCACTTGGGTGCATATAATTATAAATCATTGTAGATATACTGAAACAAATGGCCAATCAACCATCCGTCCATCACAGATGTCTTTGGTTTTTACAATTCAAATTTATTTTTTAGAAATATAATATCTTAATGATACATGAACCTGATAACATCATCACATACAATGACACAAAAAAATCATAGCAAACTCTCATTGTTAGTCTATATATGTTTAGTTACTATATTGTAAATTTACAATCTTTCGCCTTCTCTATTTTCCATTATAGATTAATAAAGGAGATACACTAAATAAGATTTCATTAGATACAAAATTTAATTATAACTTGTTATAGCAAAACATGGTGTTTGAAAATCTTTTTTCATAGCAACATTTATTATTCTGTTAAAATTGGGTTATTGTAATATGTGAGGAGTGCTATAAATTAAGTCTTCATAATCATTATCAGCATAATTGTGATTATAGAAAACATCAATATATTATCTAATAATTAAATCTGATAAATACCATTAAGTATTGTAACAAAATATATTGCAGAAATTCTATATTATGTTGCATATAACAATTAGGAACCATGTCAGATACCTATTCAAATCTTACTTTAGAAATGGTTTACATTTGAAATGGGTGTTGTGAAGTGTAAACTCAACCAGTAAGAGCACTGGGTGTGCCATACTGAGAATGGCATAGACATGGCAGGATATAGTCTAACTTACTTCAAAATATTGCTCTAACAAAATGTAGCCTTAATCAACAATTTTACTTATATTTTATTTGATGATACAGATTCCAGATAAAAACAACAAGTAAAGATTAAATACAAGCACCATAAAAAGTGATACAAAATGATGAATCATCTGATCTTCAAGCTGGAATACCTTGTGTTATGAGGAACAAGGCAGCAAACATCTGTGGCATAACCCTGATAATTAGGGGAGAAAGGGATTGTTAGTAATGGTGACTAAAAATCCCATTGCTAGCAATATATCCAACTAGGTCGATCTCCTCGTGTAAACTATCATGGTTAATTCCTGATGAATTCATCATGATGAGCTAACTGGCCTGTTTTCATTCTCATTGATCACTCTTCACTGGTGCCACGCCAGTGTATCCCATTAGTGCAGGCATTTTAACATTCCATTTTCACACAACAAAAAAAAACCCGGATAATTAAATATATGTCAGTTTTATTTGAAATGCTGCCTTATTCATCTTTTTTATTTTGTAACATTACTTAATGATTTTACTAGGTTATTATGTACTATATCTTACTCTTATTAAAAAATCCATCCCTAATTAGTGGGATGGTAACTGATTGTGAGAATGAAGGCATAAGTAGTTTTAAATAAATAAATTTCTAATATTAATATTAACAAGAAAAACACAATAATAATAATGTGATGTAAAATTTCAATTCAAATACCTTCTTTAAGGTGAAATATAATGGCTGCCTTACATTAAAAATGGTTATTTTTAAGGCACACTTCCAAAATTATATGCAAATTACACATAAAAAACAGTAATATATGTTTAAAAAAAAACAGTAGGTGATACAAAAAATTATATAGTTTTATACACTCTTACAGTGTAATGTATATTTTAAATAAAATCATCTTTATAATTATTTTTGCCAACTATACAAAAAGATTATTGCAATTAGATAATTTAGTTAATAAATTTCTTGACATTCACTAATTAAAAACAAATCACATATATAATATATATACTATACTTAGACTCTAATGCGTAGTAAAAATTTACATTTCAGCCTCTGCTATTGCATACCAGGTACTCCAGCGCCTGTATACAAATATGGCTATAGCTCCCACAAGAAGAGCCACTAAAATCTCTGTTAATTGGTCTAAGAAACTAGTGCTTGACTCAGTTGATTCTAATATCTGGGGTTCCACTTCTTGTGCTGGTTCCTCCAGAGGAGGAGGTTTTGGAGCTTGTTCTTCTTCTGCTTTAAATGCTATTTGATTCAATACTGATTGCTCCTCCTCAGTGGGTGGCTTGGCTGCGGTAGATGATAAGAGATTTGATATATCCCCACATTGGGGACAGACCCAACTTGCGGATTTTTTTGCTAATATTTTACGTTCTGCCGGTGTATAATCTAATGAGCCGATAGTCCCTTCAGCGGGAGTAGGCATGAATGCAATTAATGCTAACAAGGCAGTCCTGATAGACCATGATGGTTGCCATGTTTCTGGATGATGGCCAGATATAGATAAACAAATCTTCTTATTAACTTCGAATCTACCGTTAGGAGTTAAGAGTATGATATGAGGTGGATGCATAGGATATTCCTTAGGTAATAATATCCTACCGTGGTACACACCACCCTCGAAATCAGTACCTTTTGGTCCTTGTACCGTGAAGTGCCATTCGAAAAGGTTGTCTTCCAGCGGTCGTGCACAATATTCTTCAGTGGCTTCTGCCAATTCCATAGCTTCTCTCATAAGGCGTTTCACCCCTGGACATTTAGTGTTATATTTCTCTCCCATTTCTGCCATATTGTGGTCCCGTAACAGATACTACACTACAACACAAGTAAGTATTGAATAACACGTAAGCTAATTATAATCACAATAAAACGTAACAATTGCTATAGTGAATAGAGTTTAATAAGAAAATTTGATAACAATTTTTTAGAAACAGAAAAAATAACATCAATTGTCGTCATCGTTTTGTGTCAGTGTCAACTGTTATTGTCAATCATGTCGATGTTTTTTTGCAAAATTTTATTTTTATTTTAAATTTTAAGAAATAGAGATTTATTTTGTTTGCTGTAAAACAAAGAACATTATTATATTGCCGCTTGTAGAATAGAAGTTGAGCTGTTATAAAAAACTTTTATCTATAGAGACTTTTATTATTTATTAATCTATGGCGTAAGCACACAAATGTTATATTTGTGTAATATAGATATTAACGTTAATCTGTGGCTGTGGTGTAATATTATCTGTGGAAGAAATAACCTTTCAGTTTTGTTGTGTTCGTGTAAATTTAATACAAATAAACTTATAAAAATATCGATTTTTTTGTAGTTGCTTAATAAATAAACTCCTTTATTATAAATAAAAATGGACGGTCCGCCGGGGACGGGACCGTCAAATAACAATGGATCAATGGGACCGCCGCCGGGAATGCCAAACTTTCCACCAATGCCGCCGCCGCCGGGAGCCATAACACCCGGGAGTATGCCGCCACCTCCAATGGGTCCACCAGGCGCAATGCCACCTGCTACAACTTCTGGTGGACCACCTAATATGCCCCCTCCGGGCATGGGACCACCACCAGGAATGATGGGTATGGGTCCGCCGGGGATGGGCCCTCCACCTCCTGGTATGGGTCCTCCACCGCCTGGTATGGGTCCTCCACCTCCTGGAATGGGCCCGCCACCTCCTGGAATGGGTCCTCCGCCCCCCGGAATGGGTCCTCCACCTCCAGGCATGGGAATGGGACCTCCAATGGGTCCACCTGGTATGGGACCAAGAATGCCGCCTAATATGATGCGTAGTGGTCCTAACATGAAGGGTAATTACAACAATCAAGGAATGGACATGGGTCCCCCAGGGATGGGACCTCCACCCAATATGCCTATGGGGCATGGTCCATGGGAAGGTCAAGGTCCGCCAGGGTGGGGTAGACAGGGCCGTGAAGGTCCCCCTGGTTGGGATGAGCATGCCGAAGAAGCTGAGGAAGAAGAAGGAGACACTGAGGAGGCTAGTACACAGCAAGGTCCCTCTACATCTCTTCCTTCATTGTTAACTATGAAAATAGATACACCAGAGGAGTTCCGTAATAAACCAGCTCCTCCTGGAGGTGTAGTGTTGCCTAAGGCTTTAGAAGAGGCTCTTGCTTATAAAGATCAGAGACAGGCTGCTCTAGGAGATGAAACTGAACCTGCAGAAGAAGGTATATATATTCATTCTTTGATATCACAATTACTGCTACTAACTTTCATATTTATAATTAATTAATAGTAATAATTTTATTTGAACAAATATCCATATTTTTGTTAATAACAATCAGTATTTATAAACTAATGTTAGTAAATAATCATCATATCACCCTCAACTGTCCACTGCTGAACATAAGTCTCTCCCTTGAGGGGTTTTGCTAGTAGTTGCCATGTTTGGCAGGCGGATAGGTAACCGTAGTTAGGCTTTAGAGGTGTTTCTAGAGGGATACTGCTGCTCATCCCTCGCCTTCTTGATCACCTCTGACGACACCCACAGGAAAGAAAGGGGCCTATTCTATGCCAGGCCCATAAGACAAAGTAAAAATATTTATAAACAGTGAACATGCATGATGGTCCAATGTTTAAGTATTGGACCTTCAAATCTGTTCACAACTATGCCTAAAATACTATGTGAATTAATGGTATTAAAGTTTGTGACTTCACAGTCAGGTGGGTCATCAGCTTGTTTGCCATTCTAATTAAAAAATTTAATGACCAACATCTTTTAACCTTCTGACTAGGCAACCCGCAATTTTAACGTGTTCTAATTTTTTATGTTTATTGACATTGTTATTCCGCAATTTTTGATCCAATCCGTAGATTAATTGTTTCTCAGAATCTCGCTAGATGGTTAGATACTGCTACTTGTTGTCAAAGCGATGTGCGAAAATAAAGCAAAAAGAAAAATACACAGTCAGAGGGTTAATACAAACTAGCCCTGTTTAATATCTTACATTCTAATTTAAATGTTTTTAAACCAGAAATAAAAAAATCTAGAAATGCCACAAGACTAATTACACTTTTGTACCTTTTTCTTCTTTTATTTCTATTTATTTATATTCAGCCTTCCTAGACCAATGGCAAACATCTATCATTTGTCAATACACTTTTGTTACCATTTGCTTAAGAAAGAACAAGACACTAAACATTGCTATCTCATTCCAACACAAGCATATAGAAGCAATAATGATAGTATTGGTTGCTACTTGTCTAGGGAGCCTATTTACATATACACATTGAATATCAATTAATTTAACAATATTTTTACAGAAGAAGAAGCCCCACCAGAACCTCCACCGGCACCTGTGATCAGCACAGAATATGATGCTGAGGAGGATGAAGCAGACTCTGATGATGACAATGTGCCTGATGCACCACAACCCCCAATTATTTCAAAGCAAGAGGTGAATATGCAAATAAACTAATCAGATGGACCAATTCATTTGTTTTATAAACCTAAAAGTTATTTCTCACTAGCTATCTGTGGCAGTTGCTAAAATTTCAGTTTGTTTTAGACACTATTTTTTTGTCTGAGCTAATTCTATGATTGCTTTGAAATCAGTTTCCTTCCGTATAGCATACCATGTCATAGAAAATTAACTACACATTTTCTTCTGTTGTACTCTTTTGAAATTTATATAAAGTTAACTATGTACAATATTAGCTTATATTAATTAGCATCAAAATGAAAAAAAATATTCTTATTTTAAATTCAACTTTATTCACAGGCACACTTAAACAAAGCAAATAAAAATAAGAGGAAGAAAAAGAAGAAGAAGGCGGCTAAACAGAAGAGAAAAGAAGATGCTAAAAAGAAAGAAGCAAATGGTATTGCTAGCCAAGATGAAGGCAAAAAGATTAGTGACAAAGAAAATGAAAAAGAAGCTGATATTGAGTAAGATTTTAAAATTTATTATATGATAGAAAATACTGCTGCTTATCCTATACATACATATACATATATGTGTCTTTTATTTAACTTAATTTAATTATTTTGTTTAATTCTGCTATCATTAGGAGCCTCTACTTATGGTAGTCAAACCATAAATGTTAGTAGTCGCATGCATACTAATCAAAGCAGAATTAAACAAAATAATTCTAATAAACTAACCAAATACATGTCTTGCCACATCCATTTTCGTAATGCATATGCATGGTGATTTTGAAATTTTAACTAATATCTGTTTTAGACATTAAGCAATAATTTATTTATTAAATATTGTTCTCTTTTTTAGATATGTACAAGAAAATATTCAGTTCCATGAACTGGAGCCGATGTACCGTCAATTCCACCGCATCCTTGAAGCATTCAAAATTACAGAGAAGAAGGAAGAAATCAAAGAAGAAAAAGATGCACCAAAACCATCAAGCAAGCCTCAGGAGAAGGTTCAAGACCAGTTTGCTGTTGATGAAGAAGCTGTAGAGGTATGAACTGTTTAAAATAAATATGTGTAAGAAGATGGCTTCTTGCATTCTTTTTATTCATCTTAGATATTTCTATATATTTTCCACCCTTGATATAGAAAATTAATTAATATATCCCTATATGTATTTTGTAAATACAAAACTTTTATCAGAAAAACGCAGCGGACGAAAAGGAGCGCATGTCAAAACGTAAACTGAAGAAGTTGTCGCGACTATCGGTAGCGGAACTGAAGCAGTTGGTGTCGCGACCCGACGTCGTTGAGATGTACGACGTAACGGCGCGGGACCCAAAGTTGCTTGTACAGCTGAAGGCACACCGTAACACTGTACAAGTCCCAAGGCATTGGTGTTACAAGCGCAAGGTGATTGTTTAACTTGTTTGGAATAAATCATCATTATAACTCATTAATAAATATCCCATTTCTGGCTATGGGCTTTGTTTATAATTCTTAGAATAGCAAACAAGCTGATCATGTGGGCCACATGACGGAAAGTAGTAGGCATCTAGATGTGAACCGTGGACATGACAGAATACTCTATGATGCCACAAGATATCCCTCATGCATTGTAATTCTTGAAGACTATGGTGTTATGCCTGTGAAGGCACGAATTGTGTTAGTGAAATTATGGGGTACGAACCCCATAATTTCACTGCCATATTTTACTGAAACACAGTCATACAAGCATAGCTGCATCATGGTAAAAATATGAATAAGACAGAAGAACCCATGCAGTTTTTTTTTTTTTTTTGTGAACGTTACTTCATTAATAATTATATAGTAATCTTATTAATAAAATAAAATTGTGACTAGGCGATATCTGTACATGGAAGGTATTTAAGGCAATAGAAACCAAAACAATAGTTTTTAGAAATATTATCTCTCTATATGTTTTTTTGGGTATCAATAAAAAAATATTGCAACAAATTGGATGCGGTTTCCACTGCTGCATTTCTGAAGGTCTAACTTAAAATCTGATATGTGTTTTATCTTGATATGCCATCTAGAAGTAGTCAATTTTATTGGTTTTCCTACTTTTGAAATCCACGCAAACTAGTGGGCAAGAAGGTAGTAATTATTATAATTTTATATCTAATATCTATATATATTCGGTTCCCTAACAGTATCTGTAGGGTAAACGTGGTATAGAGAAGCCCCCGTTCAATTTACCCGATTTTATCAAGAAAACTGGCATCATGGAAATGCGAGCATCGCTGCAAGACAAAGAGGAAACGAAGACCCTAAAAGCAAAGATGCGCGAACGTACGCGGCCCAAGCTTGGCAAGATTGACATTGATTACCAGAAGCTGCACGATGCGTTCTTCAAGTAAGTGACTTTGAATTATAAACAAAAACTATTCTTTTTTTTAATTGTAACTCGCACATTCGCGGTGTAGTGCCGAATTTGGCACGAGCGAGAAGTCTAGTGATGTATAGATGAAATTTAAAAGTTCATATAACTTGTATATTTTTTTAAATATATTATTAAAAAAATATACAATATAATGTTAATATTCATATATATATTAATGTATTATATATGGAAGGCTGAGAGAGGGAGAGAGAGATTATTTATTATCATTTATTTTTATGAAATGAGACTATGAAAGTGAGCTCACGAACTCATATTTTATTCTCATTTGAACCAGTGTGACAACTGGGACCATTTTCCCCTACAATACAGAACTGAGTATAAATCACTGGCTAATGCATTCAAGCGGATTTAACAATGGTAAGTACAACCGTGATTGTTTTTCTTTATTTACTACATAACTATCCATTTTTTTACACAACTATGACGCTATATTTCGTATTTTAATAGTAAAAATATATTTTTTAAAAACTTTCTTTAGAAATATACAGAAGTTGACATTATAAAAATAGTGAAATTGCAAATCTGGCAAAATATTATTAAAATATAACATATATATATTAAAATCCTATTCCAATAGTTATTGTATGATTAAAAAATATTATAATTATAAAATGTTAAAATTATTGGAATATATTTCTACAAACATTTGCAATTCGTAAATTGCCAATATGTTGTTGTCTATAAATAAATGTTAAAATAATTATTTGGTGTATGTTCTAGACACACACAATTCTACTTTCTAAATTCAAATATGTCTATGTAACGTGTCATCGTTTTTACTGTTTTTCTATATTATTTTCCTGTCATGTTGTAACCGTTCATATGCTTCGATGGTTTCTAACCATTTGGTGAACGATATCATCATTATCATTATTTCAGCCGTTAACTGTCCACTGCTGGACATAAGCCTTCCCTATAAGGGAAGTTTTGCCAGTAGTTGTAACTTGGCAGGCGGGTTGGCAACTGCAGTTAGGTTTTTAGAGATGTTATAAGAGGGACGCTGTTTCCCATCCCTCGCCCTTCCTTAGTCGGCTCTTACGACACCCACGCGAAAGGAAGGGGTGGCCCATTCTATGCCGGGACCACACGGCTAATTATCACCATCATATCAACCGTTAACTGTCCACTACTGAATATAGGCCTCCCATTTAAGGGGGGGGCTTCACCCGTTATTTTTTTTTTTAATGGATGATAATAGAATGGTAACCCCACCCGCGCTATCGGTATACACCGGCGGGGCACCAGTGAGTGATGATAGGTGAGGATGAAGTACGAGGTCTGTCCGGAAAGTTCGTATAAAAGTGTTCTGGAATGCGAGAAAGAGGAGTGGGGAGGCCAGATAAGCGCAGGACCCCTTCCTTATGTCCCTAACAATGCTTCAGTTCTGGTCTGACCGCCGTGCGGTGCGAACTGGCTTGTCACGCCATCTGTGAAGTTACCTCTTAACGAAACCCCGTCGGCATGGAGCCCGCTTCCGTTGAAGAGCAGCGCGTCGTAATCAAGTTTCTCTCGAAACTCGGCAAGAATGGCCGTGAAATTTTTGCCGATCTCAGAACAGTTTATGGGGATGATGCTGTGAAGGAACCAACCGTCCACAAGTGGCTAAAAAGATTCAGAGAGGGCCGAGAAAGCGTTCAAGATGACCCACGTTCAGGACGTCCTTCCACTTCACATTCCGACGAAAACGTGGAAAGAATTCGAACTTGTGTTAATGGGGACCGTCGTTTAACGGTCAGACAGGTGGCTGAAGAGCTTAATTTGGGCAAAACCGTGGTCCACGAAATTCTAAGAAACGAACTTCAAATGAAAAAAATTTGCGCCAAGATCGTTCCCAAGCTTTTGTCCCCGGATCAAAAATCACGAAGAGTTGCTTGCTGTGAGGACTGGTTGGAAGCCGAAGAGAATGGTGACTTTTTGAACCGAGTCATCACTGGAGATGAGTCTTGGTTCTACGAATTTGATGTCGAATTAAAATCCCAAAGCAAAGAGTGGAAGACATCCGGGGAACCACGAACAAAAAAATCAAGAAAATCCCGCTCAAATGTCAAGACAATGTTGATTGTTTTTTTCGATGTTCGGGGGATTGTCCATCAAGAATTCGTCCCTCCAGGCCAGACAGTTGATGGAAAATTCTACGTCGATGTGCTCAGACGCCTCAAAGCTCGTGTGGCACGAGTTCGTCCAGAATTGGCGCGAGAGGGGCGTTGGATTCTTCACCACGACAATGCCCCTGCCCACACCTCTCTTGTTGTCCGTGAGTTTTTGAGTAAAAATTCCATTACGGTGACCGAACACCCCCCTATTCGCCGGATTTGGCCCCGTGTGACTTCTTCTTGTTCCCAAAAACCAAATTGGTACTTCGGGGGCGGCATTTGGGGGACATAAATGAGATAAAAAAAGCTACGACGGGGCAGCTGAGAAACTTACAACCAGAGGACTTTCAAGGAGCCTTCTCACAGTGGAAACGGCGTTGGCACAAGTGCATTATGTCACAGGGGGAGTACTTTGAAGGGGATAAAATTGATTTACCTGAATAATTGTAAAATAAAATTTTTAAAAAACTTTTATACGTACTTTCCGGACAAACCTCGTAGGTCAGTTAGCCCATCGTGACGAATTCAACAAGAATTGTTCACGATGGTTTCTAGGGGGAACCACGCGGAGGTCGACCTAATAAGGTATATTGCTAGCAATGGGGCTGTCAAACTCCATTGCTAACAATCCTTTTCCCCCTGCTTCACCAGTAGTTGTCACGCTTGGCAGATGGGTTGATAACCGCAGTAAGACTTTGTTTTAGGAGAGACCCTGCTGTCCATCCCTCGAAAATTAAGTTCCCTTAGTCTCCTTTTACGACATCCACGGCAAAAGAAGGAGTAACCTATTCTATACCGGGACCACAGTAGCTTTCACTATATAATACAAACAAAAAGTAAATTATGACATATAGCAATTTACTATATAAATGATATTACATTTCATGTCTTCAGGTGGCAAACCAAACCTCGCATGACTATTCACGGCGACCTCTACTACGAGGGTAAGGAGTTCGAAACTCGGCTGCGGGAGAAGAAACCGGGTGATCTGTCCGAGGAATTAAGGACTGCGCTTGGAATGCCAGTTGGACCTGGCTCTCATAAGGTTGGTAGATGACGAGATATCGTGAGATATTTATCGATTTTTTTGCTGATAATTTATCTCCTATGTAATACATTACAGTATAAAATATTTTGCAGTCTAGCGAGATTAATTCAGTATCTTCATAAGTTTATAGCTGTTTCAAGGATTTTTTCGATTAGTGTTAAAAAAATGGTAACCATATTTGCGCTATCGGTAGACGCTGGCGAGGAAATTTGCCAAAGCCTTACTTATAAATGAGGAAGTTCATTTGTTCACTTATTGGAACCTTACCAATGTCTATGAAATTTGGTACACACATACTATACGGCATGGAGAAAGACATAGTAGTTTATCTCAGTAAGTGAACAAATCCCGGTCATGCGGATGAAGTCACGGCTAAATGTTAGTTTTTTAAATATTTACTAAAATTAGGAGAAAAAATAAAATTTGGACTAGCTGTAATATTTGATAAGTCAGTTACTAGTATATTACTAATATTTTTATTATAATTATAGGTTCCTCCTCCATGGTTGATCGCTCAGCAACGATATGGCCCTCCGCCGTCGTATCCTAACCTGAAGATTCCCGGGCTGAACGCGCCGATACCTGAAGGTTGTGCATTCGGGTACCACGCGGGCGGTTGGGGCAAGCCGCCCGTCGACGAAACTGGAAAACCGCTGTATGGCGACGTATTTGGCCACCAGAGTAGCGGTCAGGATGTTAGTATCTACCTATCTACCTTCACGCCAAGGCTTGCGGTGTAAGCAGAGAGAACATAATGCTAAATGTCTCTATACTTACATACATCTCTTGCTTTTCTGCACTTTCATAATTCGCTTCATACATGCACGCCGGATTCAGAGATTAAATCAATTGACAAACGCCTATTTGAATTATATTGAATGTAACAACACTATAGACCTTATGTGCAAAAATTGTCGGCACCGAAGTTCTTTTTAAGCGACCAGTGTACAGAAACTTTTTTATCTATTTGTAATGCAATATATAAAAGACTAAGTGCTATATAATACATATGCTATAATCATTTTTTATACATATATATTTTCGTAGTAATTGTATGTCTTCATTTTTCTAGACTTGATACTACTTTATTTAATACATACGGAACATAATTATGTTCCGTCAAAGATATCGGTGTGTTTGCAAGAGATGAGTTATGAAAAGGATTGAAGCCTAAATAGAAATGTAGTCTAAATTAGGTTAAGTAAATTCAATGATCCTAATTTTCTTGTAAATCCCAATAATCAATAAATTTTACCGACTTAAAAAGAGAAGAAGTACTCAGTTGTTTATACGTTAGTTCTCTATATTAATATCTTGAATCATATGTTAAATTACAAACATGACAATATATTTCAGGATGCAGAGGACCAAGATATCGATAGATCAATGTGGGGAGAATTGGAGTCTGAATCTGAAGAAGAATCAGAAGAAGGTACGAATGCTCACGACGCTAAATTAGTATGGAGTAGTCAGAAGTGTTTGTTGCATACTATAGTTTTGATCAAGGTAACATTTGATTTGCTCTATTTCGCCGGATGCCGTGTCATAACCTCTTTGTTACGACACCTATTTGTAGACCTCGTAAGTTATAAATTTGAATCTAACACTATGGATTTTATGTTAATTTAAAATAAATTCTAACTAACTCTCCAGTGGGTAACAGATAATAAAAAAAAAAAATCTAAGAGATGACTGTAGGTTTGCTCACTGTCAGAATGAATTTAAGGCTTTTTGCTTGGCTAAATGTGTGGTTAAAATTGAAGGTATATTTTTAAATATAAATATTGCACATGCTTTGGCCAGAAACTATCATCAAAGTGAGGAATAGTTAGCTATTATATCCTTTTACATACAAGTGATACTAGTTTATGTGTCCCTTCAGAGGAATCTGGTGAGGAGGCAGAGAAAGGCGAGGAAATGGCAGCGGGCGTGGCAACACCTGGTGAGGGTCTGGTAACGCCGCTCGGCATCAGCTCCGTGCCGCCCGGCATGGAGACACCTGATACCATCGAGCTCAGGAAGAAGAAAGTGGACACAGATATCGAGGGGTGAGTATTGTTTATGGTTTTTCAGTTACAATATGGGTATAGTTTTATCACTTAACATGTGTATTGGGGAGGAAAGGGATTATTAGTAATGGAGACTGAGAATCCCATTGCTAGCAATATACCCAACCAGGTCGACCCCCTTGCGATTCTCCCTGAAAACTATCATTGTTAATTCCTGATGAATTCATCATGATTGGCTAACTGGCCTGTTTTCATTCTCATCTTTCACCCTTTACTGGTGCTCCGCCAACGTATTCCGTTAGCGCAGGCGGAGTTACCATACCATTTTCACCCATCAAAAAAGATGTGTATTGGAAAAATCTAATAGGAAAGAAGGCAGTCTATCTGTTTAATTTTTTCAACTATTTCAAAAGTAAGTGGATCTTTTGAAATAGATCACTTTTCACCTGTATTTTTTATGCATGTACATTCTGCTAGCTCTACATATACTTGTATATATTATAAATAAAAAAATTGTTGGATTTTGGATGAAAATGATTATTCAGAAGACACCATATCGAAGAAATGATTGAATCATACAATTCAGAACCACAAACTGCCAATAGATTCGCCTTTTTAGTATGCTAATTTTCCACCTTCATAGTATAAAAAAGAAAATTATGCTAGGACCCTTACAGTGTCAATACAGTATTCGAACAACTTATATAGTTTAGTAATAATAACAACATATTATTTCAGTGGTGACACACCAGCATTGTACCAGGTGCTACCGGAGCGTCGTGTGGGGCTGACCGCGGGCATGATGGCTTCCACGCACGTTTACGATATCAGTGCTGCCAATCCTGGTACGTTCATAAATTATTCTGTTTTTCTCATTTGACCGTTTTTCGCGTTAAGCTTCATAAGTCGCTAACCAATCGTCTGAAGTAGTTTTTTCAATCTAAGTATGGTAAGATGGGTGAAGTTCATTTAATTTAGTGTACTTATATTGAAAAAATTGCCACAGGCCTTTGAAAATAATGCAGTAGCTTCTCTTTCTTATCAGCATATTAACAGGTGTCAGGTTCAAAGACTGAGCCCTTATTCAATCTCAATTTGTATAAAGAGCTCTTAGATCTATTATTATAGGCATCTATTAATATTTAGATCTATCCATATATCCTTAACTTGTAATAAATAAGATAATGACTATAACCTTATGAGGTAAAATAAGAATAAACAAATGAACACAGCCATGAGCTACAACGAGTACAACATCCTACTAATATTATTAAAAGTAAAAAGTTGTAAAGATATTTGATACTCATACACGCTGAAACAACTGCTCAGATTTTAATCTAATTTGGTACACAGGTAGATTATATCCTAACACATAGCATACTTTATATATAGGTTCACGCGATCAGAACTGCGGGAAGTAGCTAGTTATATAATTATGCAATGAACGGCAGGTAAACGGACCGCGCCAGGGGCGGCGGCGGCCGCGGCGGCGACAGCGGGCACGGTGAGCGAGGGCGCGGCGTCGGGCGGCGGCGCGGGCGGCGTGGACGTGGCGCTGGACCCGTCCGAGCTGGAGCTGGAGCCCGAGGCGGTGGCGGCGCGCTACGAGCGCCACCTGCGCGAGCACCGGCCGCGCGCACGCGAGGACCTCTCCGACATGCTGGCCGACCACGTCGCCAGGCAGAAGGTACTAACACGCTTTGATTCTCCTGATAACTGTCCCAGCTAATTGTACTAATTTTCTATTCAATTTATATAAAAATTATTGTAATTCTACTTTATAGTCCATAAAACAGTAATTTCGTAAAATAACAAATGAAAATATTAGGTTTAGAGATAAATTTAGAGAAATGACACTTCAGAATCGGCTTCAATGTTGCCATGTCTTTTTAGTATATTTGGATTATGATAAATTATAATATCCTGGAATATAATGGGCCACTCCTTCCTTTCCCGTGAGTGTTGTAAGAGGCGACTAAGGGAGCTTATAGTGGAGGGATGGGCAATAGCATCCCTCTTAAAAGATCTCTATAAGCCTAACTGCGGTTGCTAACTCGCCTGCCAAGCGTGGCAACTACTGGCAAACTCCCTTTATGGGGAAGGCTTATGTCCAGCAGTGGATAATTAACGGCTGAAATAATAATAATAAAAAATATAATTTACTTACTTCTTTTTGTTACAGAATAAGAGAAAACGACAACAGAATACAGATTCAAAACAAGCCAAGAAATACAAAGAATTTAAATTTTAATTGTGATATTTATACACCTGTTTTTATTATTAATATTAAAAAAAAATGTCTTAGTGCAAAGATGTTAATCTATATACTGGACTAGTGGAAAACTGAGTTTGCTGATTTAAAAAATGTACTTTTTAATCATTAAAATAGTTTAATTGTGTACTTTTACAATTACAATAAATTGTGATAAAACTACACATTATCTATTACTTATAATAAATCTGTAGAGAGGTCTATTCTGTACATGAAATATATTTCAAAAATAACTATCAGGGGGTGATTAGTGATCGATACTGATCCAAAAATGCAATCAGTAAAATTTTTGTCCGTCTGTCTGTATGTTTGTTATAGAAACAAAAACTACTCGACGGATTTTAACGAAAGTTGGTACAATTATTCTTCATACTCCTGGACAGGTTATAGTATACTTTTCATCATGCTACAATCAATAGGAGCAGAGCAGTGAAGGGAAATTTTGGGAAAACGGGAGAAATTACTCCATTTTTAAGCTTACGTCGCGAGTGCAACCTTAATGGCCACATTTTAAAAGGTAACGCCGGGAGGGGCCGCTAGTAGTAAATACGAGGCAAAATGTATAAGAGCTGTTTTTCTCACACAATTGTGTATTTTAGGGTCCCATATTGGAAAAGTATAAAGGAACCACTTTACTGTGCGACATTGTCTATTTGTCTATCACAGCGGTATATCAACAATTACTAATCCTATCGATTTGAAATTGGAATAGTTTTACATTTATTGCAATGGAAATAATTGCAAAAATATTTTTATTTCCTTTCATAATTTCAAAATTGACCTACTAGTGAGGGTATTAGTTAAGAAGGCTTCATTAGTACATTTGATCTCTTATCTCTGAAGTTTTCAAAACAAAAAAATACGAAATAATCTCAATTTATAAAAATATATGTGAATATTACAGGAAAAAAATAAAACTATATTTCTAACTAGAACATTTTTGCAATAATTATCAAAATGCCTCCAGAAACAAACTTAGTTATTTGGTCCAGTTTTTAACCACAGTTATCATCACCTTACAACAATTTTAAAATGTGCCACAATATTTACATACGTACATATTTGTCACGCCTGTGTTGCAATTATGGCCCAAAATAAGAAATAATGAATACTAAATAACTACTTCGTATAAGAAATGCAATGAAGGTCTCTTATCTTATATATTTATGTACGGTTTTCTTTTAAACATATATGTTTTAGAATAAATGATAGCATTACAGTGTGTGTACTGAAATATTGTAAAGTTTTACATTGTTTATGTAAACTGGATGTATTTTAGAACATAGGACCTATATTTGTCAAACAGGTTTATCCACCTTATAATAAATGCTAAAAGCTCATGGCATAATAACATGTTCTACGAATGTTGTAAGGTAATATTCTATAAGACATAAGTTTAAATTTTAATTATATATTGGCAAAATCCACTAGAAAAAAGGAAAATATTAAATTTTTTAATACAGTAATCTACTAAGAAGTACTTTGTGTTGTTGTAGTGTTCTGCATTGATGGATGCCTATCTTAACATTTAGGCAGTTATGTGTAATTGATATGTTTATAATAATAAATATATGGATAGACAACAATTGTTTTTTTTGTATGCCTCAATTTTTTCCATACTTTTTATATATATATTATAAAACAATGATAAATTATCATAGATATTTTTTTACGTTCTGACAACACAAAGTAATATTGAATTTATAATCCTTACTAATATCTCTGTAAAAAGAAATAGATAGATAGATACTCTTCCTATTGTTTCCTCCAAAAGATTACAATAGTAAACTTATTATAAATATAAATAATTACAAGAAACAATCACAATGAGAAAACAATGGGCGACCTTATCGCTAAGAGCGAACTCTTCCAGGCAACCTTTGGATGGAGAGGAGTAATTATAAACAATTTGGTAGGAGGCACGATAAAAAATTTTGTTAGTTCTAGAAATAGGGAATGTAATACATATAATAATATAAAAATTATCCCTACTCATTATTATTATATATATACACATGCACTTCTTATACTGTGTTAATATTATAAATATGAAAATAAGTTTGTTTGATATCTTTCGGTGCTTTTATATGAAATTGGTATGCTAGTACTATATTGTACGGAGAAGGGCATTGACTATCATCGAAATATTTATCGGTCACGCGGACAAATTCGCAGACAAAAAGTAATAATCTATAATTACCACCAAACTTTGTACAGTCTCTCTGCTAAAGATTTATATTTATTAGTAAAATTTAATTCTTATTTTTGTTATGTGTAAAAATGAAATGGTAAGCCCGTCTACACTATCGATATACGCTGGCGGGGCACCAGTGAAAGATCATCTTAACGAATTTATCAATAATTAACCACAATGATTTCTAGTGAGAATCGCGTGGAGGTCGACCTGTTAAAGTATACTCCTAACAATGTGGCCGTTACATCATTACTATTCCTACCTTTATTTCATATTGGTCCTTAGAATAAAGATATCGCTGTGACGTCAAATTGATATTTTATGTTTAGAAAATTATAATACAGAATCAACTTTTAAGTAAGAGATATAGGTAAGTGCCTATGAAAAATCTAAACATAATCGATTAATTATGAATTATTTTCAACAATTAAAGGATTTATAGATTTTTAAGCTAGTAACATTGTCCTAGACAGCAGTATAGAGTAAGGAGACCTATGGATAATTGGAGACTTCACTCAACTGTCAGATAATTTCACTGACATCAGGAATTGTCAAAGAATTACTCTATATTGTAATTTTTTTTAATATACGGACTTCGTACCTTCTTTAGATATTATTTTGTTTTTATTAATTTTCTAGAATTTAAGCTTAATTTTCTTAGTAAATTTAATTAAAAGTTAAGTATAATGGCTCGAGTATTAGTCGGTGTAAAGAGAGTTATTGATTATGCTGTGAAAGTGAGTAATAATTATCAAGTTCAAAGGTTGCTTTTCACCAGACAAGTTTCATATTTAATATTTTTTATCAGAGAATTAAAAGTTATGAATTAATTATTTCAATTAACCAAAGAAACAGTTTGCTTCAAGTGCCAGTACTTCTAAATTTAAATATATGTACATATTAGAATATTTGACCTTGCTTCAACTGATTACTTTCAGATTCGCGTTAAGCCCGACAAAAGTGGTGTAGTAACTGATGGCGTGAAACACTCAATGAATCCTTTCGATGAGATTGCAGTAGAAGAGGCGGTCAGGCTGAAGGAGAAAAAATTAGCCAGTGAGGTCATTGCAGTCTCATGTGGGCCAACACAATCGCAGGTATTATTATCATCATCATATTCTAGTATCAGTACTACCGCTCATATCAATGTCGTGTAGTATTTTAAGAAGAATTCCTACTGCAAAGTACCAGGTCGTAATCCGTCTAGGTTTTAAAGTTTATTTCCAGTGCCTTAATTTCTGCAAAGTAATATTAATGTATTGATATCAGCACTAATTACTATTATTATTAGTAAATAAGTTTTACATTTGAAAATATATGAATTTTTTTACATAATCCTACATCTACTGAATATGCAGTTTTCTTTAGTAGTACAATATTTCTACTACTATTAAAAATAAAAATGGTATTATTTTAATTTATAAAACTAGCGATCTGTAGGCCTTCTTTAAATCTAATATCCATATCAATCTAATGTCAATGACAATTTTGAACTTTACATTAATGAAATGACAATAAGGAATTAAGCTAAAATTGGAACAGTATAGAACTATTATGTCCCTTGTATTGCAATTTAAGAGTGTGAAACATCACAATTGCAATATATTGGAATTTATTTCAAGAGTAACTCCACTGGTCTAGCTTTGCATGGATAGATAGTTTTCTAAAATAATATATAACCTATGTTACTTATGATAATGTAGCTTTATAAGTGAAAGGATTTTTAAAATTGGTTGAGTAATTTTTGAAATTATCCATTACAAACAATCAATCAAATTTTTTTTTTGTAATATTACTAAGAATAGAATTATAGTTGAATGAGATCAGACAGGTTACTAATAATTATTTATACCTGCAAGATCATTTTAATTTACCTTTTATAAAATAGAAATCCTCTAATGCATAATTCTTAATATTTTTGTTATGCAGGAAACTCTTAGAACAGCTTTGGCCATGGGTGTGGACAGAGCCATACATGTTGAGGTAGCTGGAGCGGAGTATGAGAGCTTGCAACCGATCCATGTGGCTAAGATACTTGCAAAGTTATCACAAGATGAGAAAGTTGATCTTGTTATTGTAGGCAAACAGGTGAGATTTTTTTATGGTTATTTTTAAGTTTGTAGGGTAGGATATGGCAGTGATATTAGTGTTTGGAGGATTAGCAACATAGTCCTCAGGAATGGCAACATATGAATAGTACCTACTATGAGTATCACAGTGTATACTGTGATTTTCATGTTTATAAGTGATGGTTACCACTTTTCATCAAGTAGGTTGTCAACTTGTCATTTCAAAATGTCATTAAAAGAAAGCTTATATTAAAAATGTTACTAGTGATCCACCCTGGCTTTACATGGTTTCTTTAAAGAAAGTACAGCTCACATTATTCACTGATAATGTAGCTTTCTATAGGCAAAAAAAAAAATTAAATGGTTATTTTAAATAAAATCTATTTAAATTAATTGCAATAACTTTTTCACTATGTATTAGGCAATCGATGATGACTCAAATCAAACTGCACAAATGACAGCTGCATTCCTAGACTGGCCTCAAGGAGCATTTGCTTCAAAGGTATGTAAAAATACTAATAAAATATTTAAATATGATAGTTTGGTTTCTTTTAATAACTTGTATTAAAAAAGAATAACTTACATTCAAAGCAACTTTATATCTAAATGTATTAAGCAGTTTATAGGATGACAGTTATTTGGTGGCGGAAACATATTATTATTAATATAGATGATAGGATCTGGCAGTGAAATTATTAGGTATATTGCATAACACATCAATTCTCAGGATTGGTAATGCAGTAGAATATTATAAGCATTAGAGTATATCCTTTGATGTCTATGTTGGTGCTCATATCTATATTATGGGCTAGGAGGTTGTTTGTCATTTGCCAAGATATTTATGGTTTCCAATGCCATCACCACAAGTATGTGTTCAACTCCTATTGAAAGGTTGGATTATTTAATCGGATATGTACTTATAAATTATATGTTTTGAAATTCATTTTATATATAACAAAATACAATTCAGTTATAATAATATAATTCTTCATTGGTAATTATCTAATAAGTTTAAGCTATGATAACCTTTTACGACTTTTTATCAGATATTGTCTTACAGTTATTTGTATAGACTTTATGAAATAATCTTTTATCACACAAATTGATTTACAAGTGCAATAAAGAACATATATTTCAATAAATTGTACATTATATTAATATACGGGTATTTAATTACATTGTTCAACTGCTCCTGTATCACACAAAATGTTAGAATAACTTGTTTTTTAAAAAAGCTAACTTGATAGCATAATACCTATTAACTTGATTATATCAGAACTTTTTTCCTTGTCCACTAATATTTTTTTTTTATTTATTTATATATTAAAGTTACATACTTTGACATTGAGTAGTTATTTACGAGTCTAGTAGAATGAGATATACAAGAATCACAGAAGCGTAGAGATGCTATTTTAATAAACATTTCTATGAATATAGTATTTAATTCATTCATTACTATCATTATTTATTTTTTATTATTGTTTCAATAACTAAGAAACTGAATAGAAACTATTTTCTTCATTCTTTATACTGTATACTCTATATACCTAAATGAATTCAAAAATATTTGAAGCACTGTTGAATTAGCGATCTAAAAATTTTTTTAGATATATATATAACTCAGGAATATCTCTATACAGCTATGTTAAATAATAATTATTATTCCAGTTAGAGAAGACCGATTCTGGCTTGACTGTGACCCGTGAAATTGATGGTGGTCTTGAAGTGGTAAAAACAAAGTTACCGGCTGTTGTCAGTGCAGACCTCAGGCTCAATGAGCCCAGATACGCTACTCTTCCAAATATTATGGTATGTTTTTTATACTACTGAATCTGTCTGACATTATTTATAAACTAATTGAAGGATAAGCAAGCTGAAATGGTAACGGGCTGGTCACATAGCTCAAAGAATCAATATATAGAAGAAATATGATATAGAAGAAAGGTTTTTGAATGATGGCTGTGTTTCGGTTTGAAGGGTAGGATATATAGCATGAATTTACTGGGTACAGAGGAATAACACCTGAGTCTTCAGGAACGGCAACGCATGGGGGGTATCATGGGCGAATCAGTATACTCTGTTATATCCATGGTACTGCTCATGTCTATAGGCGACGGTTACCACTTTCCATCAGGTGGGCCGTCAGCTTGTTTGCCATTCTAAGTTGTATAAAAAAATAAAATAAAAATAAAAAAGATCTTGTATGGACAAATGCAGTGTAGGACGACCTCACACTAGATGGAGTGACAATCTCAAATGCGTTGCAGGTTTTCCTTATGGCAGTCTATAGGGGAGGTCTATAATCAGCAGTGGACAAATGATGGCTGATATGATGATGATGAGTATTGTAAACATGACATACATGTATGGTACCTAGTAAAGCATAGCAAGTGACAATAGTACTACTATTAAGGACTACTCTTTGTTGAATATTCATACAAGCATTAAATATGCTTAAGAATTTTGTTAAGAGCCTAACTTTTTTTTAATTGACAATAAAACCTATCATGTTGCTGCTATTAATATCCAAGTGTATGAATTATTTTTTTGTTAATTAATAAATATGTTCAGATTTTATAGTATATAGTCAGCATTGTTGAATACAAACTATAATATTTTCCTACAGAAAGCCAAAAAGAAGCCACTAAAGAAAGTCACTGCAAAAGACCTCGGCGTGGATCTTACACCGAGGATCAAGGTGGTGTCCGTAGAAGATCCTCCAGTGAGGCAGGCCGGCTCCATCGTGCCCGATGTCGATACGCTCATCGCCAAACTCAAGGAGGGCGGGCACATTTGAAAATACACTGTATATTTATTATAACAGAGTTTATTTCCCTGTATAAATATAAAAATTGTTTTTCTACACGAGATTTTTGTGGAGTACTGTGGATTACGTAGTCAAGTTATTGAATATACAATATTAACAAGTTAACTTCTTTTTATTCCATACATTGTAGTTGATAACATTAAACCGACTAGATCGATTATATATGGCAGTACAAATCAACTCCACATGTTCCCTTCAGTTTTCATTTTCCTATTATATTAGAAAATTTCATCAAAATTTGTCAAATAATTTTCACATTTAAACAAAATTTCCGTACACATATTTTGATTATTTTGGATTCAATTAATAAAATCATGTGTGTACGTGATAACTAATTTTATTAAGTAACTAATACATTGCCTCTCCACTGTAAGGTTCATACCAAACTATTTTTCCCTCGAGACAGCCCGTGACCAGCATATGATACCTAGGGTTGAATTTAGAGCTCACTACTAAGTCTTGATGTATACCTAGGCTTTGTCCTACATCCACCATTGGTTTGGGTCCATTGTTGTTTTGTACGCAGTGAGATAGTTCGCTGCAATTCTCATTCAGTGCTAGGAGCCTCATCCCCCGACCGAAAGGTGAGCAGACTAGTCGACCGTCAGCCGAGTAACATAATTCCTATAAATGAAACAATATATTAATGTTCAAACTTATATCATATATATATATATATATACCAATAAATTTTATAATTAGACTATAGACGAGAAACATTTTTCTATGAACATACATTTTAATATTGTAATAATAAAACAAAGAAAATCATAACTCATAAAATATTCATCACCTGCTTAGACCTTTATGGAGAGAAGAGTGATGATGAGTTCTCGCTTTTTCTATTACACTATACATTTAGGCCTTCAATAATTATTTATTTTATTTATTTATTCATTAAAAATAATTATAACAGCAAAAGCCAAATCAATGTTATAAATCTAGCGTGCTAACATACAAAGTTATAATAAATGTATTTAACCCGACTCTAGATATTTCTGAACCGCTTCTAATATCTTTGGCAGGCTACTACTAAATATATCAATGATGTTTCTAATATTATTCAATAACCGTACTGCGTGAGTTAAGGTAGTGATAATATCTCATTTTGCAGGTTAGCAGCCCATGAACTCTCTTGTGTATGCTACATAAACGAGTTCATGGGACGAGAGGTGTTATTTCTTTATATAATCGTAATTCAAATTCATGATAACCTTTATAAGTCACAAATAAAATATCAATTATGATCTAGTATGTAAACGCGTTAGAATACCTTGATAAATCCTTTGCCTTCATTGGTCTCTTCTATATAATAAAGAAGCCTGTCTCTGTTTTGTCTGATGTAGTGTCTTGTTTCCCATTCGTCGTCACACGAGTTCGCGCGCTCCCCGGATGGTGTCTCCCCCGACGTCGACGGTAACGACACGGGACTGTAGTGAACATGCAGAAATTAAGTGTTTTATAAGTATATAGCTACCAACATCGGATTAGTTTATTCCAATATTTTTAAATTGAATTGAGAATTGTCTAGAGAAGGATCAGGAAAGAAATTATCAGCTACAGGTAAAAACATGTACATATGTGGCTTCTTTAAGGGACCAAGCCCTTGGAAAACTTTAATTATGCCAATGCGTGCAGTCTAACCGTATATTTAATTAATGGATGAAAATAGAATAATGGCTATCAGTATACGATGGCGAGGCACCAGTGAAATATTGTCCTCTCGTGACGAATTTAACTAGAATTAACCACGACCGATTTCCAAGAGAAACCACGTGGTAGTTAATCTCATAGGTATCAGTATCAGGACCTCACAGGTAATCCCTCGGATTTGTTGTATTGCTCCTCTGTCGTCAAGATACGTGTGATACGAGCCTAAGTTTAAACCAGTACGAGGCGCATGCAAGTAACAATTAGGTCGTAACCTGAGATCGGCGTGCGGCGCGAGGTGTGGGTGGTGCGCGTGCGGCAGCAGACGCGCCACGGCGCCGCGCAGCGCTCGCGGTCTCATGGCCGTCGGCGGCGCGATGCCCGTGTTGATGCCCATGATGCGCTGCATGTTAAAGTTCCGTCCCACGCCCCTGGTGTACGAGATAAAATCTCTATTATTTGTTATTATTTAAAATTTTATTCATTATTAATTATAAGTATTTATAATTAATTTGCAACAAATAAAAAAGGATTATAGAACAGACGTTCTAACGCTAAGCATGTCTTTTATTAAAATAAAAAGTTTACATTTAATTTAAGATATTGTTGTCAATTGATGTAATGGCTTTTTATTGGTACAAAACAATATTTTTGGTCCTGCGCGCCGGATGCAGCAACTCACTTTAATTTTTTACATGAAAATTTTGTCAAATTATTAATAATGATAAAATATCTGCTTACTGATAAATTATTTCAATTGACGCGAAACATTTATTGGATAAAGTACTTTGCATTAAAAAAAAAATAAAGGATAGGAATAATCTAATGAGATTAATCAACTCACTAACCTGCTGTATAATTCCTGTAATACCCTATGTTGTTTGATAGTTATTGATGCCTCCCACACATCATTTTGAATACTTGATAATCCCTGGTAGAGGAAAAAAACTAATGAATTGTCTATTATAAAAGAGGAAAATAATGTAGCGATTACGAGAGATTGCATAGTCCAGTGAGTCACTATAAAGTTCCTAGATTATTTATAAACCACACCGATATTGATATTTTGGGCAAAGCATATTGATATTAGTTATACAACACTATAAATATTAATTTATTTTATTGTGTTACACTTTTTGCTAATCGAATACATATTCAAATTTTGTTAATATAGGGGTAGTGCCAACTCTTAAATAACATGTCCCTTATTATTTAAAATGTCAAACTTTTCATTAAAGTTTTTTGGCTTTTTAAGTGTTCTGTCTCTTTCTTTGACACTAAATTCCCAATTTAAAAGAAAATGAAAAATTAGTGTAACACATAATTAAAAGTCAAAAACAGTTTTTTTTTTTTTATGGGACTAATCTGTATAAATATCCTATCAGATAAAAAAAATCCAAATCAGTTTATGTATGTATTAAGTAACAAACATAAAAAGAATATAACCGAAAAAAGGACCTCCTTCTTTTTGGAGTCAATTGAAAATAGGTTTTAATTTTTATGAATAAGGGTGTTAATGTTTACTCGCTGTGTGATCAAGCGTGTAGAAGTGCTAAACGAAACATTATGGTCACTTACACCACCGAGCCTCGAAGAAGTGGCAGTAGATGAAGACCCGTTACTTGGGCTGGGCGGTTCTATTCGTGAAGTGCTAGGACCAGCTTCGGGCTCCTCCTCTCTATCGCTATCTCTTTCTATTTGACGGTCTGATGAAGATCTGGGTTTGAAGCAAATGTTCTGTTAGTTAATTTGTGGAATTAAATAATAGGGGTTGCAAATAGGTTTCTTTAGGGATGGCAATGGGGAAGTGACTTTTTTTTTTTTTTTTTATACAACTTAGAATGGCAAACAAGCTGACGGCCCACCTGAAAGTGGCCCACTGGAAAGTGGTAACCGTCGCCTATAGACATGAGCAGTACCATGGACATAACAGAGTATACTGTTTCGCCCATGATACCCCCCATGCGTTGCCATTCTTGAGGACTCAGGTGTTATTCCTCTGTACCCAGTAAATTCACGCCATATCCCACTCTTCAAACCGACTTCTTCAGTATTATTGTAAAACGTCTTTAGTATTATTGTAAGACATCCTTAGTATTATTGTAAGTTGGCATACACGATTGCATACCACCACTACGGTATAAAAAAAAGGTAATAAAGAATTATCAAGACTACTGGAAATAATATAATATTTTAACGGATCCCTCTTTCCTGATCGTGAACCAAATTTAACGATTACCCAAATTTTTTTTATTTATTAAGTACTTATCCACTTTCATAACTAGTTTCATGCATACACCTCAGTTCTGGAGTTTCTTGGCACCTTCATCCGATAACACAGTTATTTAATCACTAAAGTAATTTGAAGTATTTTTTCCACTTTCGTAAAGTTTTAGTATATCGCTTTCATCAATCTTTTATCAGCCAATAGATTTTTTTTACGTAACTTAGAATGGCGAACGAACTGACGGCCGACCTGATGGAAAGTGGTATCCGTCGCCTATAGACATGGACAGCATCATGGATATAACAGACTATACTGACAAATAAAAAAGAAATAATAATTAGATAAATTAAAGCCGCATTACTTGGGACGTTTTAATGTAGATCTACCTGCCTTGATGCCTGCATCGGACCATAGATTATTAAGTTTTTATTTTTTGTTCCACGACACTCCTTTCATTCATATAATATTATTTGATTTGGTGGTGTTTTTGATTGTTAAAATTTTGTAAAATTGTGAACATTTGATTGTTAAAATATATACAATGATGTCCTAAAATTGATTACGGTACGATGGGACTGACGTGCCTAAAAGGACAAATGTCCCTAAATAAAGAAAAATAAAAAAAAAACTTGGGACGTTCATAAGAGATGGCCGTTTTGCACGACTAGCTCGAACTTCTGAAAATGCTATGTCGGTGTAGTGTGTAGCGTGTAGTGCGTAGTGCGTAGTGTACTCACGGGGCCTCGCCGGCGGGCGTGACGGAGGTCTGCGGGCGCAGCGGGCGCGCGACGCGCGGGCGCGGGCGGCGCAGCGAGCGGCGCGGCGGCGGCCGGCGCGGCGGCGGCGGCGCCTGCGCGCGCCGCCAGTCTCGCGTCGACTTGTCCGACGGCTCGCCGCTCGCCTGGATGTCGTGGATGCACGACCACTGCCACGCGCCATTACCAACATTAACCACTTAACTGTGTCGCGTCCGATCAGCGGACGATGGCGGATGGCGATAAGCTTTAATTATTGTAAACAAACCACCTCTTGTCCCTGACGCCAAGAATGTACGTAAAATAATGAAATTGTAGACCAGAGGGAGACTTTGTACAAAAGTCGATTGCTTGGGTACCTCTGTCCCATTCGTGTTTCAACCGTGAAGCAGTTGTGTTTGCATGGCTGTGTTTCGGTTTGAAGGGTGGGATATGGCGTGAATTTACTGGGTACAGAGGAATAACACCTTAGTCCTCAGGAATGGCAACGCATGGGGGGTATCATGGGCGAAACAGTATACTCTGTTATGTCCATGGTACTGCTCATGTCTATAGGCGACGGTTACCACTTTCCATCAGGTGGGCCGTCAGCTTGTTTGCCATTCTAAGTTTTATAAAAAAAAAAAAAAAAAAACTTAAATGTCAATTGAAGAAGGACTTTTTTTGGTCCATGTTTATAAACAAGTGCTGTATCTATTCTATCAAGTATATAATATTGTACAAAAAATATATAATTTTACATCCAGCAAGGTCTTAGTTTTTTAATAATTGAAAAATAAAAGGTAATTTATAGGTGACCCCATTTTATTTCTCACAGAACAGTTTCAATGCAATTCAAGTTGAGTGTAGTATAAGATATTACATAAGGAATCTAGTTGGAATATAAATCTAATCTGAATTTTATATAATTCCAATTTCGGAAAAATCAAGTTTTTTTTAAACCTATACGTTAAAAATCTAGTCTGTGTAAAGTCCGCTCAAATCATGATCTCAATTTTATTTTCAAATTACGATTTCAATTATTATTACTTTCTTATTTAGTGGAAAAAACATAGCATCTACACAGTGTAAGAAAGATTAACTATTTGTAGTTTTTATGACTTACTTCAGATCTGTCGTCGTGGCTAATATTTCTACTTAATGCACTCCAGCCTAGAGGATGTATCTGAAAAGAGATTAATTTTTTTGTTCAATCGTAACACTGTGAGTCCTGTATAAGTAAATTGTCATTTCTTCTGATATCTTTTAAAGTAATCATGTAATTTTTAACTGATACAAACGTACATTTGAAGCATTAAGAGTACCCGGTGACTTTGTTCCATAAAAGAGCGTTTAACTCATTAAAAAATGATCAAAAAATATATTTAGTTCGGTAAAGAAAAAATTAAAACAGCAATCTAACCTGCAGCGAACTCACGACCTTAGCGTCGTTCCCATCTGGGAAGTCCGATACGAACTCTATACGGTTCTCCTTTCGTTTCTCATCAAACAAATGGTCGTATAGAGCCGCGATTGGTATCAACTGGTGGCTCGTCTGCATTAACCGGTACAGGTTTGGCTGGAATATGTATGAATTATAAGCATTTTCAAGAATATATCGCACTGACTTTTATCAGCGAATCGGTTCATGTGACCGAGATATGTTGATTGATAGGATAGAAAGTAGCTTTACTTGTAGTAGCATGCTTCCATTCCAAACAGTATGTATATATAACTTAACGATTGTATATTATATAATAATATTTTGGAAGGTAGAGAAATTTGGTGTTTTCTTCATTTTATAATGTTAGTGTGTCAGAATTTTGTGGGATCTTTTAATAGTACAGGTAAAGCACATCTTCTAAATCTTAATCCTCAGACGTGGCAAAACGTATGAAGTGCGATGAGTGTAGCGTATTCTGTGATATACAAGGTACTGTTCATATGTATAAAGTTTACTTTCTTTCAAACACAACCCTTAAACCCTTAGTTTGTTTGCTATATTATATTTTTTAGACATGGAACACTGACTATAAAACAATTTAAAATAAAACTTTCAAATACCTTAAATCCGTGCAAATCTTGTGCTAAAGTGGACAGATTCAAGTTGTGAATAATGACGAGGAGACCGCCCGTCGTACACATAACCATTTGCCGAGCATCCGGCGACAGCCGACACCGCATCAGGCCGGACGCGTGAAATACTCTTTGGTACACCAGATTACATTCTGTATAAGAATTAATATCCCATGTGTAAATACTGCCGTTCAGTTCCGACGTGACTAGAAGCTTGTCTTTGAATGAGAACTCTATATTTTTCACCCACGACGTGTGACCGCTCAGTGAGCGTATTTTTTTCTTCATATTCCTTATATCCCATAATGCTATTGTGGTATCGTCTGAGCATGTGGCGAACATTCTTCCGTCTAGAAATCTAGAAAGAACACCATGTTACAACTCATATAACTTATATAATATATAATGCCATCTTAAATGCGTATACTTTATTATTATAACCATTATAAATCGAACAATAATACCTTTTAGAATTCTAGTCAATGAATTAAAATGATTGATTTTTTTTATTGAATTTCGAATTTAGACATTTAGAGTTTTTCTAGTACAGATATGGAAGGTATGTTATTCGAATTAATTTTATCTTTATGTGTTATATTTTAATGAAGCTTATGTGGTGATTATTTATTTTAAACCAAAAGTATTGTACTACAGATAACACATTATAGAAAAAAACTGGAGCATTATTTGACATTATGTTTATACATAGACATTGTGTTATATATATATATATATATATATATATATATATATATATATATATATATATATATACATACATACATACATACATACATACATACATACATATATATATATATATATATATAAAGAAAAGAAAAACGACAAACAATTTCAGTATAACCTAAAGTAAATTGTGTAGCTAATATGTTGATTTGATATAAAAAGAAATTTAATATCAGCTTGGCACTACTGGGCATAATGTCACCTCAATAAAGTAAAACTTAAAAGCTACATAACAGTGTACTTTCAGATATGTCTTAGCGAAGCTTGGTTCGCATTTTGGAGTGTGTAAAACAAGACAATACTGAAGTGGGCAAAGTCCACCCAGCCCCCTCTATAATATGCCTATAACTTTTCTCCAACTCATATAATATGCCAGATCTCATAATGCATTAAAACACCAAGAGGTAACTAATACATTTCCATATTTATAATATTGAAATATTATTATAGTACATGGTTTATAAGTTTTGAACTTTAAAATTTATAAACCATATTTATTGCTTGTTATGAAACAGAATTGTAATCAACTCTGTACTGTTTTGAATTCCAAACTAGGTAGGTAGGTAGATTCATAAAAAAAATTACTAATAAAAAAATATAATTAGGTTAACTCCAATAAAAAGTTATTTATTATTATCATTACCAAATATAAACTATCAAGCATTTCAAAATATGGCTTACTCAGTCTCAAACCACTAAACTTAGAAGGCTTTTTGATTTTATTATTGTATTTTACTAAACATATCATGTGTGTTAATCAAGTGTAGAGTCTATCTGTGTACCAAGTTTAATACATATCCATTTACTATAAATAGGTAAAATAGAGCAAAATATATAATTTTATATATTGTAGTTACATATAACCCACTGATGAACTACTTATAACTAGCTTTTCATCCATCATTTCATACCCATGTATTTCAAAAGTAGAAAATCCAAAGAAATAGGCCACTTCTAGATAGCATATCAAGATAATACATACACCAGACTTTAAATTAGATTTAGAATAGAGTTCTTAATTTGAATATTATATATTGGATAATATTCAAATTAAGAACCCTGCCTAATTAAAACATGTAATTAAGTAAAGAATATCCAAATATCTTTAATTTCACATTAATAAAAAGTTGTAAACAAATAACAAATTTATGTAATACTTTACAGTCAATACTTACTTAACACAGTTCACACAATCTGAGTGTGCAGCATTCACTGAATGAATCCTCTGATGTGTCAGTGGGTCAAATATTTGTATGGATTTCTTCTCACATGCAGCTACTAATAATGTACTGTAAATATTTATACAAAGTTATGATCTTATCACCAAGATGGATTTATGTAATTCATGACATAACTAGCTAAATCCTGTAGTACTGGTTATGAAAACCAAGAGAGACAATACCCTGCTGTGTTCATATATTTTCTTCCTACTTAAAATAATAAAAAAGAATGAAATAAATAATATACCAATATACTTAATTCATTGAACAATATATAGATAATGACATTCTATATATACAAAATATCATTGGTTTTTATTAAGTATGTGATAAATAAAAGCCAACCATATTTTGTGTTAATACAATAAGATATAATATGCAAAATTTATATAAAGTAATAAAAGTTAATGAAAAGAATATATAAATGTAATTTAATAAATTATTTATTCTCCATTGAGTAATTTTATTTTTAATTTAAAATGTACATAGTAAATGCTGGCCAATATTTCTTGTAATTTTTTACTATAATAATGAGCTTAATTTAAATAAAGAAAAACAATTTCTGTATCAGGTTTGCTGGAAGAAAATTCTTACAGATATAAAAGAAAGAAAACAACTGTATTAAATTTTTCTTTATAGTCTGATGTTTTTGTGTGTGAAATAAAATATAGATATCTAAAATAATAAAAGAATTGCAACTCATATTTTGAGACTCTTAACTTACTATAAACACAAATAATGATCAGCTGTTTAAAGGCAAAGAATTTCTTGTAAATGTATTTATTAGAATGCTGTTAAATACAAATAATTCAAGGCTAACTGGTTAAGTTTAAAAAGACCGCACTCACCCTTCCGGGGAAAACTCAAGGTTGAAGACCCCACCAGTGGGAAGTGCGTTGGCTTGCTCGCAGTCCCAGGATGCTATCGGTTTCATGCCACAATAAAGGCTTCGTGCCATAGCATCTCCAGCTCCAATGGGCGTCCCGAATCCAGTCTCTCTTCGCATCAGCCGGTATGGGCTGAATGCCGAATGCCTCGCCATAAAATTCATTCTGTCTTTGTTGGGCATTATGTTACAAAAACTTAATGTGTGGCAGTATAAACGAGCTGCTGCATATAAGTACACGACATATCAATCAAATTAATTTAAACTATTAAAAATCTATTGTCACACATTTCAACGTGTTCGTTTAATAATTTAATTAGAATATTAGATTGTAAAATATTATAAACCAAAAGTAATTGACCGTCAGTGTTTGACAGTGGGGTCGATTCTGAAGAACCATTCTCTAAACCTATTTCTAAAATTAAAATTTAGGTTCAATATTACAACTAAATATTTATTCTAAGGATCAATATACATTAAATTTCTAACAAAATTAAATCAAAATTTCTATAGATTTAATTTATGATGACCGTTGAAATGGTATTTTCTTAAAATTATCAATTTAAAATGTTAGGATAAGAGATAATTCAGAAAATGGCATCTCAGAATCGACCTCAGTATGACATATTTAGTGTTGAGTGTCACTTTATCCGATTGACTGTCAATGTGACACTAATGACCGCCATAGACGGTTCAATATGTTTTTCTGTTTTTTGTTTTCAACCTTATAGCAACAAGGTCAAATAATTTAATAGGATATAAAAAATTTAATAGGATATAATTTCATCATCATCAACATCTCAGCCATTATCCGTCCACTGATGGACTAGGCCTCCCCATAGACTAGCATATGGAATGATCCTGAGCCATCTCCATCCATTGACTCCCTGCAATGTATTTGTGATCGTCACTTCATCTAGTTGGTCGCCCTACACAATGTTTGTCTGTATGGGGTCGCCACTCAAGAACCTTTTTTCCCATCGGTAGTCTGTTCTTCGAGTTATGTAGCCAGCCCATTCGGGCTAAGTTGGTTGCTTTGTTTCTTTTGCGGATATCCTCGTTTCGGATTCTAATACGCAAAGAAACTCCGACCATGGCCCTCTCCTAAGCCCGCTGATTAATTTGAAATTTTATTATTTTATTTAATTTTTAAGACATCACTAGTGACACGCATTGCTTAAAGACCTTCGTCTTCAAACTCTGATGAAGGAAGATATGGCGTAGTTTTCCGAATGCTGCTCAGCCGAGTTGGTTCGTCAGCCTCTCGGTTGGAGTTGGACTTACTTATTCGGATAACTTGTCCTAGATATCTATACTCGTCGACAACTTTGAGCGTAGTGTTCTCGATCGTAACTGGTATACTAATGTAATTAAATAAAGACATTAAATATTCAGAACTGCTATCTATCAGAGTTTCTCTTAAACCTCAACTCCAACCCTCAACAGATGTGACATGGAGGTTAGACATGATTTTAGTCTTGTCTATGTTCATCTTAAGACCTACCTGATGAGGATATAAGATATAAAACTAGATTTCCACTGAATACAGACACGGACTGTCCAGTGGAGGATAGGCATATAAGATAGTCTATTTAATCTTTGATTTATGAAACAAGTCGTGATTAATCAAATTTAGAATCCTATTTACACAGCAACATTTCATTACCACTATGTCTTAAGGCAAAAATATGAGTGAAAATAAAATAGATTTTCTGAATAGGTAGACAAAATGGTTGTTTCTACCTTCAAAGTAAATATATATCAAAATAGATTTTGCTTTGGAAATTACAGCTATTTACAATAAATAAGACAAGATTGTTAATGTCAATTACAATTTATTTCAGTTATTGAATTTCATGAAAATATACAGACATATACAAAATGGGATATTATGCTTATAATATTATATAATTTGAAAACAACATTATACAAAAATATCTATATTACTTATTACAAAAAACTATAAATAAATAATTGTCTGATATTAATTATTAAAAAAATCATAAGAAACACAATCATTATACATTTGAATTATAAATTAGTATTACCATGTGTTAGGCTGTAATACTCCATTTGGTGGTGGAATATGACCAGATTTTAATACACTCTGAAGGAAAACCTCCAATCTGGTTTTAGGGCCACCTTCATCAATGCTTTGCAATATTGTAAGATAATCCGTGTTCACTAGTTTGATAACTTTTGTAAATTGTTTTCCATAATGTTTAAAGAACTCATGGCCACAAATAGTGAAGAAATCATTGAGTAATGTAGCACTGATGTCTGCTTCCGGTTTCAAATTTACAAAAGAAGCCAGCCAACACCAACCATATTTTAAGCTGTAAGGATTTGGAGTATTTAAGAACCTAGGTGTTTTCGCTATCCATATGGCACATTGAAGTTGGAATATGCCTGATATTCTCTTCAAAAACTTATCTTGCTTCTCTACCACACCATCTTCATTATATGTGTAACCTCTTGAGAGGTAGAATTCTTTATCAGTTTGCCCTTCTTTCTGAGGCAAGTACATTGGTACCAAATATGGACACTGTTTATGAAAGTTTGCTTCCAACAATTTGCCAAATATTGGAAACTGTGATGACAAGGCTACTGCAATGGCGGCAAGGGGAAAAGCTGCCTCTGGATTACTGGAGACCAATCTGTCACCTTGCTGTACAATTTTTTTCGCTAGCAGAGCTGTGCAATAGAATAAACCCTGTGGATGTTGAGTGGCTGTCACATATGTATCCAACACTTGTACTCTGTCACCCTTTAATAATTTTGACAATTTTTCATACTTATCCTTTATATGAAGGCCACTAACCGATGACAAAGCATTCACTGGTGTATTGACAGCTTTCTGACAGTCAAATCTGAATTTCTTTAGGTTAACATTTTCTAACAATTCTTTATATTGAGCTTCATATTCATCTAAGAATGTTTTAAGTTCTTCATAGTGACTATAATTCTTACAGGAATAAAATGTTGGTTTAACTTTTTTAGTATGTTGTAATGATGGATCTTGAATAACAGTTATTTCAGCTTCAGCTTCTTTTATTTTAGCTTCTTGAGTCATCTTCTCTTCTAATTCTTTCTTTTTTCTAGCCTCTTCCTCCAATTCCTTCTGTTTCTTTACTAACTCCTGCTGTTTAATTTCATGCAAATCTTCAATTATCTTTGTTTTGACATTGTCAATGTTTAGAGATAAAATCTCAGCTTGTTTCACCTCCTTTTCAGTGATAGCACCGGTCTTACACAGTTCTAATAAAATGGTGATATTTCCTAAAACAGTATCAATTAAAGATACATATTTATCACACACTGTTTTTCCTAATGGTTCTGTTTGTATGAGGTTTGATATTTCACTATAGCATATGCATATTTTTGTATGACTGTCAGTGATAGCGGCAAAACGTGCTGTTGCTTTATTCTGTTCTTCTAAAATTCTGTTCATGTTCTCAATTGTCTGTTTATTTACTAATTGAGTGTTCTGTTCATCTAACTTGGCTCTTTCTAGTAGAGATACATTATCGTTTTCCTGTTGTTGTTTTAACATCTGTAGTTTACGATTCCTTCGCTCAAGTGCTCTGCGTTCACATTCCTCACTTTGAGCCTTCCAATATTTCCCCATAACCTCTGCTCGTTTCGCGATCATTTTCTCAATTAACTCCCTGAATGAATCTTCTGTCGTCTTTTGCATTTTTGTCTCATACTCCTTCATTATAAGTGTGTAACGTAAATCTTCACGGATCTTGTCCTCGATTAGATTTTCTCCTTTTTTAACAGTATTTATTACCGGTCTCTCAACATGCACTTCCTGCTTTTTTATTGGACTATTAGGTCCAATAGTTACTTCTTTTATTAAAGGGCTAATTTCAGCAGCTTTAGTCAAAGCCGAGATACGTAGTTTTTTGAAATCGGCCAGCTGATCAGAAATGCTTAAATCGGTCTTTTTGTAACTACTATTTTTAGAGTTTGTATCAATATTATAGTCTTCCATGTCCATTGTAAAGTTTATATTTCACTTACTTTGCAATTAAACTAAAAAAGTTATAAGTAAAATAACAAGAATTCAGATGATACTATCAAAAACAAATCAGATTAGCGACACTGTCTGAGGAAAAAGGATTACAAATCAAATTCAGAGTCGACATCACGTTTAAAACGTTACGTAAGCAAAAGTGTGTAATAACTTTATCCAACTATAAGTATTAACAGAATAAAGTAATGAATATTCATAGTATCGTACAATAATTTATAATAAATGTCTCTCTACAATACAAATATCTGTTTTTATCTATATTATCGTAAAAATTTGCTACTTTATATACTAAAATTTTCAAATAAAAACTGGTTGCATATATTTATACAAACTTTTTTTATATAAAATGACTTTTACCTAGTTGAAATTTTTTTTTTTTTTTTTCTTTTTTTGTGGCGTTCACCCCGATATTAGGGTATTTTGCCAAGAACAAAACGGGGAAACGATAATAGTAATAAAAATACCTAACACAAACGAATTTAGAAAGGATAAGGATTAGGTCTAGGATATTTATAGGATATGAAACATATACTTGTACATATGAGAATATACTTATAAATATATAGGAAAAGCAATTGATGCAACTATAAATGTATTCATGTAATATAACTAAATCTTAATATTGTTATCATATATATATGAAGATAGTATTTTATAGATAATAGGATCATTGGAAGAAAGTAGAGTAAGAATAGAAGTTGGGAATGGAACACGGATGGATCGGAGATGATTAAAAAGGGAGGTGTGGTCAAATTTAGAACATGAGAAGAATATATGATTCAAGTCCGCCACTTCAGCACCGCAATTACACGACGAACTTTGTACAATACCAAGCTTGTATAAATGAGAAGGTGTGCATACGTGACCTAGACGCATACGAGTTATAATAGTTGTTGCGGTCTTTCCAAGCTTTAATTTACAAAACCATGGTTTGAAAGGAATATCGGGTTGTATAAGGCGATAAAATCTTCCTTTTATTGTACTTGTTTTTTCCCAATATTCCTTCCAGGCATACCTTAAATATATTTTTGGGAGACAAGCTAGGTCACTACAGTAATTATGATACGGATACATATCACCACAAGTTACAGCCTCTCTTGCAATAAGGTCAGCTTTGTCATTGCCGCTAATACCACTGTGTCCTGGTAACCAGGCAAAAGAAACGGAATAACCTCTCAACATGCAAAGATAAAGACTTTGTCTTATGTCACAAATAATGGGATAAACTGGTTTTGATTTAAACGGATATTTGGCTAGAGCTTGCAAAGAGCTCATAGAGTCAGTGAAAACTATTGCCTTATGTAATTTCATTAAAAGTATATATTCTACAGCTTTTAAAATACCATAACATTCCCCGGTAAAAACTGAAGACTCCGGTGGAAGTTTAATTTTTTGAACGATATTAAATTGTGAATGAAACACACCCACACCTACACAACCGCTATTGTCTGGTTTTGATGCATCAGTAAAGATGTAGTGCCATTCATTCCATTCAATGTCAGTTATAAACATAAATTTGGCATTCAATTCTGAATCATTTTTTAATAACCCAAAATCATATTTAATATTAGGAGATAAAACTAAAGATTGATATGAGCATTTATAAATGGGAAAACAGGACGATGTAAAAGTGGGAGATTCTATGGATTTATATTTTTCATAACTTTGTATTAAACATGGAGGTTTTTTATGTTTCCAATAAGATGAAGACGAAATAAAGATATGTAGTTGAGATAACTTTTGAATAAGCGGATGATCAGATAATTGTAAACAACGAAAAAAGAAGCGATCAGATAGATATTGTCTTCTTAAAACCAAAGGTGGATCACCGACTTCGAGCTGTAAAGCATTGATTGGACTTGATTTCATTGCTCCAGAGATAATCCTCAAGGCCTTTGATTGAATTAAATCCAATTTCTTAAAAGCAAATGAACTTCCTGGAGCTAACAAAAAAGTTCCATAATCAATGACACTCCTTATAAGACCATTATAAGCAAGTTTTAGTGAAACGGGATGTGCTCCCCACCAAACTCCAGCAAGGCACCTAAGAATGTTGAGGTTACGCTCACATTTCGTAGAAATATAATTACAGTGGGACAGACCTGTTAATTTATTATCTAGCACGATACCTAAAAATTTAATTTCAGTCTTTATAGGAATGTATGAGTTATCATAAAGCACCTTAATTTGTTGCGGTGATCTCATTCTTGAAAACAAAACTACACTACTCTTGGTTACAGAAAGATTAAGACCATTTGCATCTAACCACGTTTTTAACAAATCTAATGAATCAGATAATTTGGCAGAAGCAGATTCTATGGACTTCGCAATAAAATATAATAAAAGATCATCAGCATATTGTAAAATTTTGACGGATTTATCAAGGAATAATTCTAGATCGTATGTGTATATGTTAAATAAGATTGGACTGAGAACAGATCCTTGTGGAAGGCCTTTCCATACTGTTCTAGATAATTTGGTATCTTCATCTAAATTCATATATATTGTTCTTTCTGATAAAATATTAATAATGAAATTAGAAAGCATTACCGGTACATTTAGAGCTTGTAATTTAGTTTTTAAAATAGAAATTATTACATTATCATAGGCAGAATTTATATCTAAAAAGGCTGAGAGGATTGACAAATTTTGTGAGAAAGCTATATGAATATCTGAAATAAGAATGCTCACATTATCTAAGGTGCTCTTACCTTTCCTAAAACCAAACTGGTTCGGGGATAGTAAGTTATTACTTTCTAAAAACCATTCTAGACGGTTTTTCACTAAATGTTCAGCTAGCTTTAGTAAGACAGAGGAAAGTGCAACAGGACGGTATGAAGATGGTTCAGAAGGTGGTTTATGAGGCTTTAGAAATGGTATAATAATCTGAGACTTCCATGAAGTAGGTATATTTCCCGAAATAATTATGGAATTAATTATATTTAAAAAGTAAATTAATGTCGCATCGCTAGCATTTTTAAAAAAGGAATACGGTATACCGTCTTCTCCCGGTGCAGAGTCTTTAATAGAAGCTAGAACACCTTTAAGTTCTACTAGAGTAAAAGGAGAGTCAAGTTCGAATAATTCGTCAGAGACGGATAGAGAAATATTGTAAAGGCATTCCGGCACATAACTAGGAGCAAGGCGATCTAAAAATTTATTCGCTAAAGTTAAATCGAGTGCAGAACGTGATGTATGATCACTAAAGGCAGATCTGAATCTTTTAATATTATTCCAAACGACTGATGAATTAACTTCTGGACAGATAGAAGAACAAAATCTTCTCCAGCCTTCTAATTTCTTTTTTTTCAGTAGTTTTCGAGTAGAACGTGAAACTGCGGTGTAAATTTCAAAATTTTCTGGTGTCATGTAATTATTATAATTTTTTTCAGCCTCTTTACGATTTTTAATTGCTTCCGTACAATCTTTGTCCCACCAAAGTGGCGAGGGAATTTTCCCTGAAGCACTATTTTTAACAGGAAATAATAAATCAGCAACCTCCTTCATATTTATCATCAAGTCATTACAACATTGATGTTCATTTCCATGGTAAACAATAGGTAACTCCGATATTTTATTATCTAAATATTGTTTGTAAATATTCCAGTCTACATTTGATAAATTATATTTAAGCCGAGGACCACTCTTTCGACTTGAGGGAATGGAAATTGGAAAAGAAAGAATGAGGGGAAAGTGATCGCTTCCGAAAGTAGAGGAATGAGGATACCACGACAGTGAAGAAGCTAAATCAGAAGAACATATTGAAATGTCAGGAGCACTAAACCCTTCATTCGGTGCAGTTCTACGTGTTGGTACATCTGAGTTAATAATACATAAGTTGTAAGTGTCAATTATCGTCAGGAGTTTTCCACCATAAAAATTAGAAGTAGAACTGCCCCACGATTGGTGTTGAGCATTAAAATCGCCCATTACGAGAAAAGGTTTAGGTAAAATTGAAAATAATTGTTCTAGTTGTGAATATATTTGGCATGTAGGATCAGGAATATATAAAGTAACAAAACAGATACCATTTATAATTATAGCAGCTGCATTAATGCCGCTATATACAGGAAGCGAAAAAGAAGAAAAAGGAAGGGAGTTTTTGACCAATATGGCAACACCGCCATATCCGTCAGCTCTATCATCTCGGAGACTTGTAAAGCCTGAAATCCTAAAAGGATATCCTGGCTTTAACCTAGTCTTTTGTAGAGCTATTATAAAAGGATTATATTTATTAATCAAATAAAATAAGTCTGATTTCTTGTTTGTTATGCTACGACAGTTCCACTGAATTATTAGGACTTTGTAATCCATTGTGAGAAGTTAATAATTGAGAAAATACATTGTAAATGGCATCGTTGGACGGTGGTATAGTTGAAATTTACATACGACAGTTGCATTGGTAGATTTTTTAAATTTTGATAATGACAAGTAGCCTTAGAACAAGGAATTACTTGTTCTTAGCAAATAGCTGCTTTAACGATTTATTTTTACTAGTAGTATTATATAATGGGCAAAGATTTATAATTCCTTGCTGTTAGATAATGGGCAAAATTAACTCATTGCCAATATTAAAAAAGAAATAGTTGCTGATATGACAATTTTTAACATTTATTTTTATTTTTTTAAGGACCTTAGATTATAAAGTATAGATTGGAAATTTACAAGACAAAAAATATAATAATTTGTATGTTAGAGCGAGAGAGAGAATAGAATAAGAACAACATATGCTCAAAGGAGGGGAAAGGGATTGTTAGTATATCGACCTCCTCGCGGTTCCCCTTGGAAACTATCATGATTAATTCCTAATGAATTCATCATGATGGACTAACTGGCCTGTTTTCATCCTCATCGATCACCTTTCACTGGTGTCCCGCCAGCGTATCCCGTTTGCGCAGGCGGTGTTACCATTCATTTTCATCTAATAAAAAAAAATGCTCAAAGCTGTTTCGGTGGAATTATGAACAGAATCATTTCTAATTATTTTTACGTATTGAAGTTGAATTAATTTTAAGTGAATTTAATTAGTTAGAATTAAGTGTGCTTTATCTTGTTTTTTATATCACTGTGGTGGCAAACAAGCATACGGCCCACCTGATGGTAAGCAGTTACAGTAGCCTATAAACACCTGCTATAGATTGAATGTAATATAAGTAATAAATGAAACAGTCCATGTTTGACATGTAAATACATAGGTATTACATTACCGATTGAGAAAATTTAAAGTAATAAATATTTTTCAACTGTTATCTGTTATCTTCAAATACTTGTGATTTTTATATGTTATGATAAATACGTCTCACTTCTAATTTTCACATTTTATTTTAGAACGTAGTGAGATAAATTAGTAGGAACATATATTTTAAAGGTGTATAAATACAGGTTTTATATATTTTAGTTTCCTTTACGTTGTTGACAGTCTACCCCAGATATTGAACTTCATAAGCTGTCAACAAGATTTCCTTACAGCTAAGGTTAATATAAAAAATATAAATTTAGCGCGAATTTCTGACAGAAGACAATTATTTGTTTTGGTGTTTTACTAATGTTATTTTTCTAATTATTTTTATATAATATATGATTTTTATTTTGTAAAGTTACAATAAAGAGACAATGGTTCTACAGAATACAGGAAAATACAGAGGTGATAGAGAGGACAGTGTCAAGAAAGATGCAGGATCATCGTCAGGCCCTAGGTTTCAATGTTTTTGTTTGGACATAAGTATTTATTGCTTTTTATTTTTACATATCTGTAATTGAAAATAATTTTTAGAGAGGAGTCATCAGAGTCTCGTATCCGTGTGGCATTGGAAAATGATAAAATAGATTCCAAATATGGATTCGAAAGAGTGCGTGATACTAAGGAAAGGACAGGTTATCTCATTAATATGCATACAGTAAGTATTCATGGCAATACTGTTACAGTTTTCTATATTTTACAAACTACTTATAATTAAAAAGAAGTACTGATTATTAGAATCTAGCATAACATTGTATGTATGTAGTGTAAATTGGACTCTATTTCTTCTATTATCTATTTCTATTTTCCGTGCTAAGCCTCTCATTTGGGCCATTGTATGTATGGGTTATGGCTAGTACAGCGAACTTAGCTCCGCCCGGAAGCACAGAAGCTTCCTGGGATTTTTACAGGCCTCACAGAGCAACCTCATTATTCTGAGGATTTTTGAATGTTGAAGGGCCACAGCTTTACATTCCAAGTTTATGTGAACAGCCGTTTTTTCAGCATCAAAACAGCCTTGACATAGAGGGCTGTTTGTGGCTCTTATTGTGTATAAATGAACTAGAACCCCTTCTAGCTAGCTCGTCTGTGGCATCATTACCATAAGATCCATTGTGCCCTCTTATCCACTGGAAGATAACTCAATTATTGGAAGATATGTTATCTAGTACCCAGTAGCAGTCAATTATTAATTTGTTATTTTGTCTTGTTTCATAATGCTTTCAGTACAGCTGCACTATCAGATAAGAATCTAATGCTTTCTTCATCATTTATTCCTAGTTTCAAAATAATGTCATTTATTTCTAGCTTATGTACAGCTGCAGCAGCCTCAGTTATTGCTACATATTGGCATTGGAATCTTGAGCTGTGTTCTCTAAGTTATATGTGTATGTTTACATATATATTGAGGTCTAGAGAAAAAACTCCAGTTCCTGAACTGTTTTCAGTTTTGGATCCATCTGTGTATATGTGTAATTCATGTACTCTAGATTGGTCTTTTTCCTCTTCTTTTATTTGTATTTGATATTTTTTTTAATATATAATGATTATGAGTCTTATCACATGGAGCTGCAATCAGTGATTCATATTCGATTGCCTGGTTTAGAATAGAAGTGTGGGGTCTGTTATGATTTATACCCTATAGATCGAGATGCATTAGTCGGATTGCAGCTAAGGCCGCTTTCTGCTGTTTGTGCAGGTCTACGATTGTTATGTTGAGGGCTGTCTCTATTGCTGTTGTAGGAGTTGTTCTCATAGAGCTGCTGATAGGAGAACAAGCCAGTCTTTGGAAGCTTTTATCCTTCTATTATGAGCTTATTTATGACTATATTCCACAATAGTGGTCATAGTATTGATATAATGAGTGTCTTGCAGACAGCCTTTACTGATAATTCTTCATATGGCAGTATTTACAATGAATTATATAGCTTGTTGTTTAAGCATGTTATATATTCATTCTCTAAGTATTGTGTCTACTCCATGTGTAGCTAGCGCTTGAATTATATTAGCAAAGTTTGTTTTATTAAATAACCTCTTCGACATCTATAAATGCACCTAAGGTTGGGTGCTTCAAATACAATGCATTGCCTATTCGGGATACCACATTATGAAAGTGCTCATTCAGTTGACTTGCTTTTACTGTAAGCATGTTGATGTGGTTGTAAAGGTTTTTTTTAATTGATGATAATGGAATGATAACCTCGCCTGATGGTATATGCTGGCGGAGTACTGATGAGGGATGATAGGTGAGAATGGAAAGTCAGGTCAGTGAGCCCACCTTGATGAATACACCTGGAATTCAGCATGATGATTTCCAGGGGGGACCACATGGAGGTCGACCTGACATGGTACATTGCTAGCAATGGGAATAGTCCGCAGTACTAATAATCCCATCCCCTCCCTGGTTGTAAAGGTTTGCACAAAGAAACTTGATCTCTAATCTCTTTGTCACATAATTTTTCCAAAGTTTTGAAAAAGAATGAGATGAGAATGAAGGACCGAAAATATTCCATCCTGACCTGTCGCTTGGTACTTTACTTTCTTGATAGAAAGGTACTGATTGCCCATAGTAGTTCTTCTTTATCTATAACTCTTTTTGGTACATCCCAGTCTGAGCTGCTGGTTTCCTTTTCCTTGTATAGTTCTCATAATCACTCAGCCGCAGTTTGGAAACCTGGAAAGTGAGTGGTTAGTAACAATTCGCTTGTTTCTATATCATTCTTTGTATAATTATTATCAAGTTTCTTGAGACTACCTATTGTATGATCATTCTCATAAGAGAGGCATGATTTTACTTTAATCGCCTGGTTTCTGTAGAAATATAGAAAACAATTTTCTCTATCAAACTGCAGGACTCCTTTATCCTTCCATATGGGTCTCCGCACACACCACAAACACGCGGGAGGTCATTACTATTCACCATCAGTATTGTTCGATGATGAACATGCAAGGATCTGACCTCTCCATCCCTGCATTTTCATACGGTAATGTGCACGGCAGTTTTAGTTACTTCTATTTCATAGGGAATTAGATCAAGAATATAGTATTTGCAATAATTATGTCTGTCGTATTTAGTATTTGGTTTTAAAATACACATCAATCTCCTACTCTGGAGACAGATATCAGAGCTTCAAGCTATTGGCTTGATCCTGTTTCAGAGACCAGTAGTACCTTACTTAGTTCCAGCTTCTACATTTACAATATTTACACTTTACATGAATAGTTACTTATTTGTGGTTTCTAGGCAGAAATTCTGGATGAAGATAAAAGACTTGTGGCTGCCATGGATTATTACTTTATTGAGATGGATGGGACAAGATTCAAAGTGTCGCTAACATTTCAACCGTATTTCCTGATATTGGCAAGGAGGGAGTGTGAGCAAGAAGTTATACAGTACTTATCTAAAAAGTTTGCTGGCACTATTCATAAGATATATGTTATAGAAAAAGAAGATTTGGATTTGGTGAGATAATGTATTTCTTTTTATTTCTTATTTGCAGGAAATATAGATATTTCCTTTGAAAAATTGTATGTAGATATTCTGTGGCACAATGTAGCTCTCTGGAATCTCTGAGCTTTAATTTACATTAGAATAGAAAAAAAAAATATTCAGCATTTCACATAGGTTCATTACATGCACTTTGGAAACATAGGATGTTATTATTATTTCTTTAATGTGACCTACTTATTTTAATGTCCCATTAATGGAGATAAATTGTAAATGTAACTATCATCATCATATAAGTCGTTAACTGTCCACTGCTAAACATAGGCCTCCTGTAGGGTTTTACGAGTGGTTGCCACGCTTGGCAGGTGGCATAGCAACCGCAGTTAGGGTTTAATGACGTTTTAATAGGGAGGCTACTGCTCATCCTTCAACCGTTAAGTTCCCTTAGTTGTCTCTTACAACACCCACGGGAAAGGACGGGGTGGTTTATTCTATGCTGGGAATAAAAGTAACTATGTAAATATCTATTTATCTGTAATTACATTTTCTTAAGTCTTCATTTATTGTATATTTCTTACATATTATTTTAGCTGAATCACTTGTCAGGCATAAAACAACGTTACATAAAATTAACATTCATGTCTCAAAATGAAATGATGAAAGTCAGAAAAGAACTCTTGACAGCCGTGAACAAAAACAAGGAGCGGGAGAAAAAGGACGCTATATATGCTGAAATGTTAACAAATGCATTGACCAGTGCAGCAGCTATAGAACATGCTAAGAAAACAACGGACCACATGGAAAATATTTTGGATATAAGGTGCTTATTTTATTTTGTTACTTCTAGTGTCCTAAAAATTTATAATTCTTTTTTATTCTACTGAGGTGGTAAACAAGCACACGGCTCACCTGATGGTAAGTGGTTACCGTAGCCTATGAACGCCTACAATACCAGAGGTATTACGCGCGCGTTGCCGACCCTGAAGAAACCTCTATAATAAACAATCGCAATTATAATCAATTTTTATTGATCTTTTACTTGATAATTTACAAGTTTCGTGTAATATTTAGGCAAATAATTTTTTTGTATTATCTGTAAATAATTTTCATTATAGGGATTTATTCTGTTATATATTTTATTTATTGTAAAAGACATGAAGGAGTATAATCATATTTAAGTACACATTAAATCATGCACTCAGTAAATCCATCCGTATTAATGTTTTAGAGAACATGATGTCCCATACCATGTCAGAGTATCAATTGATATGAAAATCTTCTGTGGTACATGGTATACAGTGAAGGGGAGAGGGACAGAGACACCTATATTTACAAAAAGGGATGACATCATTGAGAGACCTGATCCAATAGTGTTGGCTTTTGATATAGAGACAACAAAGCTTCCTCTCAAGTTCCCTGACTCACAAACTGATCAGATCATGATGATTTCATATATGATAGATGGCCAGGGTTATTTAATTACCAATAGAGAAATCATATCAGTAGATGTCGAGGATTTTGAGTACACGCCAAAACCAGAATTTGAAGGGTAAGCTGTTAACACCTTTTCCACGTCTTTATAAATTTGCTTGTTTTATCATTTGAAAAAAAAAATAGTTTTCACTTAAATAATGTATGTTATATATTTGTAATAAAGTTTTCTAAATTGTAACTAATAAATATTAGCAATTAACTCGGTACTTTCAGGCTGTTATTTCAATGTCATAATAGTTTGCAAAACCTGCTATTTGTATATATGTAAATCTTCCAGGTTCCAATTCATAAATTATAAATGAATCCAATTTTTTTACAGTCAATTCATTGTATTCAATGAACCAAATGAACTGGCACTGATACAGAAATTTTTTGACCACATCATGGATGTTAAACCACATATTTTTGTAACTTATAATGGTAAGTAAAAATATATGTTTTCTCACAGAGTTTAAATATTTATTATCTTCTGTAGGGTTAAGAATTAAAAAAAAAAGAGTGTTACTGCCCTTTTCATTCCCAGAGTCTCGTAAGCACTCTTGCTTTATACCTTTAGAAGTATAAGGAAAGAAAATTTCAATGTAAAAGAAAATTCAAAACAGAAACCCATAGTCATGTAGCTTGTTTCTGACATATTACAAATAAAAATATCTATAACGTTCATATTGTTTCAGGTGACTTCTTCGATTGGCCTTTTGTAGAGGCACGCGCTGCGATCTTGGGTCTGGATATGAAACAAGAAATAGGTTTTAGTAAAATAGCAGCTAGGGACAACAGTTACGCCTGCCGACCAGCGATGCATATGGACTGTTTATGGTAATATCTTTTTTTTTTTATACCACTAAGGTGGCAAACAAGCATACGGCCCACCTGATGCTAAGCGGTTACCGTAGCCTATGAACGCCTGCAATACCAGAGGTATTACGCGCGCGTTGCTGTCCCTGAAGAAACCTCTTTACCTCCCTTTTGAAGAACCCCATGTTGTAGTCTCATGGGAAAACCTCGGCATAATATCTATTTTAAAATTCTTATTTGTATATATAATTTTTGTTTATATTAATTATTATCTAATTTAATGCTATTTACTAATTATATACATAACATTGTTTAAAGTTGGGTGAAGAGAGATTCATATTTGCCAGTTGGGTCTCAAGGTTTGAAAGCTGTTGCCAAAGCAAAGTTGAGATACGATCCTGTTGAGTTAGACCCCGAGGATATGTGTCGGATGGCGGCTGAACAACCACAGGTAATAAAATATAGAATATAAGGAGAAAGTTACTGATTGACTAAATGTGTAAGTTAGAAAACACTCTAATTAAGTATAATAGTTAAAATTTAAAATTACGAGGTTTTAAATTTTATGAATAAGAGGGTTACTATATATGCTTTATATGAGTAAATTAATAATAATTATACCTTTCTTCCCTGAAACCTTTCCCACATTTGGTTAAAGCCCGTATGATGAGTAAACCTTCCAAATATGAACAAGAGAAAGAAAAACAAAAATCAGTGTACCTTTTGGCATAAGCTTCCTCCAATGACTTCCACTGCCTTCTATTATTTGCAACTCTTTTCCATTTTGTGCCCACAGTTATTTTCAAATCATCTTGCCATATTATTTTCTATCTTCCCAGCTTACTCTTTCCATCTTCAGGGTATTTTTTTAATATTATCTTGCTCCATTTTATGTGACCGGCCCATTGCCAATTTTGCTCGTCTATTCTTGTCAATAAGTAGAATAAATTATTATATTTATAAATATGTTCACAGGTACTTTCGAACTATTCAGTGTCTGATGCTGTGGCCACATACTATTTATACATGAAGTATGTTCATCCATTCATCTTTGCGCTCTGTACGATCATCCCATTGGAACCCGACGAAGTAAGTGACCATTGATCATTTAAATATATTGTTACGTGGCGCCATCTTTTGCGAGCTTTACTAGTATAAACTTCACGGAATAGTCTAGTTTTCGTATACCATAAATAAAAAATGTTTAAATTTAGATTTAATATTGACTAATTATAGTTAATTTATTAATTTTTCATTTGTGATGAAAAAAATAATGTTATGAATCCATCACTAACTGACACTGACTGCTAAGAAAAAGCAAAAAGGTCATTTTTTTACCACATATGGTCTGGGTTTACGTATGTTACTTCTATCATTGGCATATGGTAGAATTTGCTTACTGATGTAGAACTAACGTCAGACTATAACTCTCACTCTCTGTGATTATCATTCTTTATTGAATTGAAAAAACAAAAATGGTACTTAAAATATCAGAATAATGTTGCAATTAAAATATAGACAATAGCCTTTATATCCCGAAGCTCCTTTTATATAATATCACATATGTATGTACGTATTTTAATAATTTTTTTTTATTATAATGTCTCGAAGTTCGGCGTGTCTTTTGCCAAAGGCCTCCCCTAACGCTTTTATTGTTTTCTGTCTTTTGCAACTTTTTCTCCAGTTGTAACCTACAGTTTGTTTAAGTTCACCCTTCTGTCCTTTGCTTTGTCGACCTCTATTTCGTTTACGATTGCAGGTGCTCCGTAAAGGCTCAGGCACTCTCTGCGAATCGTTACTGATGGTGGAGGCGTTCCACGCAAACATCGTATTTCCCAACAAGCAAGTGGAGGAATTAAACAAATTGACCAATGACGGACACGTTCTCGAGACGGAGACGTATGTAGGCGGCCACGTGGAGGCGCTCGAGTCAGGTATTTTATTTATCATCATCATCATCATCATTTCAGTTACTATTTTTACTGAATTAACACCTCATTTATAAACTGTTATAAAAATTGGTCCCTGATCGACCCCTATTTCTCTGTAATACGTATGGCCCCATACACAAACGGATAATCGCAATGTTTACGATGATATTGTATTCAATTTATAGGTCCAACTGATCCTATAGGTTTGTCAGTTCATTTAATACTAAATGGTTACCAAGAGCAATGAACGCCTGCAACACCAGGGTTGTCACGTATTATCGACTCTGAATCGGACCAATACGGGAGAAGTACTCTGTTATGTCCATGGTACCGTTCATGCCTATAGGCGACGTTCAGCTTATCTGCCATTCTAAGTTGCATAAAAAAAAAGAGTAAGCAGTAATTACTAAAAAGATTTAAAAAATTGGTATAGAATTTGAGAAGATGCATAGCATAGTCATATAAAAACCGTTGAATTGATAATGTTTTCCTTTTTAAAATTGCTTAATAATTTTAATTCCAGGTGTATTCCGCGCCGACATAAAATGTAAATTCAAAATAGTACCGTCCGCTGTTGAGAAATTAATGGATAACACAGAGAAGACGATGAGACACGCCATCGAGGTAGAGGAAGGCATCCCGTTAGAAATGGTCACAAATTTCGATGAAGTGTGTGGAGAAATTAAAGGGAAACTACAGCACATGCGCGACCATCCGCGCAGGGACGAGAACCCGCTCATTTATCATTTAGACGTTGGCGCCATGTACCCCAATATTATTTTAACTAACAGGTAAAGTGATATTATTTAATAATTTATTTCTTTGTAAATAAAATTATTTTTTATTGATTTAAATAATCTGGATATTTCTTACACAAAAATCCAGACCATCATTATTATATAAAAAGAAAACGCGCATACACGTGCAAGTGTGTGTGTGTGTGTGTGTGCGTGCGTGCGTGCGTGTGTGTGCGTGCGTGCGTGCGTGTGTATCGAGCGCGTTACGTTCCTTTTTTTAAATGGTTAACTCGAAAGATCACTGCAGATCACACATAATAACACAATTATAAATCTTATGTTGTTTTATGTATTATCTATTCTTATGTACATGTTGTGTGTGATTAGTAACAAACAAATAAACGATCTATCTATCTATCTAAAGAGGGGCAGCAAGTAGTAATATATAGATTATACACACACCATTTCCCTTTCCATGTAGCAATAGAGTAAGAATGCAATGTATCATCACTCTGTTTCCTTCCCTGAATAACGTAAACGACTAAAGCAATAAAGTACAATAACAAATTAAAGAGAAGGTAAACTTGAAATGTTTTATTTCGACATTATTTGAGATTTTCACCAATTGACATATGGTATATGGATATTACTAGTATAATTTCCTTCTGTATTGAGGCGATACATATGCGTAGCTTCCCTAGGTAATTAGCAAACGACCAATAGATACGGTATCTCTACCACATGCGTGAAATAGAACGAGACAATATGCGTACGCTACTGAAAACGTATTTTTACAGATTTATTCGTTTACCACTTACATTCCACACGTAGGGAAGAGGTAGTGGGACTACGATAGGTTTGTAATGGTACAGTTAAAAAGTATTAAAAAAAAGTAAATATTTGGTCTAGGCATAGAATAGGCCACCCCTTCCTTTCTTGTGGGTGTCATAAGAGGCGATTAAGGAAGGGCGAAGTATGGGCAGCAGCATACCTTTTAAAACATCTCCAAAGCATAACTGCGGTTACCAATCCGCCTGCCAAGCATAGCAACTACTGGCAAAGCACCCCAAGGGGAAGACAGCAGTTAAAGGCTGATATGATGAAGTAAATAATTACTTATTTATTGATAATTTGCTTACACTGTTCCGTTCCGATGGTAGATTGCAGCCGTCAGCGATGGTGAACGCGAGCATTTGCGCGGTATGCGACTACAACCGGCCTGGCGCTGCCTGCCAGCGGACCATGGAGTGGATGTGGCGCGGCGACTACCGTAAGATATATGCCTTTATTAATGTCCTATTCAGCGATCATCATTATTTCTGTCATTCCTTGTTAACTGCTGAATATAATCCATCTCATAGACTGCCATAAAGAATTTTTAATTTATCTGTATCTACAGACCATTTGCTGTACATTAAATTCGGGGACTTCACCTAGCAGAAGGGGGTAAGGGGATTTTATTCAGGTGAATGAAGACGGATTGGTGAGCTAATCCACATCACCAATGGAGATTGCAAGAATGAGGATGAAGTCGGAGAAAGAATTAATTTATTTAAATAGATTTATTGACAAGAATATAAAAAAGATAAACTTAATGTTAGTAACAGTCTTCATCAACCTGACACAGTGTTGCAGTTAGCAATAGGGACTAACCTCCCCATTACTAAAAATCTGTTTTCTCCGGGTAGGAATTTTTAGTGGAATGGAGATGTCGGTAGGGGCCGCCCTAGACGGACGTATGTTGACCAAATAGGCGACGTGCTGAAGAAGGGCCAAATTAAAAGTACCCGTAACCGGCGAGCGTGTATGAAAAGATTGATGAATGTGGAAGAAGCGAAAGAGGTTTGTTTGAATCGAAGCATTTAGCGTTCCATTGTTTCTGCATACCCTAATGAGAGACAGGCGTGACTGATATGTAATATAATGATGAGCCTAGCTAACTTATGTGACCTCATCGTCACTAATTATTTTCAGATGATACCCCACCGTTCTAAATTAATAACGTTGGCAGGGTTACAATTTTATTTTTAATCATAAAAAAACACGTGTTACGTAAATGTTTCAGTGCCAGCAACACGTAGCGAATATCAACGCATACAGCAACAGTTGGAGACTGAGAAGTTCCCTCCACTTCATCCCGGAGGACCGCCCAGGGCTTTTCACGCTTTGCCCAAAGAAGACCAGGTGATTAAATCTATTTATATTGTACTAGCGATCCTGTGCGGTTTCGCAAGGGTTGATAAAATTTTCGAAAATAATATATGTTACTAGTCGATACACATAACGGCCCAAATGAGAGGCTAAGCGCGCAAAATAGAGTCCAATTTATCTTGTTACTAACCAATAATGTAATTTTCTGTAGCTGAAGGAATTTAAAAAAATACTTAAGTAATTCTATCTATTACAAACGAACAATCAAATCAAATCTTTTTTTTTCTGATGGAAAGTGGTAACCGTCGCCTATAGACATGAGCAGTAGCATAGACATAACAGAGTATACTGTTTCGCCCATGATACTTCCTATGCGTTGCCATTCCTGAGGATTTTATATTGTTAGTATAGACTAGTTTTTACCCACGACTTTATCGGAATGATCGGGATGCTCATCGACCGTGATAAAATTTGGCTGAGTCCTCCCCCAAATACACTTGTTCATAAAAATTAATATCGCCTATTAACTTATTTTAACTATTAGAGTGTTTTGTCACTTTGTTTCAAATTGGGAATTCATCGCAAAGTAAATGGGCATAAGAAAGACTTCAATAGTTAAAATAGGTTGATGAGATGTTTGGCGTTTTTAAGAACAAGACGGTAAGGTCAACCGAGGCAAGTGTGACAGTGAGGCAAGTGTAACAATTGGTAATAATAGGGTAAATAGACTATATTCTTCAAACCGTCATGTATTGGACGATAAAGGAACTTTCAAGCTATCTTACAGTATCACAATGGCGTACGTAACGTCAACTGTTTTATCGACAGACAACATTTTGTCTAACTACTCAACTGACAACAGATCGCATTCCATTTAAGCATTCTGTTTTTAGTTACTGTGTGAAGTTTACGAGTTATTTCGACAAGATAAAAGGTAAGTCATACAAATTAATATTAGGGCTTTACATTTAATATGTCTTTGTAAACTGAAATCCACTATTCCTTAAAATATCTTTACAGTTACACTTACCTCGCTATAAAACTAACATGTTCAAGTGTAACAGTGTCACGCTTACCCCACTCATTTTCTATGAGAATAACATAACTAGTAATGAACATCTCGAAATAGAATATCGACATTTTTATTAATCGACTTAAAAGAAATTAGGTTATCGATAGTATTTACATAATTTATTTGTGTTTACGTTCTTTCTATGATAATTTATTTGTTTTGTTTTAAATCGTAAGGAACTATGTTAGAAAAACTACCGACAAATACTCTCAGGAAATATTGGAGGAGGCTGTCAAAGCAGTACAGGAGCAACGTATAACGGCGTATAAAGCTGCAAAAATTTTCGGTGTCCCTAGACCCATTATAATTGCACACGTAAAAGGTCATCGAGGTGTCAAATCTAAGTCGCATGGAAGGCCTACTGTATTTACACCAGAGTTTGAAAAAAATATTGCGTCAATGCTTCACATCATGGAAAGACATAGCTTTGGTTTGACTCAACGCGAAGTAAGAGCATTAGTTGGCCAATACGTTCGTCGTAACGAAATCGATACTCCGTTACAACGAACGTATTGGATTCGTGAAGATTGGATAAGAGGGTTCAAAAACAGAAACAAACTTTCAATTAAAAAACCTCAAGGGGTGGAAATAGCAATACAAAAAGCAGCAGACCTATTTCTCACTAACAAATTTTACGACCTACTTGAAACAGTTGTGAAGGAGCAAAGATTAGAAGGCGATCAAATTTGGAATCTCGATGAGACAAGCTTCTGTCAGGATCCTGAAACATCAAAAATAATTGGGCTCAAAGGTTTTCAGGGCACTAGAACCATTAGCTCACCAGGCCACGACAACACAACTGTGTTATTCGCATGCAATGCTTTGGGTCAAAAAGTAAAACCGCTTATAGCTTTTAAGGGAACGCATCTTTGGAATACATGGCTACCTGACGATGACACGGTTGATTCGGCATTTGCTGCAACATCCGATAAACCAATAAAAAAAAATAACAAAGGAAATCCAAAAAAAACTGCCATCTAAAAAAAGGAAAAGGAAAGTTTCAATAAAAATAATATAATACAAACATGACAATATCTACGGTTTGTGTCGTATCCTAATTTATACACTTATCCTTCTTAAACTATCGATATTCTTTTTTCTTAAATTGTCGATAAAATAATTACCTAATGACATCACTATTTTGTAAAACTCCTGTTACACTATCGTCATTTGGATAAAAAATCCGTTATTTCATAAAAATAGAAATTAATATCATTGCAGCAGATCATAAAATATGTTGACATGAGTAAATTTTACGGAAATTTTGACAGATAACACAAATACTGGAGTAAATTGCGAAGAAAATAGTAAGTGTTACACTTACCTCAGGTTCGGGGCAAGTGTGACAGTCCTCGACTCTCATAGGTTTTGTAATATTTTCTCACTTAATAGAAAGATATATGTGTTAATTTGCTTGATTAAACAAATTACCATAAAATAATAAACGTTTCAAAACAAAAGTCTTTGTATTTTATCAATACAGAGTAGAATTATTTGAAGGAAAACTATTGTACCAATAAATTTGCGTCACACTTGCCTCGGTTGACCTTATATGTAAACTAAATTTCTGATAATTGATCCATTAAGGTGCTAAAAGTTAACCAACAAACTCATTTTCACGTATAATATTAATAAGCATACGTAAAACCTGTAATGATATCATTGTAATAAATAATTTTATCGATGGATTTTAAATGTCTTAATTAGTATTAGACTGATCCAATAATCTATCTAATACAAGTAGTATTAGTACTTAAAAAAGTTAACAGAAATTCAAATTAACAGTTTACTTAAGTTGACAGAAAAAAAGAGTAACTGCTAAGTTTCTTGCGGGCTATTTTCAACAGATAACAACTTTCTGAACCCTGCAGTAGACTTAAAAGATGATGATTTAAAAATGCTATAAGCATTTTTATACATATTTATATTAATTATACAGTGCAAGAAAATTAAGTAAATAATAAAAAGTTATCTGCATCTCTTTTTCTCACTTGTAAATTCTGATGCCGAGTAGCTTAAATGTCGCACTCTGGTTTAAAGGGTGAAATATGAGTCTAATGTTGTAAAATGTTCACAAACTACAGTAAGTTTCAATCGATGATGTACTTGATTGTGCCACTGCACACTTTGTATTAAAATTTTTCAGAATTCAATATAGATTGTTTATTTTGCACACAGGCAGCTTACGAAAAGAAGCGTTTGGCTGATTACTGTAAAGTGGCGTATAAGAAGACTAAAGTAACCAGAACCGAAGTGCGCACCACAACTATATGCCAGAAAGAAAACTCGTTCTATGTGGATACCGTTCGTGCTTTCAGGTTTGTACAATTGTAAAACCACAAAAAGTTGTTTCTATCGTTAGTCCAGTAAGTGTGTATAATATTTTATACCGTCGCCCCATTTAGAACAAGATCACGCTATATTTGTCTACACAGGATCACAAATCCAGAACTATTTTTCCCATGGATTATCGATTCTTAGAGCTAACTGTCCAGCCCAATAAAAAGCCTAATAAATTCAGTTTGCTATACAACTTCGTGTGCTGTACTTTGGTGGCATGTATGCGAATCTGGGCAGATTTACCTTTCTGCGCTACACTATTAGTTCCGTCACAGACCCTGCCGCCCATACACCCTGCGGAATTCTAGGAAGTGCTGCGCATAAAGCTAATGGGTTGTAAATCAGTCACTTTAATGTTTCCGATACAATCTCACTGCAAAACTCCAAGCTCCATAATTTGCTGATCTTCTAATGCTTCTTCATATGTCTAGCGGTGTAAGACTAATTAGAGCTGCAAACATACTATGGATGTGACCGTCAATCGCGGGTAATTGGCAAGATCTGGACAGACAAGTACATCGATTAAGTAAAGAAAGAGATAGCTGAATAACCGTGTAGTGTTCAGTCGCGTCCATCAGCCGTGACTGATGCGCGCATCCCATAGTAATGTTCATACTCATATTTTACTGAATTAGGTATTCTATTGATAATAGTTATCAATTCTTAAAATGTTGGTAGTCGCACACATACTAATCAATTTACCAGTATTTGTTCAGTTTAATGTTATGTCTATAATGAAATACAACAGAGACCGCCGCTACGAGTACAAAGCGTTAAACAAGCAAGCGAAGGCGAAGGTAGCGGAAGCAGTGGCGAGCGGCGACGCGGCAGAAATCAAACTCGCCAAGAGCAGGGAGGTGTTGTACGACTCGCTGCAGCTTGCGCACAAGTGTATCCTAAACTCTTTCTACGGTTACGTCATGAGGAGAGGGTAAGTTTGAAGGTCAATAGTACACTGCCTTAGTTACAAACGCTTAATAAATCCATTATATAATGTTTATTTTACTATTGAAGTTTTCTCCTATTTATTTTGTAATACCAATACTTTATTATGATTTAATATGATTACTGACTGAGTATAAAATATACTTAGTTATTTGGGGTTTCAATCAATTACATAAGAATAGAGGGGAGGATCTTCTTCTTCTTCTTTCAATATAAATGGCTGCCACCAATTTTGATTGGTGATTCTACCAACGTCATGGTTAGAAAGGCACAGTGAGATAATCTTGTTTCTGTGGTTCTTGAATCTGGCCAGTAGTGAACTTGAATATGGCTTGGTGTTGAAATTGAATGCTAAAAACAAATACAATACACAATGTTAGTACCAATAAGGGAGAATAGACAAGTGTTAGTAGGGGTAACATTTATAACCAAGGGACGACACCTGTAGGAGGGACAACATAAAAGGGCAATGCGACTTTAGGGAGTCTACTATAATTTCAAATTATTTAGGGAAACAAATTTTGCCAGTATTTTGACTGATGGAGAGTGGACTAACGTTAAAATATGGGTAGGATCTTGCAAAATATCATTTATAGGAGAGGAGTGTCAATGTCATTGAAACAAAATTTTTATTCTCTTTTTGTTCTGCATAAAGAAATTAGAGCATATAAGATATTAGTTTTTAAAAAGTAATTATTGAATGAAATTAATTAGAAAATATTAATATGTCCAAGAAAAAAAAACTAAAAATTTCCCAATGGGCTGAAAGTCCCACAATGGGGGGGGGGGGGAGGGGTTTATTAAAAAATCCTCATGGTATTAACAGACATCTTTTATGTATCTCAGAGCTCGCTGGCACAGTATGGAGATGGCAGGCATAGTATGCTACACGGGCGCGAACATTATAATGCGTGCTCGCGAGATAATCGAGCAAGTCGGCAGACCGCTGGAATTGGATACTGATGGTAAATTTTCATGATTATGTAGTTATGTTTATATGCTTTTTGCATCATTACTGAAACTGACGATTTCATATTTTTGTGCAACTTAAAATAGCAAACAATCAAACCGTCCACATGCAATATATAGCAACATGGATATCACAGGATACACTGTGATGACTAAGCATGGCATATTATGCTTCTATACTAGATTAAGCACAATTTTTATCTTCCTGCGAGTAAAGCCCCTGGCTATAACTACTAAGAAATATATCTTTTTAGAATAATTTAATTAAATATTGACAGGTATCTGGTGCGTGCTTCCGTCGTCGTTCCCCGAGAACGTGACCGTTCACACTACCCACGCCAAAAAGAAAAAGATAAATGTGTCATTCCCCAATGCGGTACTCAACTCTATGGTTAAAGTAAGATATTAATGTTACTTTAAATTATTGTTGGTTATATCTATCAAATTTTTGTTTAGAATTTATAGTATACTTTTAGTTCGTACTATAGACTGTAAATGATCAAACGGCTTGAGCACACAACAAGCATATTTGTTGCCATTTACAAGTGGCACAAAAAATAAATAAAAAGTCGTCATTGGTCCTTTATCTCTGCCTCAGAAGCAATATTAGATGCGTGTTTGACTCAAGTCGCTTGACATAAAATAATTACCAACTAATAAATTTCCACGTAAGCAAAGCAGCGGACGCTTATATGAAAATATATTTTTCTGTCAGGACTATTTCACAAATGACCAATACTTCGAACTGACTGATCCCGAAACCAAGAAATATGAGCAACGCGCCGAAAACTCTATATTCTTTGAAGTTGACGGGCCCTACCTCGCTATGGTGTTGCCAGCGTCCAAAGAGGAAGGGAAGAGGCTCAAGAAAAGATATGCTGTGTTCAATTTCGATGGATCGTTGGCTGAACTGAAAGGTATTTTTAGTGCTTTTGTTATTATTATGACTGGACATTTGTTTTTTTTTTCATATATAATTTATGAAGAGTATGTTGTCTCTATATCTCTGTGTATAGACAAATATTGCATGCACAAAGAATTTAGGTTCACTAAGAACCGCATCTTTTGTTTATTTTCAAGTCGCTTAAAATAACTACCACTTATCACCCATCCACAATTAAGTTTGTCACTTTTACAAGTTATGTTCTTTTCAAAGGGTCGTCAATTTGTTTGCAATTCTTCTCTAGAAATCTGTCAGATTCTAGAATAAGGGCATACAGGTATGCGGCCCCGGCCTCCCGAACCGCTGCAGTGTCCCAGTCCTTCCTCAACTGCAGTTCCCCCCCCCCCCCCCCCGTTTCCTTTCGCACTAAGTCCCTTATTCCTCTCATTCACCAATTTTCTTTACGCATTTCCAACGTTCCCTCCCTTTTTTTCGCAATCCTTTCCTCCATACCGCAAGTGGCGGAAACCACCAACAAATGCATTCCCAAAGAGGGTTGAAGTCAGTCAAGTGGCCGGTCGTAAAACTAAAAACTAAATCTTTTTGTAATATGGATAAAATCATAAAACGCCGACCCCAAATGATAAGGATAAGGGTAGGAAGATGATGATGATTGATAAACTTTTTTAACTCTCTTATAAGTATTAATTTTACATTATTTACAGGTTTCGAAGTGAAACGTCGTGGCGAATTGCAGCTTATAAAAATCTTCCAATCGTCCGTGTTTGAGGCGTTCCTCAAAGGCAACGATCTAAAATCCTGTTATGGAGCAGTGGCTAAGGTCGCCGATTACTGGCTCGATGTACTGTACAGTAAAGGTTCCAATATGCCTGATTCGGAGTTATTTGAACTTATATCAGAGAACAGATCCATGTCGAAGAAACTGGAAGATTACGGTGGTCAAAAGTCGACCTCTATATCAACCGCGAAAAGGCTTGCTGAATTCTTAGGTGATCAGATGGTGAAGGACGCGGGGTTGGCGTGTAGGTATGTATACTTGTTTATGTATATTTAGTAAAATAGTTTTATTGAGATTTTCGTTTCTTTTTTTTATTTTTGAGAAATGAAAATTGCTTTTTATTCTGATTTATTTATATAGTTTATTATGCATCTAATATTATTCATAGTAAGCTGTATAATTGAAAATTTGGATTTTCGAATACCAAACCAAATACATGAATAAACGAATTCACAAATTTGCAATTTTTTCATTTTTTTTTTTTCTAAACATTGGGTTAATGAATTTATTTTAATATAAATGTATTTTGCTTTGTAATACAAGCAATGGGAATAAACTCTTTTAAAAAAATCAAATCGGATTAAAATTAATTAGTTTAATTAATTAAACATAAAATAATACAGTAGAATTTAGAACCGTCTTTTTTTAAAAAATAACTGAAAATAGTTCAATCCATCTTCTAGATTTTTAAAACTAAACATCTGAGTCGATTTTGAGGAAGTTACGAATTGCCAATTCAGGTTTATAATATCACGGAAGCCGGAAGGCGCCCCAGTAACCGAGCGCGCTATCCCACTGGCGATCTTCCAGTCGCCGGGCAGCGTCAAGCGGCACCACCTGCGGCGCTGGCTCAAGGACTCCAGCATCACCGAGGACGTGGACATCCGCGACGTGCTCGACTGGGCCTACTACATCGAGCGGCTCAGCGGCGCCATACAGAAGATCATTACCATACCGGCCGCTATGCAGGGGGTGAGATATTCCGCTCATTAGGGATTATTACTTAGATCGGTTGTCGATCATCCGTGACAGAACACTGATATCTAATTGCATACAATTTGCTACTATCAGTCACTCTACACAGAACATCGGTCAGTTTATGACGTCGCCGAACGCTCGCACTCAGTATCTGTCATTGTCCAGCGACGGAAGATCGGCAATCCGCAATGTTTTCTTATATGACACGCTACACTCAGAAGATGGCTCACGTTGGCTGCTTGTGTTGGTTATCATGAAGATATCCAAATTGACTGTTACGTTCCTTCTTCATTTATCATATAAGTGTTAATAATTTATCGTCACAATTGTCGGCCTTGTAATAAATAATGTATGGAGTACTAGCCATTGGTTAAGTCATGCAATATTACTATATAGTATAAAATAATGTCACTTCCCATCTGTCTATCCCTATGTATGCTTAGATCTTTAAAACTACGCAACGGATTTTGATGCTTTTTTTTTTAATAGATAGAGTGATTTAAGAGAAAGGTTTATATGTATAATGTAGTAGAGAAACAATAATTTTAGAGATTTCTAATGTGATGTGATGTAATGTGCACCCGTGCGAAGCTGGGGCGGGTCGCTAGTTAACAAAGAATCCATAGTAAGAATATTTATTTATTTTTTAAATAAATAAATATATGCATTATATAGTTACGATTGTCGTATTTGTTATCAGTTGGACAACCCGGTACCTCGAGTGCAATATCCGGACTGGTTGCACAAGAAGATGCTCGCAAAAACAGACAAGTACAAAACAAGAAAGATCACTGATATGTTCACAGCGAAGCCTAAGGAGTTGAAGCAGAATGGTGAATATGAGGACGATGGGAGTCATCAAACGGATCAGCCTATGGTAATAAGAAAAATATTTATTGAATATTGTGTTAACGTTACAAGTCATAATAAATCTCAGGTGTGATATGGCTATAATGACTACACTACATTTTACTTATCTTATGATAGTTAAAGCAGAAAATAAAAGAATTTTATAAAGTATATAAAACATATATAAAAGAAACACTTTGGATAACTAAAAATTTTACAAATCTTTTGTAACTTAGATATACTTTGTTTGTCTTTGATTGTGTAATATGACCCTTAGAAAAATATTAAAATATTACAGGACACAGTCGACATAGAAGATATAGGTAAAGAAAACACAGAGCACAATGAGATTAGGCCTGTGGTACACAAAGTAAAAAGGAAGCGTGCAGAGTCGCCGCCGCCCCCCGCCACGTGGAGGGAAGCGCTGGGGTCGCCGCCGCCATTCGGTACCACAAAGGTATGCACAGACATAGATAATTTATAAGAAAACTAATCTACTTGACATGATGTTACAAAAGCTATTTGTTGAGAAAATCTCTTCCACACTCACAAATATTCAATGCTATTTTAGTCAATCCTTTAAATATTCTTCAACAATTTCGCCCACCAACTCATAATTCAATATTTATTTATTTACACTTTATTGCACTAAGCAACCTCTTCCAGACAACCTTTGGGTAGAGGACATTGAGAAAAAGACAAAGGGTAGGTGGCACACTATTATATAAATATTATCACTTACAAACATACACATATATAATATATATTGATAATATATCGATTATATATATATATATATATATATATATATATATATATATATATATATAAAATCAATATAAAAACTATATACGATTGCGACATCTATATAAATCTTAAAAGTTAAATTGTACACTACTGTAGACTCTATGTATTTGTAATTCAATTTCATTTTAGGAAGAACGTAAACAGTGGATACTGTTTCAAAAGAAGAAATGGATGTGGCAGATGGAGCAGCGTGGAATGAGGAATCGCAATAAACGAGGTATATGTAACGACTGGTCATTTTTATTACAATGATTCGATAATAATATGTGTAACATTAATATATAGAAGAATAAAATTGTTTGACTAGAAAAAACCATGCTGTAGGAAAGTAAAAGTATTTTTTATGGCATCATAAACAGGCTTACTAAGATAACTTAGTCTTTATTTTGAAAAGCATAGAAATTGAATTTGTTTAATAGTATAGTGAACATGAATGGACTTCATTCAAGCAACTGTTATTTGGAATGTGCGTGTAGACTAAAGTCAACAATATGTTACTATATCAAATTTACAGGAAAGATAGATGATGGCCCTGTCGTACCGGCCAAGAGTGGTCCCGCTACTACGCTTGGCGGATTCATCAGGAGAGCGCAGCGGACGCTGCTGAATACGCCTTGGCAAATAATACAGGTCAGATAGTTGGTCCACTGTTTACTAAATAAATAAGGAATTTAAAATATCATTATTAAATGTGGTTAAAACTGTAACCTTATATATGATAGCCAAAGGCCAGAATCGACTGTAGTTGGTATAGTGAAACAAATTTTTCTGATCGCATCTAAATGTCCTTTTTAAACCTTTTAAAAAATACGCTTTGTGAAGTTAAAACACAAATAGTTCGTATTGAAAATGAAGTGACTTTTTTAAATTTTTCTCCTAATTTGTAAAGCTAAAATAGAATCTTATAGATTAGGCAGCAACGCCCCTCTTAAAACATATTTTAAAACTTAACCACCGTTACCAACCCTCCTGGCAAAACTCCCCTCATGGGAAAGCTTTAAGTTCAGCAGTAGACAGTTAACGGCAGAAATGATAAATGAAAGTAGTATTTGGGCCTTTTTTTATATAAATCTAGTATTTCCCTATCGGATTCATTTTAATTTTCTCTAAATTTGAGTCGTGTTCTTTTTGAAAATTAATATTAAATTATGTGCATCATAAGGTATTAGAAACGGCGGAGCCGGGGCTGTTCAGACTGTGGGCGCTGGTGGGCACCGAGCTGCACCAGATCAAGCTAACGGTTCCACGGATTTTCTACGTAAACCAACGCACGGCCCGCACTACCGACAGCGGCCAGTATTGGCGCCGCTGCAACCGCATACTACCGCGGGCGCGGCCTGCACTGCACCTCTACCAGTACTCCGTACCCGAGCACATCTACAGGGAACACCAAGAGTTAGTATCTAACTAAGAACTAGTCAAGTATCCGGTGAAATTAGAACCGATCAATCAACTAGTCACCCGATCGATGATACTAGGCAATATATATGATGCACTTTTTTTAATGTGATTTAGAATAACAAACAAGCAGATTACAAACCTGATGGAAAATCATAACCATTACCTATAGACCTAAACAGACATATGAACATTACAAAATACTCTGTGATTCGCATGATAATAACTCAGGAATTAAGAAACATAAGGGGTACCTTATGTTTCTTAATTCCTGAGTTATTATATAGTTATTGACTATGTTATTGTCTCTATAACTTGTAATTTTACTGCTATATTACACCCTTCAAACCAAAACACAGCCCTTCATACACAGCTGCTTCACGGTAGAGACATGTGTAGGCCAAAGGTACTCAAATAGACGAATTTTGTACAAAATCTCCTTTGGTAGACTGCTTTTTTTAACACAAAATTATTGGTTATCTTTTTTTGCTAAATTAAAGTTAATTTCATGAGTAAAAAAAAATTGTCTTCTAAATACCAATCTCGTACAGTTATTTCACTCGCATTTTTCCTTATAGTCGGCGGAATCCGATTTAGCCATATTTCCACTACACACAAAAATGAGTATAATGAAAACCATGCTAACTCGCAGAGACTTCATTTTGTCGTTCTAGCCATTTGTCTCCGTAGATATTGCCCCGGGACGATTTATCACTAACATTTATTATGTTTTGTTACAGAGAACTAATGGGCGAACTCTCAGCACCAGAAATTGAAGGAATATATGAAACACAAATGAGTCTTGAATTCCGAGTGTTGGTGCAACTCGGCTGCATCTGCACCGTAGATCCAACGGAAGCGAGAAAGTATGTTATAGCTTATATTATTTATGAAAAAGAATTCATAAAAATAAATTTGAAATTTATCATTATTATTTTACAGATTAGTACAGTTTGGTTCTAACAATATGGAATCGTTTACGCTCAACCAACTACAGTTTAAGAGTGTGGCACATCAATCGTATTTACAAAAACAGGTAAAATATATAGCTTTCCATTTTTCTTTATATTAATCTTGAAGGAAAATCAAATGGTAATACTGTCTTTATAATCTCCTGCTTGCATGTTTCCACAGATAGTACATGATCTATCTGGCCATAATATGTCTTATAGGTGTCTTTCTGATGATAGCAATAAACATTATATCTTTTTAATAGATGTAAACACACGTGGGAATCGTCATCTCCTTCCTGTCATACCTGAAGGCATATTCAAAGTTTCCCACAGCATTTAACAACATCTGTACTTTCAATATATATGATTTTTTTTCTTTATTATTGAGATTTTTCTCGGATTTGATATGATTTCAATAATGTTGCAATTATATTAGGTATATAGTGACATTGTATTGTATTGTAAAATCTTTATTGTACATAATTGACATTTGTGTTGCAGGATGGCGTTGCTCCCATAAAGCATATATTCCTGTACCAACATTCAGCGGCGAACTCTAGTCGCAGCATGTGGGCGCTGGTGTTGCCACCTATCAAAAAAGGCTATATCTTTGTGTTGGACACTGTGAAGACGAACCAAATGCCTAATATGAATACACTTTATTCCACCGAACGGACCGCTAAGTGAGTACTTAATAATAATAAATCCCTTTATAAAATTATTTCATATTTTTTTATATTAAATTTACTACTTAATTTTTAGTACTTGTCTGTTTATTTAATTAAGGAAAAATAAGATAGAATTACGTTGAGACCTTGATTTTACAATTACGCATTATTTATTACAATTTGAATTTTTATTACCGATTAGGATTATATATTTTTTTACAAATCTAACGATGCAGTTTTAACTATTGGTAAAATCGGCTAAGGTATTCGCAAACTTGCAAAATTTACAGCTATGCAATATACAGTAGACAAGAACTATTGCTTCGAGTAAATTCTTATATTAAACTTTTATTAAAACCTTTTTTTATTTATAAACAGGATCAACCTGGGCACGGCCGAGAGCACACTGCCGGCTGCCGAACTGACGTGGGAGGTGTCGCTAGAAACGGAGGCTCGTGCCGTGTACCGCGGGATACAGCGCGCGCTGCAGCGCTGCCGGGACGAGCGCTGCGGGCCAGCGCTGCTGGCGCTGCAAACCGACCTGTCCGCGCCCGCGCTGCTTGCACTCATGCCCGGTATGTGATACGTTGCAACGTTGCAGGTCACAGTGGATCGTAGAATGATCTATTAGAATCCATCCTTTAAGTTTAATACTAGCGGGTGTGAGGTATAGAAAAATTCGAGATATTATATTCTGACAATGACATTTGAACGAAATCGATTATGAAAGTAATTTTTTTCTTATTACGATACAAAGTGGATGACGAAAATGAAATTAAAATCCCACCTGCATCGTCCCCATTAGTGAGTGGGGACTCATCACATTACGTACCTAGTATTCGACTATAATAAGAAATTTGATATTAGTAAAATAATAATTTTTATTATATAAATATGACCGCCTATGGAGAAGAAAGGTTCTTGAGTGGTGACCACGTACGAACAAACGCAGTGTAGGACGCTCTATTAAATTGAATGACGACGTCAAATTCATTGCAGAAAGGCTCAGGACTGTTTCTTATGGCAGTTCCATCAGGCCTATTTTCAGCAGTGGACAGATAATGGGTGATGTAATGATCGCGTAATTGTGCAGGCGTGTCGGAGTTCCCGCTGGTGGCGCTGCAGGTGCGCGACGCGGAGTCGCTGTTGGGCTCGCTCGACTGGCAGCGGCTCGGCGCACGTGCAGTCGTGCGCCACTACCTCAACCTGCACGCCGTGCTCGACCTCACCATCGAGCAGTGCAGGTACGAGTCACATTTTTCACGCAACTTGAAATGCCAAAAATACTGACGGGCCAGGGCCTGGTGGAAGGTGGTAATCGTCGTCTATAAATATGAACAACACCATGAAATCTCTAGTAACATGCGGCTGTCATTTCAAACGTACTCATTTCATAGTAGCACCGCTATTTTAACCAGATATATATATATATATATATATATATATATATATATATATATATATATATATATATATATATATATATATATATGTATATATATGTATAGGGAACTGGTATGATTAATTTAAAATTTGTTTCGAAATTTTATGTAACATTTATTTATATTCATATTTATTTATTTGACATATGACTCTGAAAGGTATCTGTTTGTTCAAGGTACTTCCATGTTCCTGTCGGCAATATGCCAGCGGACCCGACGCTGTTCGGTGCAGACCTGTTTTATGCACGCCACCTTCTCAAGCACAACTTTGTGTTGTGGTGCTCCAGCCTCGAGCGACCTGACCTCGGCGGGAGAGAGACTGACGACAACAGGTACAGATTCGTCAAGGTTAAAGAAATATACGAAATATATAGTAGATAACCAATTTAACAAAATTTCCGAAATCTTTAAAACAAAGAAGAAAAGTGTACTTAATTCGAAAAACAACTAAAAAATATTTATAACTAAAGTGTTAATAAAATTATACCATAATTTAAAATAAATTAAATTAATCTATAATAAAATCAGTACTCATGTCAGGACGCTTTATTATCATCTGTCATGCCCGAAACAATTATTACGTGTAGCGTAGATTTCACATTTTTTTATCCGGCCCGAAGGATCAAAAAAACAATGTAACTCATAGACTGGTGAGCGAAGTTGAAGAGCTGTCGGGGTGGTCGCACAACGCTCGCGGCGCGTACAGCAGCGTGTGCGTGGAGCTGGAGAGCGACGCGCTGGCCGTGTGCGCGCTGCTGCAGGCGCAGCTCGTGCTGCAGCTCGAGGGCACCAGCGTCGCCACCTCCTTCGGCGCCGCGCACGCCTCCATACACGACGTCATGGCCAACACCGGTCAGTTTCTAGCTCCACAGGGAATGATGCACCAGTCTGAAAAACTAAGGCTGTCTTATAATTCAAATAGTTTTTTTGAGACTTACATCCATTATGTGTTATTAAAAAATTTTTATAACAATGTTAGTATAATTGTAGTCAGTACGAATTAGAATAATTTTTTATCGATTGAGACTGTCCGCTTCCCAGATGCATGTCTATTTCTCTATATGGGGATAAAAGAAAGGTTTGACGACGACAGATGGTAAAGTTAAAATGTTTTCATTACACTCGCATCAAGAAAATAAAAGCTAACTAGTTTATTGATAAAATACGATAAACGCATTTTAGTTACTAAAGAGTTATCATTTTCTTTTGCGCAATTTCTGAATTTTAAAACATTCTAAAATAGGTTTGTAAGTTTTAATTTTTATGAATAAGAGGTTTGAAGTGTACGTAATGTAAGCTTTACATTTCCACTTTGGGTTCGCTGGAAGAGAACTCTTTTAGAGTTAAGCTCGTCTTTGTTTATTTACTTTTCTGCGTCATATTTTTATGTACTATCTATAGTGTGTATAATAAAGTATAAATATCATGTCTATAAGTGATGGCTACCACTTTCCATCAGGTGAGCCGTCAGCTTGTTTTAAGCCAGCCATTTTAAGTTGTATAAAAAAAAAAATGCACAGGTCCGAACGCGTCGGTGAACTACGACGAAACGGCGCAGTGCAGCGCGGCGTTCAAGATCCTGCGCACCATGATTGCGTCGTGGCTGCGTGACGTCACGCAGTACAAGAACGTCTTCGCCGACTTTCAGATATCGCATTTCTACAGGTAATTATTTGTTCTATCCTTATTAATAATATGTGAATGGTGTGATGGTATAAGGCAGGGGGAAGCACAAAAGATCCCGCTGGGTCGACATGAAACGGCTTAGCTGACCCCATATGCAAAAATAAGATAATATTATGTGAAAGTAAGTTTGTTGGTTACATTATAACGTCTTAACGGCTTAATCTTATTAATTTTTTTTATACACTTACTATATGGGATGGAGAAGTATGTAGGTTAATTTTTATCCCGGTCAGTAAACAGATCCCGGTCATGTGGACGAAGTCGCGGGTAAAAGCAAGTTAATAATATATTCGATTTATTTTTTAATGCAGTTAAGACCTAAGACGATAAACGAATAGACAGCCTTTGATATTATTGGTAAAAAGTGTTTTTTCTAAAAATCAATCACGGATATAAATATAATGTATAGCCAGTTTGATGGTAAATTTATTAGTTTAGACCTTGCACGCCAGAGACATTATGTAATCATAATTGTTATATTGTTGAAGTTCCTTTTTTCCTCAATCCTTTCCTCCAAACCGTTTTTTTTCATTATTGTAGGACATACTTTTATCATCAATAGTTTCCGCAGCGCACGCGACGAAAAATATTTTATAGCATTATTTTTACAACTTGAGTTACGTTACTAAAGTTTTAATAAGGATCCCTAATCTTTTCTAGCGATAAATATAGCCTATGTTACTCAGGGTGAATGTAGCTTTCTAACGGTGAAAGAATTTTTGAAATCGGCGATGTAGTTTTTGAGTTTATTCATTACAAACATACACACAAAAATACAAATCTTTCCTCTTTATATTATTAGTGTAGATATAACAATATATATGTTTATAAACACAGTTAAAATTTTGGAGTTCATATTATTTTGAACTACTTTGACTAGGTGGCTAAAAACTCCTACGTCACTGCTGTACGACCCGGCCCTGCGGCGCACCTTGTACAACCTGATGAAGAAGCTGTTCCTCATGTTGGTGGCTGAGTTCAAGCGGCTCGGTTCCGTCATAGTGTACGCGGACTTTAATAAAATTATACTGTGCACCAAGAAGAACAATGTTTTGGATGGTATAGGTAGGCATTATGTATTACTTCTTTTGTATTTGTCTAATCAAATTTGTTGAGATTAAAAAATAATTATCATGTTTTAAAATTGAATTATGTTCGGAGTTTCACTGCATGATAAAACACACAAAAAAGTTATATGCAAAATAAATATCGGCAAATAAAAGTAGTATGTTTCGTTAGATCAACAATTCTTGGATGTCCATTAGATGACAGGTGGTAACAGTCGCCTATAGACATTACATAATACATTGAGACTCATATAGTACTCTTAGTGTATTGGCATTCCTGAGGACCCATACCTAGTAAATTCGCTTCCTTATCGCCTTCATACTTTGTGCTTGTTTGAGACCCCTTAGTTGTAAAAAAATACAATAAATAAAAGTTTCTCTGAATAATGATAAAAAATAATTAATATAACTCGATATTTTTCCGTATTGTAACATATAGAAATACACATAGAAATCTAATTTATAATACTATGTAAAGCATGCATAGAAAAAACTAAGGCTTACATAGGTGACATACAGTTTTATATTTCTGCATAGGCTATGTGGAGTTTGTGGTACAAAGTATAAGGAACAAGGAACTGTTCCACGGTATCGACATTCGATACAAACAGTGCTGGTCCTACCTGCTGTGGCTCGACGAGGCCAATCACGCCGGCGTACAGGTACGTTCGGAAGAAAATGTAATAACAAAAATTGTTACTCTTGTAACTTATAACAATAAAATGGTTATGTTAAGGACTGTTGTTATAACGTGTGTTATAATTATTAAAATTAAATAGGCTTTTTAATTTTTTTGGTTCTGTTTATCCCAAAGGGAAAAGCCCTCTGCTTTTCCCTTTGGGACACACACATATACATTTCTTTTGACAACCTTAGAAATTTGTACTACTACATAAGCGAGGAATTCACTTGGCAACTATTAAAGCTATTGGAATACATCTTCATTTCACAGCATATTGAAAATATGTATTATACTAATTTAGAAAGTCAATAAAATTAATCTTGCCATTTACATACGCCCCCACCTAACACAGTGATTATAGACACAATACATTGATAGGATATTAAAAATAAAATATTCTTGAACTACGGTTTGGTAAATTTTGACTGCAATATAAATGCAATACAAAAAAAAGTACAATTTAAAGCCTCTCAGACAAGGCACAAACTCGTCTGTGAGTAGAATCGCTTCGGTGAGGTATCAAATGAATAAGAACAGCTAGCGATAACGATTCTATCGATAGATTCGTATGTACTTTGTCTTACATAGAGTATATCCCTATACAAGTTTACTCATTTACACACTATATTGAGAGTATTTACAAAACTTTGTTTTTTACTGTGCTCAATTTTTCTTCTTATGTTATGTGCCTTCAATCACTTAAAGATTAAAGCTACTTCCCAATAAAAATATTTATTTTCATAATAGGGTAAATTGCCACAAGGATTGGTCGAAGTCGGGTCGTCGCAGCTTCCACCCGCCGAAGAAGAAACTGATAATGACGTATGTATATGTTTTTATTTATGCAGTAGTTTGATAAGCCTTATTGCACATTCATATTAACAGGTTTTAAGGTTTGACGAGGATGACACTCATAAATTGTCATATCTGTTTCTTCTCTTTAGCTACCTGTTCATATGTCACAAGATGATAATTTTGGATATGCATAAAACTTTACATGAAATATAAAACATGCAATTTCAACTAATGTTTGCTACAATTGCTGAAATTTACGATCTTTTTAAACAATAGAGAATGGCCAACAAGTTGCCCGACGTACTTAGTAGTATAGTATAGTTATATAGTTTACGTATAGTTTTTTTTTATGATATAAGAATGGTTAATATTCCATTCTTATATCATAAACATAATCTTCGCTATCACTATGTCTCGCCGGTATGATATCAGTCATGGTAAGAAAGAGTGAAATCAAGTCAGTTGGCCCATCGTGATTAATTCACCAAGAATCAACCACGATGGTTTCCAGGGACTACACGAAGGTCGACTTGTCATTTGCTAGCAACGGGATAGCTAGTTCCATTTACTAATAATCCTTTCCCTCCGCTAATGTTTATTTGTTTGTAACACTTTTTTGTATTGTATATTATACAGTAAAGTTTTAAACTATATTATACAGAGTTCTTAAAAAAATAATGAGTACAATGGCGGATTTATCCCATAAAACGAATCTCTTCCAGTCGACCTTTGAATGTTTGATAGAATTTGTGAGTTGGGGGGGGGGGGGGCATAAAAATGGCTAATTAAAAAAAATAGAAAAATTATAGGTGTAATATGTATAGGTGTTAATTAGTTCGGGCAACCCCAAAGTTAAGTAGATGATTATACGTGAGTACTTAATTTTGGGGTTGCCCTATTTTGTAGTAAAATACTTGTATAAAGTCGATATAATAAGAGTAATAGTTTATTTTAATGCATACTGCGTATTCATTTAAATAAAAATCACAAATGTTATTATTTAACAAATCATAGGAATGTTCAATAACAATGCAATGGAATCTGGCGAACTTCCTGCCGGCCTCTGTGCGCGAGCAATTCGCGGCGGCGGTGGCGGGCTTCCTCAGCGCCGCGTACAGCCAATCGGACCAGCTAGCGGCGCTGCTGCGCGGCGAGATCTCACAGAAACTGTTCCAGTAATTATGTCACACCTATTTATGTCAGGATTGCTAGATGCGATTTTTAATACCCAAATATTAAATATTTTGTCTTCATATCGATACAATTGTTAATACATATTCATGAATCTGTTTGTTTGTATTGCTATTAATGTTTTTTCTATGTATATTATTTATTAAGTACCTAACAAAAAAAAGTATATCGATCTATTGTATAGTTCGCATAATACAAACTTTGCTTAATTTAGGACTAAATGACGTGTAATATGTCCAATAGTATTTATTATTATTTGTTAATTAAAGTAAAAAATATATATATATATCCAGGGTGACGGAGAAGATCAACAGTCGAACGCCATCGTTGCGCGAGGCGGAGCTGGCCTCGCGACCGGGCCGGCGGCCTGGCGCCTTGCCGGCCGGCGCCACGCCCGCGCTGCTCTTTGTCAACGCTGTTTGTAAAGTCTTCTCTCTCGACACCAACGTCGAAGATGAGGTACTTTTACGCTACGTTCATTTTGTAAGCTTTTATTTAACTTTTGTGCAGTTTCTTTATACGAGGCAAGCAGCCATTGATTAAGTAAATTTTAAAATATTGTGTAGTGGTAACACCATCGAGTATTGAGTACGGCAACTAATCGTTTTTACATAATACAAAATTATCAAAAATAAAAATCGTTAGAATTATTGCACTATTTTTGACCATCGAAAACAAATAATAACCATTATAAATAAATAAATTAAATATTTTTTATTCAAATATACTTAAATATATAATATATTTATATAATATAATAATCATATTTTAAGTATTTTTTTTTATGAATCTATTATCCATTTAGAAATGTAATTTTAGCCGACAGGAACGGGTAAGTTACTCAGCTCCGCTCAGATCATACTGATAAAAAAAAAACTACACTCAATCAGATTATTCTTGAACAGACCATTCCCTATTGGAAACACCTATCTCAGTAAGCAGTTGTCGTTGTTCAACCATATATTGTAGGGAGCCCAATGAGCCGGCTCACCACGCCGCCACCAATCTGGACATTATAGTGAACATGACTTGTTCCAAGTTACGTGATTACTTCAAAAATATCAATACCAAATAGAATGTGACATTCAGTACAATATTATCATACCCTAAAAAATTACCATTGCAAAATTGAAATGTTATTTATGTAGTTAATTCAATAACTTTGTCAATTAAAAAAAAAAAACTAATTATTAAAATAACAAAAATGTCATCATTTTAATAAATAAACAATGTCACTAACTCTGTACTTATACATTTTTTTTTTACTTTGGCCAAGTATTTTAGTCCTCAGGAATGGCAACGCATGAGGAATTTGTGATGGTTATGTTTACTGGTGGCGGTTGCCATTTGCCTCAGGTTTTCTTTTCGTCAATTTGTTTGCCATAGGGAAAGGTGTTGTTAGTAATGGGGATTTAAAGCCCCATTGCTAGCAATTAGATCGACTTTACATGGTTTCCTTTAAATATTTTCATGGTTGATTCTTGTTGAATTCGTCACGATAGACGAACTGACCGCCAACGTATAACGACAGTGCAGGTGGGACTATCATTTCATTTTCCCCCCTTAAAAAAATTTTGTACTTTGAGTTCCATAAATAAAGAATATTGTACATGTGCATATAGGTGACCCTGCTACGGCGTAATCTCTTACGGCTGGTGGGTGTGGGCGAGTTCAGCAGCGCGGCCGAGTGGACGGACCCATGCGCGAGTTGCGTAGTCGGCGAGATCATTTGCAAGGTTTGCAACCGGTGTCGTGACCTTGACCTCTGCCGGGATCCCGGCATGCACCTCCTTGACGGCGTGTAAGTTACTGCTCAATCATGAGTATTTAATTTTGTATTAAAAATAATCTAATTTCTGATGGAGTAGCCATTTTTCAAATGTTCCCATTATAGTGAACGTAACATTCGACATACCCACATTTTGCCAAGCATTAAGCATATGTATTCATACGTAGTACAGAGTTTACACAACAATTTATCATGGGGAGTGTTCTGAGGAATTGTTCGGATTGATACCTGCTGCTGATTTTCACCACCGTACAACCCGCCACAAACTAAAGTTTCATCCCAATCATCTGGACGAGTGGCGGTCTTCCACCGTGCGTTTTTCAAGGCACTTTCTTCCACGCACAACCATTCTTTGGAATCAACTTCCAGCAGCAGTATTTCCGAACCGATACGACAACATAACCTTCAAGAAAAGAGTATATTCCTTTTTAAAAGGCCGGCAGCACACCTGCAATGCCGCTGGTGTTGTGGGTGATCATGGGCGGCGGTAGTCACTTATCATCAGGTGAGCCACATGCTCGTTTGCCCCCTGTGTTGTAAAAAAAAAAAAACTATTCAATTAATTTGGTATTCTTTATTTGTTCCTTCAGGATATTTCAATTTCATCTTTCATCTTTCATCCATGAAAAACAACCTTTTCTTTTTATACAGGCATGGGACAATAAAAATGATGGAACAGAAGTAGCTATACAAATCATATAGTATTATAGTTTTGTCTCATGTTAGAAATTACTAGATATCTTACAATCTGAATGGAGCAATAACAACTCACGCAAACTGTTTGACAGTTTCAAAATTCAATAAACTTTTTAGGCCGGTGTGCGTGTGCCCAACGTGTAACACGCCGTACGACAACCAGGAGTTGGAGTGGCGACTGATCGAGACCATGAACAGACGAGCGATGACTTACACACTACAAGACCTTATATGCAGCAGATGTCACCAGGTCTATATCACATATGTACATATTATATATTAAAAACTCAAAATGATTCCAACTTCAAATTTTATAAACTTCAACAACAATAGGTACTTGTGTTTTCAATCTGAGGGGAGAGACAAACTATCTAAAAAATATTTGACCTGAAAATTATGACCAGTTTCAGCATTGTCAATACTTGGTGCCTCTCTACACCTACTACATAAGGGTTCTTTCGTACAATACTGTCCCACTGTCAAAGATTCCTTGCTAATCGCCACAAGTATCATAAATGGCCAGCACCTCACTTGTCATATCTGTAGTGATCTATCTCTAGAATAGAAATATCTATTAGTACCATATTTGTTTTTTTTAAAACATACAAATTATATTTTTTTTTCTAAATTTCAGGTAAAACGTGAAAATTTATCAATGGTATGTGATTGTGCAGGAGACTTCACCCTCATGGTCCCTGTGAAGGAAATTCATTCACAGCTCGCAACATTCAAAACTATAGCTGAATATTATAAAATGCCACTTTTATTAGAGCTTATCAATTTTAATTTAAATAATATGTGATGAATAATGTAATTATATGTGAACATGAATATATATTTTTATAATGTCACATGTTTTCCTTTTATCTCATTCCTTTTCATCCTTGTTAAATTATACAAACTAGGACCTATTAGATACACAAAGTTATTAGAAAGGATTTTTCTAGATAAAAACAAATTTATTAAATTATATTACTTTATATTTAATATTAAAATATAATTACAGAAATTAATATAACAAAAAAACATTATTACGATTTTAGAGTGTACTCCTTTCTTCATTTGGAGTTTGGCCCAATCCTTTGGCAACTTCACTTATGCATAACCACTGGCCATCTGTGCTCTCCTTCCAAAGGCTCACTTTATTGTCTCCACCTGAGACAGCTAAGATATTACCTGTCAAAGACCAGCTTACGCTCCACACGACATCATCAAATGTATTGAGGATTGTTGGATTCCAGGATATGTTATCATCACTAGACCAGATTACTACTCTCTTGTCCTGGGAACAGCTGGCAATCATAGATCGTTGAAGGCCAAGTGATGGTGCCCATGCTACATCTCTGACCCAATCCATATGCATTTCTAGACGATTCTCTTCTACCCATTGGTCACCCTGCTCTCTCCAAATCTGAAATATTTTTTTTATATAGGTATCAATATAAAATACATTTTATAAAGTACACATAAATAAAAATAATAAAAGTTACATAGTTGCTGGAAAAGAGACTTACTTTTATTAAATTGTCACATCCACCAGATACTAATCTTTTTGGGGCATCTTTGTTGCTAAGTGGATCAAGATTTAAATCTGCAGAAATAGCGGGACACCAACTGACGGAGTTCACGCCAATAGCATGAGCACCAGATATCTTCTTAACATCCCAGTTACCACTGTCCTGCGAGTATGTTATGATGGAAATAGAACCGTCGGAGCTGCAGCATGCAAGTATCAGACCATAATCAGATGGCGCCCACGCAACTGAGTTCACAGAACTTTCTTGTCCTGTATATTCATACAATTTCGTCCATTCCCCGGCTTCCTTCCATATAATCACTTTTCTGTCGTAAGAGCAGGATGCGAGGAGGTTTCCGAACTTAGGGTGAGCCCAGGCGACTTGCCAAACTGGACCAAAATGACCCTTTAAATCAGCAACTAAAGTTTGAGTGCCATTTTTTATATCATAGATTTTTACAGAATTATCCGAAGAACATGTGGCGAGCCTTAATCCATAGTAATCCATTTCTGCATCGTGTATCATATCTTCATGGCCCGTATCGATAGTATTTAGTACACTAATCATTTTGAAAAATTATTAAAAAAATATTTAATCACAAACGGAGAATAGTACAAGCACCGCGACCAAATGTCAAATGACGTTGACGTGGAAGGTAATGTTGCCATTTGTTCTATCAATGTTCAATCGAAGTTTTATGCAATGTAAATGGCACTGTTGATTTATTACAAAAACAGTTTCTACGTGTACATTTGCTTTCAAAGTATAGATATATGTTTTAAGATGACTTTAAAATAAAAAGTAGTACTTGTAGTGCTTATATAAAATTAATCGTTTTCAACACAATTTTTTTTTTCGAAAGTACATATATAAATATTTACGTACAACATTATGTTCAAAAGTTGAAACTTATTTTTTATAATTGTAACATTGGACTGAAAGTATCTAAACGTCAAAAACTTGAAAGCAATTTTCACTATTCTGAAAATATTGATGAGCTAACAAATTGAAGAATTATGTTATTTTGGTTCAAAGTTAAATAACAACATGTCTGAGAAGGAGGGTGGGATATTCTATAATGTAACTAACTTACTTGAACAGGATTACCGCGGCGTAAACGTACGTATAGTACACAGAATGTTATCATGAGTTGTAAATGTTTATCGCTGTAATTGTTTTTTTTTTTTACAGATAGCGGTATATGCTCTCGCTACTGCTGGATTGGCTCTATCTGTGCATAAGATACGACCGGTAAATATCTCGTGACTTTTTCTATCACTTTACCTTCATTACATAACTTTTGATGGAAATAAATGTACTTAGGTTAGCAAGTTTTCGAAAGCCAGCAAAATACCGGAGCACTTCATAAGACAGCATGAGCCGCTGAGAGGAGTGTACTCAGGCGTACAGCATTCTCCAGTTCGCCTCCTAGTAAACCACAGAGCGCCTATATACTTACCACTATGGCATTCCAGTAAACCTCCATTGCCTGTCAAGGTTTGATATTTTCAATAACATGTCGTCATAACTTGATCTATTGCCAAGATTTTTATTAAAGTTATTTTATAATTTCAGCTGTGGGGTGTTGATATAGTGAGTGGAAATGCTGTGAATTGGCTTGAATGTGTAGCTAAAGGTCAACAAGTTACTTTGAAGCCTATTGGAAGAGATAAAGATGATCTTGTCTCCACTGTTCTACTACATTTACCACAGAAAAAGGTAATTTAATATAAGGTATTTTTATACACAGTTAACTATACAAAAATTTAAATAAATGAAACAACTGGATTTGTATAAATAGCACATTATGTTCTCAATAATTATACCATAATCCATTCATATTAAATTGAATCAGATTGAATTCTTTGTGATTCAGATAATACAGAATTGAAGAATTATTATTTGACACCCAAACTAAAGCATTTTTTAAAGTTTGCACCCTAAGCCTTGGGTTAAAAATTAAACCTGGGACTTGTATTATACCTACTCCTGCAATTAAGGTATTTTCACAATAAAGTAACTGAAATAACAACCTTATTTACACTGGTGAAGTATCTGTAGGGGTAATTTTTTTTATGATTTCTATGGTGCAGTGACAGATATGTTGCATAATGACAGTCCCGGTCCCTTGTTTCTTTAGTAAAAAGTATTCTAGCTTGACAGTTAAACAATTAGTATAATTGTAAAAAAGTAGCTAATGATGCAGTTAGGCCTATTATAACATATTCACAGAAAAAATCAATCACAGTGATTTTCAGGTGAATCACATGAAGGTGGCATATTGCTATCTATGCAGAAAGAATTAATGTTCCTATTTCTAATAATCCTTTCTTACTATACAATAAAGACAAATTATGATTGTAATGGAATCATCAAAATTTATGCATAACTTTATTTCCAGACCAAAACAGTGGAAACATTGGACATTGGACAGAAACTAGTAGAGCTGGGATTTGCCAAAGCATCTGTTCCACAAGCAATTAAGAAGGACACAATTGAGTCACAACTGGCACCAGTTATCCTCTCAGCAGAAGCTCGAGCTAAGAGCTATCGTAATGGGGTATGGTCAGAAAAACTCCCACCGATTCCAGTATATGTTGTGTACTGGAGAAAAGGGTCACGACTCACTGTAGAGCTTCTTATTCTCACTGCACGAAAACTATTACAACTACTGGCTGTTACTTCCAAAGGTGCCTTATTGGGGGTGAAAAAATTAGCCCTTCGACCTTTCAAAACTAGTCCTAAACAGGTCCAAGCCACATAAAAGCATTTATTTTATTATTCATATTGTAATTATTCAGTAAACTTGTTACAAATTCTAGTTTGTTAAATTACCAAATGCATTACAGAAAATGTAATTACTTGGTGATTAATACATACTAGACTTCCAATTGTTGCATGATTTCAAAAACATCTTTGTATATATTGTTGGAAAATAAAAAAAAGTTACATTATTAATTGCAGTAGTATTAATTTTATTAAAAAAGGAAACTAATAAATGTAGTTCTAATTTCATGGTCTCTAAGATAGGACATTTGAAAACATAATATCATTATAAATTTTGCATCAAACATGGCTTAGTTTCAAATACTATACGTAGTATATTATGGGACTCTTGGTGTGTGTAGATAGACAAATATAGTAAGTATATTAAACTAAAATGTATGTATAAAAGCATTGTTTATTCAAATTAAATAGAATATATTACATTAAAATATATAAATCAATAATCTTAATTAAAATAGAACTGAAAAAGTACAGCTAAATAATCTATAGAAATAATATCCTTTGAAACCATTACTTAAAAAAACTGGAACACCGAGGAATATTTTTATTCTACAAAATAATTGTCATTTTAAAATGAAACAATGTACAAGTAATTTATGACGAATACTGTTTATCTTTAACTAAAAGACGAAATTATTAGGTAAAGTCGCGGATATAAAAATACAAAAAGCAAGTCTGCTCCCCGCGCGGAATTTACGCACCAGTTATAAAATATAGATCGAAAAATATAGTCGAGGTGGGTATGTAACTGTCCACTTTAGAGAATAGCGAGTGCGGTATCGCGGGGCGGGGTGTACGGCCAGGGCCGGCACGGGGCGGCAGCGGGGCGCCGTCAGAGCAGGCTGCAGCGTGACAGCCAGGACGTGGGCTTGCGCATCGGGTCGTTAGGCTTGATCTGATGGGCACCACTCCGTGCCGGCGGGTTACTCGCCTCCTGTATCGTAAATAAATTGTGTAAAGTTTGATTCCAAGTATTCTATTTAGAGATCCATTCAATCTTTATAAAATATAGACTTTTCGAAAGGAGATTAAAAGATATCGTTTCATTAAATGAGTTTACATTCCATTGTTAATGTCTCTTTTATGGAGACTACAAAAATTAGAATTTACTATCTTTATATATATATATGCCAATATACAGAATGGATGTTTATAACAATTTGGAATTTGGTCTAAGCATTTGTGGGCAAATAAGTCCCTGACAAATTGACTTATTGAGACTGATAAAGTCACCCCAACTCTCAACAAAAATTAGAATAAATAAAAATTTGGTAGAATACATAGAATTCAATAACTTTCTCCATTAAAATACATTTAAATATGGAACTATTTTTTTACCTTTCCTAACTATCTAATATTTAAAATACGAAACCGTATGCATAGTGTAAAAATTTTTCAATTCCTGCTTTACGTTCTATATAGGTAGTTAAACATCACTGGATTTCAAATTCACTTATTCTATTTTTAATTTATATAGTCATCATCATATCCATCAATTCCACAGCCATAAACTCTCACTGCTAAACATAGGCCTTCCCAATGAAGTTTTTGATAGTTTGAAGGTTTTGCTAGTAGTTGCCATGTTTGGCAGGCGGGTTGGCAACCGCAGTTAGGCTTTGGTGATGATTTATACTTTATATGTAGCTGTGTAAATTTACTGACGTAAATTCTAAATTTAGTGACAAATTATAATATTTCCTCTATAATTCTGTAATTCTTGTATTACTCATACTTTGTATGGCACGTGGCAAGGAAATACGAAATATGGAAAATGTGGTTAGAGTATATGTACTTATCTAATAATAACATCTAAAAGTAAACAACCAAACTAATAAATTTACATGTTACATAATCTATCCACACATGAAGGATGACGGAGAATTTTTATAACACGCAAATAAATTTAAGCAATTTAGAGTTTTCTAACATGCTGTCTATTCTCATTTAACTGTTTACAATTAGGTATTTGAAAAATGTAGGCAAAAACAATAACACTGAACATGTTAAATGGAGATAAACCATGTGTATTAAATCACTATTATTTTATAAATATGGAATGCATTGCTCATAATGTTTCCTATCTGAGTGTTACTTCCTTTCGTTTAATGACTAAATACAAGAACAAAAAAAGAGGACTGTCCCCTAAAATATAAGCAAAGTAATGATTGTACTATTTTACATGCCATATAAATTACAATAAAATTACAGGGTACATAGGTAGGCATAACACCTCAATCTTAGGAATGACAATGCATGAGGCAGTGTCATGAGCGACACAGTGTACTCTGTTATGTCCATGGTGCTGTTTATATCTACAGATGATGGTTACCACTTTTCATCAAGTAGGCCGTTAGGTTGTTTGCCATTCTAAGTTGTATAAAGAAACATAAAGTGCATTCTGTTCTGATGAACTTCATAATTTTTATTTATTTTAATAATAATGATAATTATTATTTTGAATAATTATTTCTTATTAATAATTCATGTGTTATAATAAATGTAAAATGTTTATTTATATATGCAATATGATGGGTTAATTCAAGATTTTTAATTTAGATATTAAGGAAATAAAAAGAAAATCAATCAAGCTACACATTAAAAATCAAAACGATAACATACAAATTCATTTTAAGAAAGCCTCTATTTATAAAAACATGCAATTTACTAATAGTGTTTTAATCAACTTCTAATAGCAATAAAGTGAAATCTAATTAATTCAATGGACACTACAATTAGATGGCTTTAATGAGTCATATGTCAGGACCCTGGAAATGTTAATCTATAGCAACAAGTGTATATTTATAGAAAACAAATGTTGCTAGGTGTATTAAACTGTAGTTCTTCATGTTAATTTTAGCAGATTTCCCATTGATATATATAAAATCCTAGATACACAATCAGAGACTCTAGAAACAACAGTGAAATTAGAGTGCATTTAACTAAATTTTGTATTAACTTCTAATAATACTTTGTTGTTTTTAGTTAAATATACTGAAACATTCATATAAATTTTAGAAAATGTAACATGTAAACTGATTTCTTATTTATGGTAAGTATTTGGCTTGAATCATGCCATGTGTTATGATTTATTAACAATTTAGAACAGTTTTAAGTGTATGAGATTGTGCATCTTGGTTTTTTTTTTGTATATCAATGAGATTTCTAGTAAGTAACTGCTATTCTCATAAAGCAATATATATGCACAAACACCTTGAAGTGACATCTGTACTAACCATACACATTTCAAGGGACATTAAAAAAATAGCTGCATTTTAGACAAACAACGTTAACAAAATAAACACACAATTATTTACCTTCTATTTTTATGAGAGTCATGGAACAAGATAAAGTTTGATTAGTTAAATATAAATAACATATAAATATTTTTAAAGGGAATGAGTGTGGCAGTGACGAGAGCTTAACAATTTAGATATAATATAGATATTTATTTTATTATACAATTTTTTCCGAAATCCGTCCAGTTGTTAAGATACATATACATACATACATACATTTAAGAAAGGAGGAGTCTTTGGCTGTTAAAAATATATGTATACTAGCTTTTATCTACGGCTTCATGACTTTCGCATGACTGGGATATGTATATTAACTTGGATAAAAAGTAGTCTATAGTTTTCTTTATTCCATATATTATATGTATGCTAAGTTTCATAGTGATTGGTTGAACCCTTAAGGCACTGTAAGATAACAAACAAACAAGCAAACTCGTTATCACATTTATTAGTAAAGGTGGCATAATATTTAGAAGGTATAAGGCAAATTAAAAAGTAATAATGAGAAGTTGGCATTGGAATTTCTAAATCCATATTATAAGATATACATAAAAGGAAATAATAATAATTATTTAAAATAATATTAATTAAATATATACAAATATTTTTATAAACGTATACTTCTATCTACATATACGAGGTCTGTCCGGAAAGTTCGTATAAAAGTGTTCTGGAATGCGAGAAAGAGGAGTGGGGAGGCCAGGTAAGCGCAGGACCCCTTCCTTATGTCCCTAACAATGCTTCAGTTCTGGTCTGACCGCCGTGCGGTGCGAACTGGCTTGTCACGCCATCTGTGAAGTTACCTCTTAACGAAACCCCGTCGGCATGGAGCCCGCTTCCGTTGAAGAGCAGCGCGTCGTAATCAAGTTTCTCTCGAAACTCGGCAAGAATGGCCGTGAAATTTTTGCCGATCTAATTCGATAAGACATCCGGGGAACCACGAACAAAAAAATCAAGAAAATCCCGCTCAAATGTCAAGACAATGTTGATTGTTTTTTTCGATGTTCGGGGGATTGTCCATCAAGAATTCGTCCCTCCAGGCCAGACAGTTGATGGAAAATTCTACGTCGATGTGCTCAGACGCCTCAAAGCTCGTGTGGCACGAGTTCGTCCAGAATTGGCGCGAGAGGGGCGTTGGATTCTTCACCACGACAATGCCCCTGCCCACACCTCTCTTGTTGTCCGTGAGTTTTTGAGTAAAAATTCCATTACGGTGACCGAACACCCCCTATTCGCCGGATTTGGCCCCGTGTGACTTCTTCTTGTTCCCAAAAACCAAATTGGTACTTCGGGGGCGGCATTTGGGGGACATAAATGAGATAAAAAAAGCTACGACGGGGCAGCTGAGAAACTTACAACCAGAGGACTTTCAAGGAGCCTTCTCACAGTGGAAACGGCGTTGGCACAAGTGCATTATGTCACAGGGGGAGTACTTTGAAGGGGATAAAATTGATTTACCTGAATAATTGTAAAATAAAATTTTTAAAAAACTTTTATACGTACTTTCCGGACAAACCTCGTACTTGCCAATATTGTGACAGTGAACTTGTTACCTACTTGACCCTAATTTGGAATGGAACATATATTTCTTTTTATTTAGGGCAATCAATAAATCCTGGTCACATTGAACAAAATTGCAGCATAGATTGTATGTACATTTATAGATCATTTAGAAGGCTGACCACACGCCAGATTGATCACAGAGCAACAAATAACTCACATTCATGAATAAGACCTTGAATTAAATTGTACCTAACTCATTCACAAATAATAATTTAATCTTTAAAACTAGTGAAAGCAATATTTATTTTCTATAGTCATAACTATAGATAATAAGTTCATTTTTGGGAAAACACTGTTTTTGTTTAATGTTATTTTATTTTTTCTATTTTTAATCTTATAGGCATTAAAAACTTTCGATAATTACTTAAATTAATTATTTATATTTCAATATATATTAATTATAAAAATAAAGAATAATTGTATATATTTATCTACATTCTTTTTTAAATATTAGGCTAAACATTATTTTATTATTATATAAATTTACTATACAGATATCACAAAATTTTGTATTAATAAACAAAACGGTATATGTTACAATACTAGTACATTTAAAAAAATTATCATTATAATTCTTATTGAGATAAATAAGTCTTACCTGTTTCTTCTCCATTTTAGCTTTTATATCTCTTGCTAGTGTGTAAAATGCATACTCAACATTTAAAGAGTCTTTAGCTGATGTTTCTACAAATTTAATCTGGTACTCTACAGCTAATTGTTCACCTCGCTCTTTTGAAACCTAAAAATTATATTGAATTATTATTTCTGACAACAATAAAAAAAAAAATTATAGTATAAATTCACACATACAATTATTTTTGTGAACTAAATAAATTTCAAATATCACTAAAATATTATTATAAAAACAAACTTTTAGCAACTATAAAAAGAAGAAGGAAGGAACTTGAGAAAATATTTTTATTACATTATGTTATTGGAATTGCAATACCAATTTCATGATAATTATTTATTAATTATTTGTGAAACAATACTTTTTCTATTTAGAATAAAAGACAAATTGCATATGCCTGTCTTGCATTACCTGTCTTTTAGCATCTAAGTCACACTTGTTCCCTAGTATCATCTTCTCCACATCAGCACTAGCATTCTCTTCAATATTTCTTATCCAATTCTTTATATTTTCGAAACTTTTCTCATTTGTAACATCATACACTAGCATGATACCCATAGACCCTCGGTAGTATGCTGTTGTTATTGTACGGAACCTTTCTTGACCTGCTGTGTCCCTGGAAATAAAGGTTTCAAATAGGCAGAATGAAAATTATGTTTCGCCTTACTATTGGTATTAATTATTCATAAATATGGAATCCTTTTCTTATTAAAAACATTTAAAAGATTGTATTATATTTTCATGCCAATATAAACAAGGTAAAACCTAATGATTCGAAGCATTTTCTTTTCAATTAATAAAATATTGACTTAAGCTTTAAAACAAACAGGAAACTTACCATATTTGTAATTTAACTTTTTTTCCATCGAGGTCTATTGTCCGAATTTTAAAGTCAATACCTGTAATATCAACTATTTGTTAAAACTCAACTAATTACAATTAGTATGTATGATGTCATAAGCTCTTCGTTCATCTAATTCGATAAGGGCTCCATTAATCTTCGAGCCGCGCCCTTTCCCATATTTACATGTACCACGATGAGAAAAACATTCACAAAGAATGAAACAAAAAATAGAGTTCCATGACAAATCGTATGTAAAAAAAATAGATATCTGACAATAACCTTTGGTATAGACAGAAATCACTTACCAATTGTGGATATAAACGATATATTGAAAGCATCTTCTGAAAATCTAAATAATATAGATGTTTTTCCCACTCCAGAATCACCAATTAAGAGTAATTTAAATAAGTAATCGTAAGTTTTTGCCATTTTTTTTACAACAATCTGATTAGAAGATCCTTAGGCCATTCATTTGGCATTTTTGAGTAATCACTTGTAATAGTGATGTACGCTAATATTGACTCACGTTTTTGAGTCTTGATCGAGTCTTTTTGATTAAAAAATAAAATAATTTTTTTAGATTTTAGTAGTTCGTGACTTTAATAGCCTTAATGTAAATCTTATTTATATGTAGCTTTATTTTATAATAAAAGGTTAGTCCCAAATAGAGTATGAGCTTGAGTTATGAATGAAACATTATATCCACCACGACCACGATCAGCGATTATTATACAGGTAGCAACTTATAAACTACCTACTGAGAATTTAACAAAAAAGTAAACATTAGTTTATAAAAATTTTTTTTTAATTATAATTCAATATTTTGAAATGTTTTATATAATAAAAGGACTATTATTAAAATAATATACGTTAAGTTAGTAATATAAGTTATAGTATTTTTTTCTTATAATCTTATTAATTAATAACAATTTATAAATTTTTAAAAATGATTGATTTTTTGTATGCTTATTAGAAAACGAAAGTGAATCAATTTTGGTTTTGTTGTCGCAAGCTAATTGTAATATATAATTTTTACCAGAGGGAGACTTTGTACAAAAGTCATTTGTTTGGGAACTTCAAGCCCATTCGTGTTTCTACTTTACTTGAAGCAATTGTGTTTGTTTGACTATGTTTCGGTTTAACACCTGAGTTCTCAGGAATGGCAATGCATGAAGGGTATTTTGGGCGAAACGGTATACTTTATTATATCCGTGGTACTGCTCATGTCTATAGGCAACGGTTATTAAGAAAACATCTTTGTCTAATGATAATAGTGCTCTTCTTTATCTGTGCGTTACTTAGCAACATGTTAATATACTGTTGAAACAAAAATTACTTTTACTACAAATATATGCACTAACATTCTATATTAAATCTGTTATATTTCCCGTTCCCTTTGATTTCTTAAAGATGGTTTATTCTAAATTGCATAAAAAAATTTATTCTAACGAAACATATATTAACCGTTTACGAAGTTATATGTAAGTTAAAAAATGTACATATATCAATTGAATTGACATCAGTAAGCTAACCTATACTGACAGTAGAGAATACCATTGAGTAGTCTCTCTAATCTGTGATATTGATGACAGCAACTGAAGCGGTAAATAAATAGCTTCAATTTGTAAACACCTTTTTTAATATTATTTACATTTATTACTGAATGTTATGAAGTTGTAAATTGTAAATTTCAACTATAATAATGTTTTACCACGTAAGTTACATTATAACTTGTATATATATAATTGATTATAGCAAATTAAAGTAACGCTATACTAATCCATTTGCAGATATCATTAGAACACGAAATACTTCTTCATCCGCGATACTTTGGACCGCAGTTACTCGATACTGTAAAACAGAAATTGTATACTGAAGTAGAGGGCACATGCACTGGCAAGTACGTATTATTATACATTTCGCTTAACTTGATAAGAGGTTATGAAAAATGAAATTTCTATGCAGAAGACAATACCTGACAAAAAAAAAACAAAAATAATTACAGATCTAATGTACTCATGCGAAGTTAGGGCCAGTTGCTAGTTAAAATATATATTTGTGCTTTGTAAGTTTTTCGCTGGCACATAGCAATACAATTTTTATACATTTCTTTTAACAATTTTAGAAGATTTGTGCACTACTACATTAATAATGACAGCTTAATTCTAATATTCATATAGATTCATTGTATCATCTATGGATCTTTATGCCATTCATTGGTAGTTGTGGGTGAGGTGTTATTCATCTAGTCTGATATTGTAATGATCTTACCTTATGGGCTAAAATATTATGTTACATATGTCACTGTTTACTTTGCTGAAATAGGTAGTATTGATTATTTAAAAATTCTGCTAACAAACTAAAACATTATATATTGGAATTTTCCAAATACATTTTCAACCTTTATCCAAACTTTTAACAGACATAGTAACAGTAGCCACTTAATAAATATAATAATATATTTATTAAGTATGATTAATATTTTAGATTGATAGCACAGAATTTTTTAAGTAATGAGAAATGTTGAGAGTTGTTAAATTGATTTTTAATATTCATGTACTAACCTTAATAAGTCCATGCTAACTTTTAATAACTCATTACAACAATAATGGCTAGTCGTCATTTTTTATATTTCATTTATTTATATTTAATATATTTATCTAGTATTATTATGTATGGCCTGTACATTATTAACTATTATTTTCTTTACCTAGCCCAGTAATGAAGTATCATGTTTGTGATTCACTGTTCATCCTAAAGATTGACTGGTGGAGAAAGCTACTCGCATTGAATCCTGCTTTTGTACCATATTTCATTTTGGTCAATAAAGTTATTTAAATAATTATATTTTATGTTGCAGATATGGCTTTGTTATAGCAGTAACAACAATAGACAGCATTGGTGCGGGACTTATACAACCTGGACAAGGGTTTGTAGTGTATCCCGTCAAATATAAGGCAATAGTATTCAGACCGTTCAAGGGTGAAGTACTTGATGCTATTGTCACTCAAGTAAACAAGGTTTGTGCTTATCAATACATCATTTAAGTAATTATTTTGGTTAATTTATTTATTTTATGTGGTCCTGATATAAATTGGGCCATCTCCATCTGTCCCATGGGTGTTGTAAGAGGTGATTAAGGGAACTTATTGGTTGAGGGATGGGCAGCAGAGTCCCTTTTAATCCAATTTTATAAATGGCCGTCATAAATATCTTATTATTTTTATATGTAATTAATATGTTGATGGATGTAGAGATATTTATTTGAACTAGATCATTTTATTGTTTCTGTCTAAAGTGCATACACATAGGGGGAGTTTTATATAAAAAAAAGACAGTCTAAAAAGTAAATATACATAATAATAAATGATATGATTCAAATTTAAATAATTTTGTTTATCCGCATCATAATTTTAGCCATTATCCGTCCACTGTCTATATATCTATTTATTTAGTGAATTTGTGTTTTTAGGTTGGAATGTTTGCCCAGATTGGACCTCTAAGTTGTTTTATTTCACATCATGTAAGTAAAGTTTCTTTAATCCACAACAGCATTAGTCCTTTTATCCAGCTGCATGCTTTGTGGTTCACTCATTAACAACTCATGGATCATACAATGATTATTTAGATGATTTAAATAAAATTTAAATCTCAAATTAGTCATAGACCAATTTCTTTAACACATGAAAGAGTCAAGTATAAACTCATATAATAATTGCTTTGTATCCTTTTTATCTTGTTCATTTTGGAAGTCATCCCTCCTCTCACATTATGTATAAAAATAATTTGCAGTCAATACCAGCAGATATGGAGTTTTGCCCTAACGTAAATCCCCCATGCTATAAGAGTAAACAGGAAGACAATGTTATCCAAGAAGAGGATGTCATAAGGCTGAAGATAGTTGGTACGAGAGTTGATGCTACTGGAATTGTAAGTATTTTAATTAACATATAAATATTTTATAATTCAATAGGACCATATTAATAATATTCTATGCCCTGGTACATAATCTTGAAATTTTTTGAAGATGTGTAGAAAATTTGTGTTACGTTACATCCCCCGAGACATTGTGCCAGGGCACATACCCCAGTTACCAGTTATTTTTTTGTTAAATATTCTCTCAAGCCCGATATTTCTAAAGACACAAACACTACATATTCTTGCACTCACATCAACACAGCAGTATATATTTTCAAGCTTTTATTTTTAGTCTATTGTCTTTTTCTCAATGTCCTCTACCCAAAGGTTGTCTGGAAGAGATTGCTTAGCGACAAGGCCGCCTTTTGTATCACTTCTCATTAATATTTACTGTATTTGTTATTTCTCTTTTTACTTGGTGCAATAAAGTGTAAATAAATAAATATATTTAGTATAGTGAGAACTGGATAAATACTTTAATATACATTGAATTTTTTTCAGTTCGCGATCGGAACACTGATGGACGACTATCTAGGATTAGTAACACAGTAATAATTAAGTCATTTATAAAATAAGTAATATAAGTGTACAAAAGGAAACATGAAATAAATAACACGTTTATTTATCATTTATTTGTTATCATTTATTTGGCATTCAAATAATAGGGTAAAATTCCATACACAATGTAACAAAAACAATGCACTTCAAAAAGAATAAAATATTTGGACATTTTCAGTCTATTTGGGCAGTATATTGGGGTGGTTCTCATAATAATCTTTCGATTCATGATTGACATTAATTAACCTATACATTAAATCTTATAACTATAAGAAATGATTTACTAAAGAATATTGTCTATTAGTATAGTACTTCGACACAATAAGTGGCCTGAGGTAGTCACTCGATCAATATTCGTTTGTTGAGTGATTGACATTGTATAAAGTATCGAAAATTGAGAAGAATTCATGAGTTATTTGAAGAAGAAGAAGAATGCCAAATTTGCAAGTATCATTTCAGCTATAATATTAAGAGTCACGTCAATGAATATACTACATTATTTACTAGAATAATATAAGTATATACAAATTTCCACAAATTAAATAATAAATGATATACAAAAGTATAGTAACGTAAAAATATCCAAAGTATTGATAAGTCTTTGGTTCACCAATTATATACAAAGTCATTACATAATCTAAATAAATAATACCTAAATGAATATTGCATATCGCTTGAACAATTAAACAAAATATGGCATCTATTATAAATAAATAATACTCAATATGAGATCAGAAACACAAGCTAAACGAATAGAGAATATTTAAGCACCAAACGGGCTTAAAAAATGTATGTATATTTAATTTCGAGTTAACTAAAGATATGGACAAATTATCCATCGTAATAACATTCTCTTAGATGACACTGAGATTTAGTTATATGATCTATTTCATATTACATTTATACCTGTTCTATGCGCGAACGCGAACTTGAGCCGCATTCTGTCACGCACGTGACAGTTAAGAAGCGGACAACGCGGACGCCATTTTACACTAGCATTACTATAAGTACTACTAAGTTTACAATATCAAATATACTATATAATTATAAAATATTGAGACATAACATTGTGCAATATAATGTAATGATAGAAGATATATCGTAGACACATTCGAAACAATCAGTAATTATTTTGCAGTCACAATAAATTTGCACGAATTACTCACTGAATATTAACTCGCTGAAAATAATGTGCTGATGGTCACTATAAGTACGTCGTCATTAGAATGACACAAGTATACACCATTGGCATCATTATTGCAGCTTTATACAAGGCACAAATCAAGATTTTAGGAAGTTCACGAAATGTAATACAAATAGGAAGGTTTTGTTGAGCAAAAGGAGCGACATAAGAATATGAAATTAGGACAAGTCATAATTCAAGGGATTATATTAATTAAAATTAAAGCATACGTCATATATTTAATACCAAGGTGCTTGTAGCATGATATAAATATGTGATGTATGTACATAAAATTTTAGTTTGGAATTAACTTAGTTTATTAGCTAGCACCAACATTTTTATTACATTTTATTACAACCATTGTTAATCAAAATGTTGATGCAATCCAGGCTCTCTAAACTAGTGGCAAACAAAGTCCAAGTCAAATATGATTATACTATATTCTTTCTTACATGTATGATGACATAAACGTATTCAGAAATTGATCTGTTTGTTACTTGTATAGAGGGCCAGTTCTTAATAGTTAACCATAGACTAGAGGGGAGTGGGATTAAAATTAGAATCCTATTGAACTCGAGCAACATTAACATTCTTAACGCCGAATAAGACTAACCAGCAACATTATTACTTACAACACTTTAACAGTTATATTAATACTGACATAATTTTAAGGGCTCTTAGTCTGGAATATAATCTATTTTGTATAATGGGATAAATTGCTGAGCTTATAAATAATTTTATTTTTGCTTCCCCGTCTTCTGGCAACTGAAATCGTCCATACTTTACACTCCAAAATCAAACCACTTGAACCTGACCTGTTTGCGTGTTGAAGTAAATGCGAACAGTTTTGATATGCATTTAAATTGTTATAAAAATAATAAAGCAAAATTTTCTTTTTCTTTGCAATAAATAACATATATGCCAATGTGATATCGCTTATATATCTTTTATATCGGCATTTACTTCACCGATTCGACGATAAATACTTCCGACACGTGAATCCGGACCGTGTTGGACTAGATAACTCCTATGCCGATTATATCCTACTGACTACAAGTATATTTGGAGCTATCTAGTCGTTAACTCACTGGTAACCTATTATGGGTTACACTTGTTGACATAATACATTTGGTTTTAGTTTGTATCTCAGTTAAAGTAGTTTTTAGTCTTTGGCACAGTTAAGTGAAAGACAAAATTAATTATTTGGAATAGTAAAAACAAGTTAACGACTGTGCACCTAATGGAAAGCCGTAACTTTTGCTTATTGGAAGAACATTATGGAGATAAAAGAATACACTGTGACGCTCATTCGCTACCTGAGGACTAGGATGTTACGCATCCGTATAACGTAAACATTTCTCGTACAATTGTGTCAACTCAGTGAGTTAGATACCGGTATGATCGGCAACTCCGTACTCTCAACCTACGTATGCTACCAGCGAGCGCGGCACGTGGCGACACGTGCGCGTTCACTGCCTGACGTGGAAGCACTGGCACTATGCGGCCGGATGTCACGAGGCGGCGGAGACCGCGCCCCCTGCAACCCCCGCCACTCCCGCGACCGCGCCGGCGCCGCACGGGTCTGCGGGCGGCGCTACCGCCGGCGACACTGGCCCGCGTACCGCCTCGATATAATCCTTGATGAGCGTCGCTATTTGGTATGCCTGTTGGGGGAAGAAAAACATTATATTAGTAAGCCTCAATAAGTGGTTCGATAGACGCAAACAATAGAAGCAGATTTTAACCAGGTTTAGTTATGTATTGAATCAGTTTTTCGCTTTTATAAGTGTAAAGTATGAAAAAGACATGTGGCAGACCAAAACGTGAACCGATGTCATTAAACAAATAGCAGGAAACAATTGGATAAATACAGCAAAAATAAAAGAGAAATGGAATCAGATGGAGGAGGACTATACTCAAAATGGGACTCATATCCAAAATATTACATAACAAATAAACTAACATAGATATTAAGATTTCTAGTACTAACTATAACGTTTAATACAGTTTAAAAAGTTACGGGTTGTATATATTCTTGTGTGTACAATATCCGAGACAAAATGTGTACTGTTGGCGGTGTGGTCGTGTTCCACGTGCAGTGGGTGGTGGTGCTGGTGCTGGTGGCGCGGGAGCTCACCTGGTCGGTGGAGAGCACGAGCTTGGCGTGCTTGCGCTCGGCGCGCGTGACGAGCAGCAGCGCGCGCGGCGCGGGCGACACGGCCAGCAGCTGGTCGTGGTCGTGCGACACCAGCGCGGCGCGCGACCCGCGCCGCAGCAGCGTCAGCCCGCGCGCGTCCACCGCTAGCCACAGCGCGCGCGGCCAGTTCGATGTGAACGATTGCTGCACGACAACACGACTCCTCGTGTACTAACCAAATTTATGATATTCAATTTCGAAATTATCATGCTGCCACTACTATTCTTAGTATACTGATAATAATAAATCACATCATATTTCTGTCGGGAAGCAGCTGTATTTGCACGACTGTGTTTTGGTTTGAAATGCCATAGTCTCCAGGAATGGTAACGCACGAGGAGTACTTTTTTTTTATTTTGTTTTATAGGTAATAATGGAATGGTAACCCTACCCGCACTTACGGTATACACCGGCGGGGCACCAGTGAAGGATGATAGGTGAGGATGAAACAGGTCAGTAAGCCCATCGTGACAAATTCAACAAGAATTGTTCACGATGGTTTCCAGGGGGAACCACGCGGAGGTCGACCTAATACGGCATTATTGCTAGCAATGGGGCTATCAAACTCCATTGCTAACAATCCCTTTGGAAAGCGCGGGAAACGTTTAAAAAAGGAATTAACTGTTGAAAGCGCGGGAAACGTTTAAAAAAGCGGGAGTGTTTTTTGATCTTCTTTAAATTAATTTTATTTTTAATTATATAAGGATTAGTTTTATTTATATATTGTGTATTAGATTGTATATATAATTGTATATTTTGTAGTAATAGTGTTTGTTGCTGTAAATATTGGTAAGTAAATTACCTATATTAATTAGACATTATGGATCCACCTATAGACCCTGGGGGACAACCCCCCAGGTGTCTGCAAATATAACTATCCCATTTAATAATAGTTTTGATATATTGGGTGAATCTAGTATGGACACAGATGGTTCTAGCGTTGCAAGTTCTAAACGTAAGCGAGTACGTGGCGAACGTCGCATTTGCAAACATTGCAATAAAAAACGAAGGAGGCACACCAAAGGTCTCGAATCTAAAATTAAAGATAGTGATTGTCAATGTATTGAGGATGAGAATCAAACTCTAGTATCAATACCAGTTGTAAATAATACCGAGTCTGTTAAACCTGCTTCTCCACCCAGTACTTTAAGCAGAACTTTGTACAATGCCGAGGATGTAGCTCCTTATGTCGTTCATGTACAAAAAAATGAAACACATCCTAATGATAACACTACATTACATCCTATTGCATTTGGTCGCTTTTTACACACTAATAAGATAAATAATATAGTGAATGGTAGCCTCAAAAGAATAGGAAGAAACCGTTTATCGCTTTCTTTCTCAAATTTTGAAAATGCAAATGCATTTTTAAATAATAGTCACTTAGAAACACATAATTTTAAGGCATTTATACCTTCTTTCCATGTAACCCGTATGGGAATTGTGAGGGGTATTCCTAAAGATTGGACAGAAGAGGAAGTAATCCAAAATATATCAGTACCTATAGGTTGTGGGAGAATTCTAAAAACCAGAAGAATTAAGAAAAAGACCATTAATGAAGGACAACCAAGTTTTATTAATACTGAAACCATTGTTATTACTTTTGATGGACAAATATTACCAAAAAGAGTATTTATGTTTTACACATCATTAACTGTAGATTTGTACATTTACCCCACTATCCAATGCTATAACTGCTGTAGGTTCGGACATGTCAAGATGCAGTGTCGTTCAAATCCTCGGTGTTATAAATGCAGGCAAAATCATACAGGTGATAAATGTGAAGTAGATGAGGAAAATGTTTCTTGTATCTTGTGTAATGGTTCTCATTCAGCAATTAGTAAGAAATGTCCTGAATATGCACGTCAGAAAGCCATTAAAGAAACAATGGCCCACAGTTGTGTTTCTTATGCTGAAGCATCAAAATTTCATCCTCCCACTTCTAAACTATATTCAGATGTATTAACATCATCATCTCCGTCCAATAAATCTCATTTTCAATCTTCTTTCCTCAAAGAGAAATCATCATTACCACATATTCAATCATCACATAAAAAAACAGTTACACTTAAACCACGCTCTCCTCAAAAAGCACAACAAGGATATGATCGTTCTGCCCATGAAGCCATAGTTAAGGAATATAATATTCCTGCTCCCTCTAATGGTTGTGCATTATCATCAAATAATATTGACAATAATCAATCCATCTTTGATATTATTCTCATGCTTATTAAAGTGTTATCGCAATCGAAAATGATACAAACAACTTTACCACCGTCCAACGATGCCATTTACAATGTATTTTCTCAATTATTAACTTCTCACAATGGATTACAAAGTCCTAATAATTCAGTGGAACTGTCGTAGCATAACAAACAAGAAATCAGACTTATTTTATTTGATTAATAAATATAATCCTTTTATAATAGCTCTCCAAGAGACTTGGTTAAAGCCAGGATATCCTTTTAGGATTTCAGGCTTTACAAGTCTCCGTGATGATAGAGCTGACGGATATGGCGGTGTTGCCATATTGGTCAAAAACTCCCTTCCTTTTTCTTCTTTTTCGCTTCCTGTATATAGCGGCATTAATGCAGCTGCTATAATTATAAATGGTATCTGTTTTGTTACTTTATATATTCCTGATCCTACATGCCAAATATATTCACAACTAGAACAATTATTTTCAATTTTACCTAAACCTTTTCTCGTAATGGGCGATTTTAATGCTCAACACCAATCGTGGGGCAGTTCTACTTCTAATTTTTATGGTGGAAAACTCCTGACGATAATTGACACTTACAACTTATGTATTATTAACTCAGATGTACCAACACGTAGAACTGCACCGAATGAAGGGTTTAGTGCTCCTGACATTTCAATATGTTCTTCTGATTTAGCTTCTTCACTGTCGTGGTATCCTCATTCCTCTACTTTCGGAAGCGATCACTTTCCCCTCATTCTTTCTTTTCCAATTTCCATTCCCTCAAGTCGAAAGAGTGGTCCTCGGCTTAAATATAATTTATCAAATGTAGACTGGAATATTTACAAACAATATTTAGATAATAAAATATCGGAGTTACCTATTGTTTACCATGGAAATGAACATCAATGTTGTAATGACTTGATGATAAATATGAAGGAGGTTGCTGATTTATTATTTCCTGTTAAAAATAGTGCTTCAGGGAAAATTCCCTCGCCACTTTGGTGGGACAAAGATTGTACGGAAGCAATTAAAAATCGTAAAGAGGCTGAAAAAAATTATAATAATTACATGACACCAGAAAATTTTGAAATTTACACCGCAGTTTCACGTTCTACTCGAAAACTACTGAAAAAAAGAAATTAGAAGGCTGGAGAAGATTTTGTTCTTCTATCTGTCCAGAAGTTAATTCATCAGTCGTTTGGAATAATATTAAAAGATTCAGATCTGCCTTTAGTGATCATACATCACGTTCTGCACTCGATTTAACTTTAGCGAATAAATTTTTAGATCGCCTTGCTCCTAGTTATGTGCCGGAATGCCTTTACAATATTTCTCTATCCGTCTCTGACGAATTATTCGAACTTGACTCTCCTTTTACTCTAGTAGAACTTAAAGGTGTTCTAGCTTCTATTAAAGACTCTGCACCGGGAGAAGACGGTATACCGTATTCCTTTTTTAAAAATGCTAGCGATGCGACATTAATTTACTTTTTAAATATAATTAATTCCATAATTATTTCGGGAAATATACCTACTTCATGGAAGTCTCAGATTATTATACCATTTCTAAAGCCTCATAAACCACCTTCTGAACCATCTTCATACCGTCCTGTTGCACTTTCCTCTGTCTTACTAAAGCTAGCTGAACATTTAGTGAAAAACCGTCTAGAATGGTTTTTAGAAAGTAATAACTTACTATCCCCGAACCAGTTTGGTTTTAGGAAAGGTAAGAGCACCTTAGATAATGTGAGCATTCTTATTTCAGATATTCATATAGCTTTCTCACAAAATTTGTCAATCCTCTCAGCCTTTTTAGATATAAATTCTGCCTATGATAATGTAATAATTTCTATTTTAAAAACTAAATTACAAGCTCTAAATGTACCGGTAATGCTTTCTAATTTCATTATTAATATTTTATCAGAAAGAACAATATATATGAATTTAGATGAAGATACCAAATTATCTAGAACAGTATGGAAAGGCCTTCCACAAGGATCTGTTCTCAGTCCAATCTTATTTAACATATACACATACGATCTAGAATTATTCCTTGATAAATCCGTCAAAATTTTACAATATGCTGATGATCTTTTATTATATTTTATTGCGAAGTCCATAGAATCTGCTTCTGCCAAATTATCTGATTCATTAGATTTGTTAAAAACGTGGTTAGATGCAAATGGTCTTAATCTTTCTGTAACCAAGAGTAGTGTAGTTTTGTTTTCAAGAATGAGATCACCGCAACAAATTAAGGTGCTTTATGATAACTCATACATTCCTATAAAGACTGAAATTAAATTTTTAGGTATCGTGCTAGATAATAAATTAACAGGTCTGTCCCACTGTAATTATATTTCTACGAAATGTGAGCGTAACCTCAACATTCTTAGGTGCCTTGCTGGAGTTTGGTGGGGAGCACATCCCGTTTCACTAAAACTTGCTTATAATGGTCTTATAAGGAGTGTCATTGATTATGGAACTTTTTTGTTAGCTCCAGGAAGTTCATTTGCTTTTAAGAAATTGGATTTAATTCAATCAAAGGCCTTGAGGATTATCTCTGGAGCAATGAAATCAAGTCCAATCAATGCTTTACAGCTCGAAGTCGGTGATCCACCTTTGGTTTTAAGAAGACAATATCTATCTGATCGCTTCTTTTTTCGTTGTTTACAATTATCTGATCATCCGCTTATTCAAAAGTTATCTCAACTACATATCTTTATTTCGTCTTCATCTTATTGGAAACATAAAAAACCTCCATGTTTAATACAAAGTTATGAAAAATATAAATCCATAGAATCTCCCACTTTTACATCGTCCTGTTTTCCCATTTATAAATGCTCATATCAATCTTTAGTTTTATCTCCTAATATTAAATATGATTTTGGGTTATTAAAAAATGATTCAGAATTGAATGCCAAATTTATGTTTATAACTGACATTGAATGGAATGAATGGCACTACATCTTTACTGATGCATCAAAACCAGACAATAGCGGTTGTGTAGGTGTGGGTGTGTTTCATTCACAATTTAATATCGTTCAAAAAATTAAACTTCCACCGGAGTCTTCAGTTTTTACCGGGGAATGTTATGGTATTTTAAAAGCTGTAGAATATATACTTTTAATGAAATTACATAAGGCAATAGTTTTCACTGACTCTATGAGCTCTTTGCAAGCTCTAGCCAAATATCCGTTTAAATCAAAACCAGTTTATCCCATTATTTGTGACATAAGACAAAGTCTTTATCTTTGCATGTTGAGAGGTTATTCCGTTTCTTTTGCCTGGTTACCAGGACACAGTGGTATTAGCGGCAATGACAAAGCTGACCTTATTGCAAGAGAGGCTGTAACTTGTGGTGATATGTATCCGTATCATAATTACTGTAGTGACCTAGCTTGTCTCCCAAAAATATATTTAAGGTATGCCTGGAAGGAATATTGGGAAAAAACAAGTACAATAAAAGGAAGATTTTATCGCCTTATACAACCCGATATTCCTTTCAAACCATGGTTTTGTAAATTAAAGCTTGGAAAGACCGCAACAACTATTATAACTCGTATGCGTCTAGGTCACGTATGCACACCTTCTCATTTATACAAGCTTGGTATTGTACAAAGTTCGTCGTGTAATTGCGGTGCTGAAGTGGCGGACTTGAATCATATATTCTTCTCATGTTCTAAATTTGACCACACCTCCCTTTTTAATCATCTCCGATCCATCCGTGTTCCATTCCCAACTTCTATTCTTACTCTACTTTCTTCCAATGATCCTATTATCTATAAAATACTATCTTCATATATATATGATAACAATATTAAGATTTAGTTATATTACATGAATACATTTATAGTTGCATCAATTGCTTTTCCTATATATTTATAAGTATATTCTCATATGTACAAGTATATGTTTCATATCCTATAAATATCCTAGACCTAATCCTTATCCTTTCTAAATTCGTTTGTGTTAGGTATTTTTATTACTATTATCGTTTCCCCGTTTTGTTCTTGGCAAAATACCCTAATATCGGGGTGAACGCCACAAAAAAAAAAAAAAAAAAAAAAAAAAAACAATCCCTTTCCCCCTAACACGGGGAGTACTATAAGCATCACAGTGTATTCTGCGATGTCATGTTTATAGGTATAGGTGATGGTGAAGGTGTTCCATGAGGTGGTGTGTAGTGGTGTGTAGAGCAGTAGCGTGGACCGACCATGACGTCGAAGATGGTGGCCCTGGTGAGCGGCCAGGAGGCGGCGAGCGTGAGCGCGCGCTGCATGGCGGCGTGCGGGCCGGTGCCGCGCAGCGCCAGGTGGTGCAGGCGCACGGCGGGCGCGGGCAGCGCGGGCTGCGCCAGCCGCGCCGGCAGCACCGCGCCCGCCGCCGCCGCGCACTCCTCGCCGCCGCCAAGGCACTCGCCGTTCACCACCTGCGCGTGCAGCGCCGCCACCATCACCTGCCGCCGCGCAACGCATCCCCCATTTCATATCATTCTATTATTATATTTATACACATAACAACAGAAAATTTAAAACTTATAGACCATATAAATAAATTGTAAATTCACCGTTACATTTGGTATCCCGATAGCGAAGTGTAACTGGCTCTCGATATTTAGGGAAATGGTATTCCCTAGCAAAAAAAAAAAAAACTCTTTATCGAGACACTAGGTACCTAACAATATCCCCCTACTTAAAAAAAAAAAAATTAAAATCCGTGATAATAAATGTAAACTGTCAATGTAAAATTCTTTAGCCTCAATTTCAAATGAGTGTAGTGATTTCTGTAAAATTATAATATTAAAAACAAGTTAATATCTGTTATCGTTATGATTTTTCTAAAATATATAAAATATAATGAATTTTTCCCAAAATAAGTAAATAAATGTACTTACAGCTTCATCAGTTTCAATAGGAAGTCGGTCGTGTCGAATTGAGTGCAACACTTGATAATATAACAGCTCCATTTCAGCGACACAAGCTGTGTGCAGCGGTCGCTCGCCAAGGAATAGGCGTTTCTTAAACACAAGCCTACGATAAAAAAATACAGGATTTGAATTTCTTAAAAAAATCTGAATTAAAATTTTCACAACATTGTACACCGCTCTACCTGCTGACATTTTTTTTTATACGACTTAGAATGGCAAACAAGCTGACGGCCCACCCGATGGAAAGTGGTAACCGTCGCCTATAGACATGAGCAGTACCATGGACATAACAGTACAAACACATACTATTTCGCCCATGATACCCCCATGCGTTGCCATTTCTGAGGACTCAGGTGTTATTCCTCTGTACCCAGTAAATTCACACCATATCCCACCCTTCAAACCGAAACACAGCCATGCAAACACAACTGCTTCACGGTTGAAACACGAATGGGACAGAGGTACCCAAGCAATCGACTTTTGTACAAAGTCTCCCTCTGGTTTGCCGGAAGAGAACTTTTATAGGGTTAAGGTCGCCTATGTACATTTGATTACCTATGTCATATTTTTTTATGAATAATTGATGTGTACAATTAAGTATTAAATAAATAAATAAAATGTATGCGTGTGTACCTGCAGGCGGCTGCGGTGGCGCCGGCCTTCTCCCAGCGTGCAAGTACGTCTCCCACGCGTTCGGAACCGTTCAGTGCACGCTCGCCCGCGCCCGCTGGTGTCGAGTTCGCGCAAACTTCGTACAACGCGTAACCTAACGAAAAAACGAGTCTGTTTTAAAAGATTTTTAAATTCAAGTTTTTATAGTCTAGTGCGCCATGTTTTAACTGCGGTTATTTTAAAAAAAAATCTTATTTTATCATTATTATTCTTCACCATCTGACATCTTATGGTATTACAGTATTACATATTGAGTTGTAGTATAGAACTAAACGTTTAAATTTTAGCTAGATTAGATAATAATATGTTGGTTTAATTCAGTTTACAAGATTTGACCTAAACAACCGTACACCATCAACATCATGGCCGTTAACTGTCTACTGCTGAACATATTGCCTCCCTGTTGGGGGGATTTTGCCAGTAGTTGCCAAGTTTGGTAGGTAGTTAGGTTTAGTGGTGTTTTAGGAGGGACGCTGCTGCCCATTCCTTGACTATTTAATTCAATTCAACCCACAACTACACCGATACTCGAGGGAAAGGAAGAAGTAGCCCGTTGTATACCAGAACCACACGATTAACTTGTAAACAAATATACATTGCAAGTTAGATAAAAGCTAGTAATAACAAGATGTCATTAATTGATAGATTCATAGCCGTAATAAAACTGTAGTAGCTGCATATTTAACGTAACCTAGTAGTACGTAATGAATGTGGGGGTTACGGACCGGTGGCCGCGTCGCTGAGGCCGATCTTCTCGCGCAGCATGGCGACGAGCAGGTCGGCGGTGGCGGCGGGCCCGAACACGAGCCCGTGCTGCTTGCCGTCCAGCAGCAGCACGCGCACGTGCATGGGCCGCCGCGCCGCCGCGCACAGCAGCTCCTCCTTGGACGGCGCCGCCACGCGCCGCGGCACTTGCGCGCTGCTCAGCGCGATCTAGCGGACAAATGTCAAAACAATACAAACTAATGTTTACATCGTAGTTCATTGGCCATGATTTGTATGAATATCTAGCGGAACAATGTGCGTACCGATCTACAGTTTTAAGATACATTTTTATTTAAAAAATACGAGTATCTATATCGTTGGTTTACGATTAAAATTTATCGCATGAACTAAGGTGTGCTTTTACTTTTTCACTATATTATCGGATATATTGGCGCCCTCATACTCTGCGAAAATTCTGAAATTGTCTGGAAACTATGAAACTGAAGTCGTGAAAGTTACCATCACGACTCGTCTTATATATGTAATCTGACAAGAACGTCTGTTTTTATATTCATATTTCCTTTCACATCATTTCATCTCACACCGATATCTACTGCTACATTTACAGATTACAGTTTTCCAGCTACAACAGACTAGATAACCTTTAAACAGATAGATACTCCTTATTGTTTCCTCCGTAAGATTACAATAGTAAACTTATTTTAAATACAAACAATTACAAGAAAATATTATACTGAGAAGACTATGGCCGACCTTATCGCTAAGAGCGACCTCCTCCAGGCAACCTTTGGATGGAGAAGGGTAATTATAAACAGTGTGACTGAAGGCACGAAACCTTTAGGTACATTTTCAGGAAATAAAGTTATAAATCAACCCCAATATAAGTTTTGTATTTAATTCGTATAGTACCTGTTCAGCGCGGCGTGCGAACTTGCCCTCTTCGCCGTGGTGCAGCGCGGTACCGCGATAACGCAGGTGCGCTAGTAGCAAGCGCCGCAGCGGCTTAGCGGGCGGCAGGGCCGCGCCCACGGCTGCACATAGCAGCGCCCAGTGCCGTGCGGACACGCGCGACTGCGGCTCTGGGTGTTCCGTTGTCTGCACACATGCATCAACGTAAACATTTTACATTTAAGGATTATATAAACAGGTCAACATCCATTATATATTGAAAATAAATAAATAAACATACTTCAATAACTAAAATAGGCTTATTAGACGTATTGAGTGTAAAATTAGTAATAATTCTTGCTATATTTTAAGTTAGCTCCATATTCTATATATTTTCGGTAGCACGATTGTTTGACCTATCAAAGTGAGAACTATCTGCCGAGTGCGGCGCGTCCCATAAATACGAGTAAACCGTGTAATGCGGCATTGCAGATTTTCCGTTGACCTAATATCGGTGCACCGTAGACCGAATGTCGTCACATGGCATTAAGTGGACTTAATGATCGATGATATGTAACCGGAAATAACAAATCGTATGCATATTACCTGTAGCGACATTCCGTCACCGAAGATAAGTACTATAAATTACCTGTTTGATGAGCTGCACGTAGAGCTCGCATAGCAGCGTGTCCTTCTGCAGGCAGCGTTGTAACAGCGACTGCGCGAGCGCAACGCGGTCATCGCTCTCGCTCTCCTGGCTGCTAATGCTGTTATTGTTCGCCAGGTTGGTAGTACTGCCTTCGTTCACGTTTAGACCCGCGTGACTCATTATATCCTAGGAACGAAACGACGATTATTTGGTTGTGCAATTAATAAAAGAGTAACTTACAATCAATATTAGTTTCTTGGGGGGAAAGGGATTGTTAGTAATGGAGACTGAGAATTCTATTGCTAGCAATATACCCAACCAGGTCGACCTCCTCGCGGTTCTCCCTGGAAACTATCATGGTTAAATCCTGTTGAATTCATCATGATGGGCTAACTGGCCTGTTTTCATTCTCATCTATCACCCTTCACTGGTGCTCCGCCAGCGTAAAAATTTGTTTCTTTTTTATAAAAACTTTTAAACCAAAAGCTTTTATACATCGATAATTCTCATTGTTCTTTTTTCATACCATAGACAAGACAAGCATAGACTAATTATGAATACATTACAATCCTGGGATTTCAGCTACATGACAGAGTAATTTTCTAAATAGAAAAGAATAGTGACGTCGTTTGCGTTATCGGTATACATTAAAGGTGTACTATAGAGAGATGGTAGATGAGGATGAACTACCAGTCGGCCCATCGTTTTTAATTCACCAGAAATTAGGAACGATGATTTCTAAGTAGGACTGAATAGAGATCGACCTGATATTTTACTAACAAGGAGACTGATACTAAAGACTGGAATTTCTACTACTAACAATCTCTTTTTTTATACAACTTAGAATGGCAAACAAGCTGACGGCCCACCCGATGGAAAGTGGTAACCGTCGCCTATAGAAATGAGCAGTACCATGGACATAACAGAGTATACTGTTTCGCCCATGATACCCCCCATGCGTTGCCATTCCAGAGGACTCAGGTGTTATTCCTCTGTACCCTGTAAATTTATGCCATATCACACCCTTCAAACCGAAACACAGCCATGCAAATACAACTGCTTCACGGTAGAAACACGAATGGGAGAGAGGTACCCAAGCAATCGATTTTGTACAAAGTCTCCCTCTGGCGGCAACCTTAGAGTAAGAATACGAAGTGTCATCTTTTGATTTTTCTAAATGAGATGAAGAAATGAACGTACCTTAAATATCTGCATGGCAGCCACTTCTTCAGCCTCGTTGAGCTTGGTGAGGCTGTGCGGCAGCGAGCGGGACCAGCACCAGTAGCCGGCCGGGAAGCCCTTGTAGCACTCGCCTTGTGTCTCGGCAGCCATGTCCAAACGCACTTTTTCTAGTCTGTGCTTGCTAAGTCTACGACAAACATTAGGCAAAATTAATATTTTACATCATTTAAATGCGTAAGATGAAATCTATGTATTTAGTAACATAAAGGTTGAAAGGAAGATGTAGTGTAGTATGGAAAAGTTTTATTATTAGGAAACATTATTTTTTGTTAAAAACCACACACAATCCCATAACGAGTTTGATACAGAAAGATGTTTTTGAAAAATTTTGAATGTTGTTTCTAAAGTAATATCTAAAGATAAACATTCTTCTTTTCTCTGTCCCATTCGTGTTTCAACCGTGAAGCAGTTGTATTTGCATGGCTGTGTTTCGGTTTGAAGGGTGAGATATGGCGTGAATTTACAGGGTACAGAGGAATAACATCTGAGTCTTCAGGAATGGCAACGTATGGGAAGCATCATGGGCGAAACAGTATAATCTGTTACGTCCATGATACTGCTTATGTCTATAGGCGACGGTTACCACTTTACATCAGGTGGGTTGTCAGCTTGCTTGCCATTTTAAGTTGTATAAAAAAAAAAGATATACAATAGAATGTAACCGGCAAATGTGAATGTGTTATATTCCTCGTAGCGAGGACTTTAATCCGGTTCGAAGGAGCAGCGTCGTTGTGTCGTACACACCTGCGCAGCGTGTTCCTGAGGAAGTTGCCGGCGGAGGGGTCGGCGGGGCGACGCAGCAGGCCGCAGTCCACAAGCGCGCGGCGTGCAGCACGCAGCGCGGCGGCCAGGCGCGAGCGCTCGGCGGCCGGCGCGGCGCGGCGCGGCGGCTCGTCCGCCAGCCCGTTGCCCAGCGTCGGGCTGTACGCCGCCATCAGCCACGCCGCCTCGTTCTTCTGCGCCGACTCTAGTACTATGCACCTGCCAAACAAACGGACCGTTAGGCAAACGCCACATCAGACCGATCTTCATCGCAGGCGGTTTGCGTCAGTGCCTAAAACTGACTGGTCTAACGGACATTCGTGGTACATTTGCATTTGGCACCTATACATTCAATCGTGTGAAAACAATAGTATGCGAGAAAATTTACAATGTGGCACCGCCTATCATTCATTATTATCTCCAATTTGATGCGGTAGTTTTTGAATGATAATGCAACTAACTAACAAAATTTCTAAATATTATTGTTTTAGTATATATTTGTTTTACTAAGATTTCTCATATCAAATTTTATTAAATATCTTCCATATACAGACATAATTTAGTTACATTACCTATATGAGTAGAGAACGTATTCTTTATTCTATCTTCGTAAACTTCACAAACATAAGTCACTTCTATAGAATCCATTTTAAGCTATCACTGTAAGTTCACGGTAAAATTACTGAAGTTTAAATATGGCTACTAGATTCGATTGTATCAATTTTCAATAGTAGACCCGTAACCGGCGAGCGTGTATGAAAAGATTGATGAATGTGAAAGAAGCGAAAGAGGTTTGTTTGAATCGAAGCATTTGGCGTTCCATTGTTTTTGCCTACTCTAATGGGAGACAGGCGTGACAGATATAGAAACCACAATTATAATGAACTAGATATCAGCGTGTTTGTGAGTGATTTATTGCAATTACCTTAGGCCATCGTGTTGTCCATGATGCGTCAAACTGATAGTGAGACCGTTGTCCACGGGGTCCATTAGTAACGCCGCTATGTTATTGTATGGATACTCGGCTAGTACCACTTTATCTGCGGGGCGGACTAGAACGACACCTTCGGAGCCCACTCCTAAGAGGACGTTGGGACCTGGCATGCAACAAAAATGATTTGGTAATTGTTTTGAATAGAAAACATATACAAAATTGCATTTTAAACTGGTTTATAAAATCCTTCTGTCCTCATTGCTATATTAAAAAAAAAAAAAAAACTTTAAAGAGGTCTTACCGTGAGCCCAATATCCTTTATAAGTGACAGGGAAGAGTGTCACTCCATATAGTGGATATTGCATAACGCAAGAGAGGTACAGCGCTTTTGCTGTCAATTCTGCACGACCTGCACCATATTGTCGGTGAGCTTGAGCGAGGATTGTTGCCTGCAATAATTTTATAATATGATTACAATTTTTTTAGTAAATATTGATTGAATGATAGAATGCAGCATGGAGAGAATGAAATTAAAAGACAGGATTTAAAGGGAGAGATATAGAGCTTTAGTGAACAGTATAAAATTTCAAAGACAGAGATAAACAGTGATTGGAAATGTTGGATAACGGCATCAGAGATAGGATATTTTTTTTTTTATCTATCGCCGCCCATGATCACCCACAACACCAGCGGCATTGCAGGTGTGCAAACAGACAAAGCAAGGATAGTCAGGAAGTAGGGAGTAGCGGTAGGGAGCACAGAGGAGTGTCACGATGTAGGGAGTGGCAGAAGGGAGCAGAGAGGAGTGTCACGAAGTAGGGAGTGGCAGAAGGGAGCAGAGAGGAGTGTCACGAAGTAGGGAGTGGGAGAGAGCAGTGACGACAGTGGTCGGTACGCACCCACTGGTGTGCTGGCCGCGCGCGCGCGATGCGCTGCGGCAGGAACTGGTCGGGCTGTGCGTAGTAGGCGCGCGTGTGCGGCGGCGGCGGCGACGGCGGCGGCTCGCCCAGCGACACCTGCGCCTGCAGCCCCGCCAGCTGCAGCGCTACCTTCTCCGACACCGGGAACTCGTCCATCTGGCGACAACCCACAGTAGCTTACAGGATAGTGCAGCGGGTCACGCAATCAATAGGGCTTTTTATTTAAACAGGTACATTACAATTATAACAGGTTAATCTTCGGTCGCTAATACGTAAGTAAATGTGCAATACGATACGTATGCCGATAACTAAATAGGAAACGACTAAAGATGAACGTTGCGCAGCGTTAAGTCAACGTAACTGATTTTCTGCGCAGTGCGACCTAAAATAGCAAGTTATACGCAATTTCATGTATTGGCGTTTCATCGCGGATGATCGGCGACCAAAAATCGACCCAATGTGGAATTTTTGCAATGATACAAAGCACTGTTATTAAATGTGTCAAAAATTACCTTGACAACGCTATGTACAGCTTGAGCGTATAGTAGGGCAACTTCTACGGGATCATGTGGTAGCTCCCGGCCGCCACGGAACAATCGCCGTTTGAACACGAAGCGATTGTCAGCCGACCCGCCGCCCGGGCCTTGTTGCCTAGTTAATTAATATGTACATTGTTAAATCAACAAATGTTTTTAAACTATTAAGGTAATAAACAAGCATATGACTATTTGAGTTTGGTATGGTAAGCGGCTACCGTAGTCTGTGAACCTGCTATACAAGGGGCCATAACGCACGTGTTGCCGACCCTGAAGAATTTTAATCCATTTGATGCTAACTGTATCTTTCCAAAAATCTAATTTGAGAAAACTCGGAGCATTAGGCGAGAAAATTGCCAGCGCTGGCGCCACACAATAAATAGATGCAAAAAGTCTTCATGTACTAATGTACTGCTTACTGTACACGACTGCAGTGTATATTAATTTTAAAACAATTAAATTTCAAACAAAGAATTCGAAATTCAAAAATAATCTTTTTATTGTCGCAGTCATCTGACTGCGACCTATTTCGACAAACATTTGGGTGTTTTTTTTACACATTGTCGCAGCTGGGCGCTGGTATGTAGTGGTATGTAATGGTATGTAGTGGTATGTAATGGCATGTAGTGGTATGTAATGGCATGTAGTGGTATGTAGTGGTAAGTGGTGGTGGTAAGAAGCGGCGGCTCACATCTCCCAGGCGGCGATGACGTCGTAGAGGTAGTGCGTGGCGCGCACGTGTTCCTCGCGGGCGGCGCGCTGCTGGTAGACGGCCCAGCCGGCGCGCGCCGCCGCGCCCAGCCCCAGCTTGTCGGCCAGGCGCGCCGCCGCCGCCGCCGCCGTGTCCGCCGGGTGCACGTCGATCGCCTTCGTGCGCCCGTCCAGGAAGAAGAAGCGGCACACTATCGTGCCCAGGCGCCGCATCGCCTGCACCACACGTACACGCACTTATTATTTCCTTTTTTTATTTACAACACAGGGGGCAAACGAGCATGTGGCTCACCTGGTGATAAGTGATTACCGCTACCCATAATCACCCACAACATTGCAGGTGTGCTGTCGGCCTTTTAAAAATTGCAATAACGATCGGACTCTCGCGCCGTGACCTATTTTAATAGGTTTGGCAAAAATAGGTGTTTTACATACTCTTTATTGCATCAATTATAGAAGGTATTTTAAGTACTGTATTCATCATAATTAATGTCTCATGTACAATGTATGTCCCAATCAGAGATTATTTATTATCGTAGTCAATAACTGTTGAATTCGTCACGATATCTGCTTTAATCCTCATCTATCATCACTCTCTGATGCTCCGCCAATGCAAACCGCTAGTGCAGGCGAGGTAACTATTTTATTTTCAGCCATTAAAAAAAAATACTAACCGCAATCTCAACAGTGCTGGGCGGCAGCAGTCTGGGCGCGGCGCCGCGGCAGTTGTCAAGGCACCACTGCGCGCAGTGCGCGGCGCGGGCCGGCGGCGTGCAGGGCGCGGCGGGCGGCGCGGCGGGGGACGCGGCGGGGGGCGTGGCCGCCGCGGGCAGGCGCGCGTGCGCACGCAGCCACGCGCAGTAGTAGCGCGCCAGGCCGCGGCTCGGCTGCCACGCCACCGCGCACAGGCACAGCACCAGCCACACGCGCTCCGCCCACTCCTCCACCGGGCACTCTGTGATCTGTCCACAGTGGCCGCTGTTAGTAGCCTCCATAACAGACTATGGCGACAATTCAATTATGTATCAATTTTCAAAAACAATTGAATATTTTCCAATGTTTTTGATTGATTATTTACAAGTGAACACTTTACTAGTGAGTGCTAACGAACTAAACTTGCTAACTAAACTGTGAAACTTACTTCACTTTTATGATAAGCAAATAAATATGATTGATTGATTGTAGTCTTATGTATGTAGTCAAATACTCAATATTTTTATTTTCACACCGAGTCTGTTTACTTACTTATTACTTAACTTTTAGACATATAGAACACATAGATAAGTGTTAACAGAATTTGTTTTTATTTTTTTTTATACAACTTTGCAAAATGGCAAACAACTGACTGTAACATTTTGTTTTTTTTTTATAATTTTTCAGATTTATATAAATAAAAACTAACATGTTTGTCGGTAAGCACATCACTTGAGAATAGTTAGACATATATTTTAAATGCACAATCATCAAGCAGGTATGTAGGTATTATTTATATATAAAAGCAGTTCGCGTTTAAAATATGTGTAAATATCGTGAAAGTTTAAAATTAACTATTAGGTAGATATATTTAGCTATTTGGAAGTGTACTTCCAATTTGTAGGGTTTTGGAGAAAGAAAAAGAAAATTGTAATTTTGCTGTTAGTTATTAAGAGAACAGTATTAAAATAACCATAAAAAATTTACTAACAATTTATGATCTCTTTTCTTTTAGTAATTATCCCTCACCTGTCTTACACACTGTACTAGGATTTCATCCCTCAATTCTTCACGTTCTAATCCTTTTCCTATTATGGATTGTATTACTTGTGTTTCCTTGTCTGCAGTCAGTTCGCCGCGCATGTACCGACACAAATCCTGTAACAACAATATAACGAATAAGTAAATTAATAAATAACAGACAATAACATATCACGCAATATCGCCTAGTCTCAAATTAAACAAAGCTAATAGATATTAATTCTTCCAAAATATAATGTTGGGCATCAAAACACCTATTGTATAAATTGCTCATTTTCTCGGTGACTGTACGAGTACAAAAAATGTCATAGGAGTGGAAGTGATTGGATAGTGTCACCGTTAGACCCTTTATTGAGTTTACTAATATCTATTATGTAAATTGCCCATTTTCTCGGTAATTTTACAAAAAAATGTCGTAGGAGGGGGAGTGATTCCACAGAGTCACTGTTAGACCGTTTATTGAAGAGTTTACTAACATCTATTGCGTAAATTGCCCATTTTTTCGGTGAATGTACAAAAAATGTCATAGGAGTCGGAGTGATTGGATAGTGTCACCGTTAGACCCTTTATTGATGAGTCTACTAACATCTATTGTGTAAATTGCCCCTTTTCTCTGTGACTGTACAAAAAATGTCATAGGAGTGGGAGTGATTCCACTGTATCCTCGCTAGACCCTTGATTAATGAGTCTTTAAATCCGGTGCTGATATTAAGCAAAGATTTCAGTAATATGTCATACCCGGAATATATTGACCGCCGCTGTGATGCTATCCGGATCGTGCAGTTGTATGTGCGAGGTGGGAATGTTGTTCCCCTTGTGATACGTGATCATCTCTTCTTTTGTTAGAACTTCCATTGATTTACTCTTGCGGGTTAGTGTTGCCATTATAGTACCTGTTATGAACATTAGCATTTTTTAATATTGCATTATTTTGCAGGATTGTGAAAGTAGTATTTAGTAATTTTTTTTATACAACTTAGAATGGCAAACAAGCTAACGGCCCACCTGATGGAAAGTGGTAACTGTCGCCTATAGACATGAGCAGTATTATGGACATAACAGAGTATACTGTTTCGCCCATGATACCCCCATGCGTTGCCATTCCTGAGGACTCAGGTGTTATTACTCTGTACCCCGTAAATTCACGCCATATCCCACTCTTCAAACCGAAGCACAGCCATGCAGACACAACTGCTTTACGGTTGAAACACGGATGGGACAGAGGTACCCAAGCAATCGAGTTTTGTACGAAGTCTCCCTCTAGTAAAGAATATTTTCTAGTGTATTTATTAAGATTTTTTTTACTGTTATAATGAGATTTGAAAAAAAAAAAAACTAAACAAAGTTGTGAGTATTCATAGGTTACTGTTTACCATTAGACGGACATATGCTAGTTTGTCATCGTAGTTGTTAAAACAATAAAAAAACGCGTATTGTATTTTATTTCCACTACATAAAGTGACAATAATATATGTAGGATTTAGAGAACAACCTATTATTGGTTGAGGTAGCTTTATAAAAAATTGAGAGGAATAAGTTGACACAAATAAAAAACAACATGGCCGGTAAGTAAGAAAGTAAGTACCTTCAGGTGATCTTGGGTGGTCATTGAAATATAATTTAGCGAATTCAGCGAGATCGTTGGCCGCGTCTGGCGGCGGTGTGGTCGGCGGCACTGCACTTGCCGGCGGTGAGGACGCTTCCAGTTGATGCAGGCGACGCTCCACGCGCTCTTTGCGGCGAGCGTTGCGTTCTGTGTTCTGTTTGTGCAGACATTTTTTTAATTAAAACCTTTGTTATATTACTACGGCTAGAAGATTTTTATTTATTTATTTGTAAAAGGAAAACCAAGACTTATTTAGATAAAATAAAACCGTTTAAAAAAAGTATGATAAGAAGAAGAAAAAAAAATAAGAAATGAGTCTCAATTTAATGTTAGACTTAATTTTTTTTTCATTTACTTATATCACTATTACTACTACTCATGTCTCGTATTCTGGTGTCAAGAGTTCCTTAATTGGCATCGTTATTATGGATAGTTGAATTGGAATTGTACTTACAGTAGAGTCCCCATTAAGTATCGGAGGTGGGCTAATGCACGTGTCCATCGGTATGGGCGGTGGAGGGGTGGGCGTGGGAGTCTTCCGCAGCACCGACGCGGGAGGAGGCGGCAGTGGCGCGTCTGGTTCCGGCTCTACTTCTTTGGTTGGCAGTCTATAGTATAAATAACAATTTGAATATCGAAGTTTATTTAAAAAAGAAAACATTCTAGAGCACATTACGTATTCTATATTTAAATAAAAAAAGAAAACTAAAGTTTAAAATTGGTTTTCATTGGCGATTAATCTAATTCGCTAGCAGATCACTTTTTAAATATTCTATTTTTATTAATAATAAGTAGAAAAGATTGGAAAGTTGTATTTTTTTTTAAACTGATTTTTTTTCTTTAGTGTACTCTCGGATTTTAGGATATTTTGCAAAAAACAAAACGAGGAAACAACGGTAATAATAAAAATACCCGACATTCCAGTAAATCGTTTTTTCTTTTTTTCTTTCAATCTATCAATTATCTGTCAATTTCAGTAAGCTTTGATATGAACAATGAAAAGTATAAGGAGTTTTTTACATAGTTAAGAAAAGAAAGTCAGTCAAGAGTAAGAAAGAGAAGAAGATCAGTTATACCCTTAAAAATAATTTGTTATACGTACCCGTTACTTTCTGACGACAACTGTGGTGGCGGTGGCGGTGGGGTCGTCTCCTTGCACTGATCGTTACGCGGGATCACCGCCTCGTAGATCGGCTCTTTGCCGTTCAACACGGTCAGTTTGCCGTTCGGGATGACGCCATTCGTCAACTCTGGTGGAGTGACGTCTGTAAAATCATTGGCATATTAACAACTACAAAATTAATGATGTTATAGAATTATAAATAAGTAACAGTGTCTGAGGTCCCTTGCATTCTTTGTGTATGGTATGAAGTTAGAAGCACACACACAACCTTATAATATTGCATTTTTTTTTTAATGTATCTGTCGATTTGTAATTATTTGTTTTGTATTTAATGATATAAGATGCCAGCGATATAAACCTGAAACTTAGTGCAGGAATCGTTATTAAAATGCGTTATCTTGTTCAAGTATGTAAAATAAATAAATTAAGTATATTAGTTATTTCTTACGGACATTTACCTGAGTGCATCAGCATATAAAATATCCTATGTGTTAAATTAGGATATATACCTACCTATACTGCAAATTTCAATTAATTGACTCACAAACTTTCACATTTAACACACTTTATAATTAACATTAGAAGGATAAAGAATATGATTAAAACAATTAAATTGTTAAAGACAGATGGTATATAAGATGATGTATGACTTATATCAGTCAGTCATATTAATTGCTGATTAATTAATCAGACCAACTGATTTGCTTTCATCATCACCTTTCACTATTCACGTCCCTGTTTACAGCTCTCGCCATTTACATATATAATTATTACAATTTACTGTAAAAATACCTTTGGTAGCAGGTGGCGGCGGTGGCGGATGTGCCGGTTCCGGTAACGAACAGGGCGCAGGAGGTGGTGGGAACGTCGGCGACTCCTCGGCAGGCTCAGGCGGCGGCGGCGGCGGCGGCAGTATCAGCGATGACGTCATCGAGTCGCCGTTGGACATGGGTGACGTGCCTCCATTGAGTGATGATGTGCCGCCGTTGAGCGATGACGTCATCGCCGGCGGTACCGGCGGCGAAGGCTGCACGATCGCGTGGAGCGGTAAGGACGTGGGCGGCGGCGGCGGCGGTATCGCGTCGGATGGTGCACCGTCGGGTTTCCGCTGCGCTTCCGTGTGCGATTTGCTCAGCTCGTTCATTTCTGAGGCCAGCACGTGCTCCAACTGATGATAGGAGAAAGATATATTGATATTAGTAGAAGAATAAATAAATAAAATATAGATTGATACATATAGCTTTGTAGCTGGTCACATTAAATGACCGCTGTGAACAACGCGCGATTACCTACCGCTGTTAAACAGCTAACTTCAAGCGAGTAGTCCCGTCACCGAGTTCGAGAAATTGCATGTCAGACCTACCCACACGTAACTGTGAATACTCCGATAATTTAAGATCATCTGTTCCACAGCTTGCTTGAAATTGTATGGAGTTGGGGTGAAGTGCAAAAACAGCACCATATAGTCTTTAACTAAGCAGAATTTTTAATATGGTTCCATGATGACTGATATACACAATTGCTTTTGTAAATACTTAACATACATACATAGTATATGCTTAGATCATTATAAACAATTGTGAATATAAAATGTTTGTATTGTGGGGGATTGGACCCGCAATCAAAAAAGGTATGTAAACTAACATAGTAGAATGGACATAAAAAATACGAACAATTATAATAAACATATTTGTATATTAATTGTTTTTAAAAGAAATCTTTTCAAGATGGTAAGAGACATTAAAGTTGATAAGTACTTATAAGGACGAAGGCAATGATTGTTAAGAATGAACTTTTGACTCGCAACATATGTCATACGAAAGGTTGGCCTTAGGCTACTTGGTGCTCTTGAGCACCAAGTAGCCTAAGGCCAACCTTGGACGAGGACCAAACGGGCGAAAAAAGATCAATCAAGGATACCGAGTAAGTCAACAGTACTACACTAATCCACAGATTGGACAGCTTTAGCTTTAGCGCTCCTGGATGTTGCCTAACTGCATCTCCCCTGCTGAAGTTGGTACTGGCTATACGAGACTAACCTCCTGGTGCAGATCATCGGCCAGGCGCTCCATGGAGTCCCCGATCTCGGCGATGGTGGGCTGGTGATGGTCGGGCTGGCCGTCGGGCGCGCCGCGCTGGCTGGGGACGTCGGCCAGGAAGTCGAACAGGTTGTCTAGGTTCACGGAGTCCGCCCGCGCTGTGTTGCACGATATGCCGCGCAGCTGGTCCGCCATCGTTTCCAGCTCTGCTCGTTCCTGGTTTGCCTTTTCTGCGAGACTGGAAAAATAATTTCAATAAGTATAGGATAAAATTCGTCGTGTGTGCCCCAGTATAGAATGAGCCATCCCTTCCATTCCCGTGCGTGTAAGAGGCGACTAAGGAGGGCGAGGGATGGACAGCAGTGTCCCTAATAAAAGATCTCTAAAAGCCTAATTGCCAATCTGTCTACCAAGCATAGCAAATACTGGAATAACTCCACTTATGGGGAAGGCTTATGTTCAGCAGTGGACAGTTAACGGTTGAAATAATAATAAGTTACAAACAAAAAAACCGAATGTTTCCTGTTCCTAATATTAGTTTAAATATGGAATGTACCTGTTCCTCTGCTCGCGCAGGCGCATCTCGTGGTTGACGCGCCTCATCTCGCGCAGCGCGGCGGCGACCTCGCGCGCGAAGGCGCCGCGCAGGTGGCGCTGCAGCGTGAGTGCGGCGCGCCGCCGCCGCAGGAAGTGCGCGCGCTCCTTCCATCCGCGCCACGCCGCCTGCAGCACCACCGCCGCGCTGCGCCACTGCACGAACTGCCGCCGTTTCACCGTGCCCTTGTACCACTAACGAATAACAAATATTTCAGTTAGCGTAAAAAAAATTAATGATATATATAATCAGATGGTTAGATGCGACTTGATAACTTTTGTACCTTGAATTTAGTTTTTCAATTAATTTAAGGTATGTTAGAAGACATTCTGTACAATGAAAGCGGCGTAAAAACTCTTGGCATCAAAGGACAATCACTAGTCACTTGTTCATTCAGAAAATTTAAATTTAATTAGATATTATAATGTTCGAAATACAAATGTAATATATGTAATAGAAAAACTTTATGTAAATAATAAAACAAAGATTATTAATTTGTTTAGAAAAAAAATTCTTAAGATTATAATGTATTAATATAAATAAACAAATTCTATAATTATAAAAAAAAACGAAATATTTCCCATGGCTTTGCTTGAATAAATCAATATATAAAGTATTCCATATGTAAGTTAGGATAGTCTACTCATATATCAAATTTTATTCAAGGTCATTTAACCGTTTAAACATTATAGTAATAATTATATTTTCATTAATACCAATTATCTTTTTACATTGCCTCCTTGCGACCCCAATTTATTTTACAAAAATAATAAAAAAATAAAGAAAATAAAATGAGAAATGAAACAAGCCAACAACTTACTTTTTGTATAAGCAATGCAGATGATTGTAGCAATGCAGTGCGTTTAGCTTCCAGCGGTCCGTGAACTGACGACCTCATGAATATTTTTGTATGTCCAATTTGCCAGTCGTCCTTAGGCGCGTTCACTATATCGATTATAGCTCTGTAAGAAAAAAATTAATATACTACATACTAGCTATATTCCGCGGGTTCATCCGCATGAATCAATATATAAAATATCCTATATGTTAAGTTATAATGTAATCTATCCGTGTACTAAATTTCATTTAAATCCGTCTTGTGGTTTTAGCGTGAAAGAGTAACAAACATGCATGTGTTTTGCTGTTTTGAGGGCAAAGCAATAAACTGAGTTGTGACCATTTTGTGTCACTGTACATTCGTGAGAAATTGTGTAACCTCTTTTATGTATTTTTATTGTTTTTTTTTTATACGTTTAGTTTTATTTCTTTTAAAGTATATACCAATAGCTACATGCAATAGAATACAATGCAAGTTAGAATGGCAAACAAGTTGACAGTCCACCTGATGATAAGTGGTAACTGTCGCCTATAGACATAAACAGTTTTTTATGTACTTGGTTTGTGTTTGAGTTTGGTATACTCACGTGATTTGAGGCTGTAGCGGTCGCGGATGCGGTAACAGGCAGCGGTAGCGGGCGCGGAACTGCGGCGCGGGGAGGTGCACCGGGTAGCCGTCGCGGCGGATGCGCACTATCTCGTTCATGCCCAGGTACCGGAGCTGCTCGAGCACTAGTTGATCGTTGTACTTCCCCGCCTCCTTGTTCTCGTTCGGCTTTATGCAGCGGACGTACCTGTTAAATGTTTACGTTTCCTTATTATTTTAGCTGTAAATGGTTCACTGCTGAACATAAGGGGAGTTTTGCCAGTAGTTGCCACGCCTGGCAGGCTGGTTGGCAACCATAGTTAGGTTTTTAGACATGTTTAAAGAGGTACGCTGCTGTTCATCCCTCGATCACAAGTTCCCTTAGTTTTACGACAGCCACGGGAAAGGAAGGGGTAGCCCATTCTATGCCGGAATTTATACGGTGGTTTACGTACATGTTTAAGTACTTTATATTAATACCTATAACTTGAAAAACAAGAGGTAGGATTAGGAGGTAAAGGGTGAGGGTTACGAGACTAGTAATATATCGAATTAGACAGATTTCCTCGTGACTGACTTTCTCCTCACTTATCATAGAATATCACTGATACACCGGCATCGTAAACTATTAGCGCAGGTAGGGTACCAATATGCGCCTCGAGGTATATCGTGAGGTTTTAGTGGGTAAAAATCCCACACAAAATGCCTTCCCTCCGGCAGTTGGGAAGGTCTTTGGAAGATTTCGTCACGTTAAAAAAAAAAAAGGGTTACCAATCCTTTAATATCTTAGCATATAATAACTTAATTTTATTTATTTTAAAATACGTACCAAACATCAGTAACCTGCAACATGTCGACAAGCGATTGAAGTTGTGCTCTGAAAGTGTCAACCACAGTCGGTCGCCCCTTGGATGTACCCCGCTGTGTGGTTCCAGTCGAATTTGGACTTGACAATGAAATTTCCTAAAAAAAATAGGGATAGTTACTATACTATATTAATATTTAAAAATATAACCATACATTATGTTCAGCGGGATGAAGGGAGATTTTTTTTTTAATGGTTGAAAATGGAATGGTATGGTGGCCCGCACTATCGGTATACACCGATGTGGTACCAATGGAAATGATAGGTGAGAATGAATGCAGGTCAGTTGGCCCACCATGATGAATTCGACAAGAATTAAACATGATGGTTACCAGGGGGAACCGCGTAGAGGTCGACCTGAGAGGGTATATTGCTAGCAATGGGGCTATTAGACCCCATTACTAACAATCTCTTTTCCCCTACTAGTCCTTATTAATATTATAAATGTGGAAGTGAGTTTGTTTGTTTACTACCAATCATTATGAAATGGGGGGGAAAGGGATTGTTAGTAATGGAGACTGAGAATCCCATTGCTAGCAATATACCTAACTAGGTCGACCTCCTCGCGGTTCTCCTTAGAAACTATCATGGTTAATTCCTGATGAATTCATCATGATGGGCTAACTGGCCTGTTTTCATTCTCATCTATCACCCTTCACTGGTGCTCCGCCAGCGTATCCCGTAAGCGCAGGCGGGGTTACCATACCATTTTCACCCATAAAAAAATCACTATGAAATTTGGTATACACATAATATACGGGATGAATAAGGACATAGGCTACTTTTTTTCCCGATCAGTAAATATATGAGTGTCACACGGACAAAGTCGCGGGTCAACGTTAATATTTCATAATTCACATAAGTGTTGTCCATTTTTATTATCTTTATAATTTTTATTTCCTTTTTTTCAAATATTACCCATATATATATATATAAGTCACAAATCATCAATGTATGTACGGCGTAGCAGTTTTTTGACTTCATTTTGGATTTGCTAAGAAAAATTAACGATGTATATGTCTACATCACGTAGTGTATTGCACGTCGAACTCTTCTTAGCAGTTTATCGTCTAAATACCAACTCACATGTCCCGGCGGCGCCAGTTCCTGCACATAATCAGCCAACTCTCTAACGAACGGGTTGGCCGACCGACTCAGGTGGTCTATGAACGCGTCCTGCTGTGTATCTCTGTTCTTGTCGACGAACCCGTGCACGCTGTACGTGACCGCGCCGGCGTAGTGTTGCACGCCAAACTCTTCCTCCCATTTTCGACGGGAGCCCTTTACGAAGCTCTGGTGTTCACCGAACTCGCCTTGGATGTTTGTTAGGTAAGCACCATCTGAACCCTATAATGAAAAAAAAAAACGGTTTAAATTTACTAAATTAGTATAGGATAAATATAAAAAAAAAAACAATCAAATTGAAAACCGTTCTGCTTTTTGAAGTCAGTTAAAAATTACCACTTTAAAGATATTTAGTTTTTGTCATAATGACGATTCAAGTAAATTTTCTATCATCTATAAGAGTATCAATTCAATATTAGTTTTGTCAAGTTTATAATATTGAAAATTTTGTATGAGAAAAAAAAAATAGATTTGTATATTCTTATGGGAAATGGAAATGTCTAATTCCCACACAAACATAAATTAACTTTGCTTATCTTTGCTGTACGAACTGTTATACGGATTTCCTTAGTTTTTTTAAGAAAAAAAAAGGAACTGTTTACACTCGCGGCAATTTATTAATTAATAAAGAAACTTAGGACAATTAGTCGTACGTGTCCTTAGGCAACCGTCTACTTTGAAGGCTCAAGACAGACTGATTTAAAATGGCTATTGACAGTCAATACAGCAATAAGACTGCCTTACTTTACTTATACAATTATATCGTTGTTTTGCTTATTCTCTATATTATATAATGCAAATAAAGTATACTCATTCATTCAAGGACAGCAAAAATGCTAATTAAGGTAGGCGGAGCGCCAAGGCAGCACTAAGTCCTACAGTTCTAGCGTATAACAGAACGAAGTCGTGAACGCAGCTAGTCTTTAAATATTATTTTAGAAACCTCACCTTTGGCATATGACACTGCTCACTGAGCAGTTTGAGCAAGCTCCTTGGGGGTTTCTCTAACAACTCTAAACATGCGGCGTTGTCCGTGAACTGAATTTGATTATACACTATGCCTTCTTGTCGGTACTGAAACATAAATAGATCAATTCTGATTGTTTAGAAGATTATAGAAGTTCCTCTAACGGAAATAATATAAAGAGGTGGTGATAATACATAACAGTACTAGACAATTTACATTCAGATAAAGTATTAAGTAGCAAAAACGTCGCAAAACAGTAATAGGAAAAAAAAATGTGGCTAAAGTAGTGTAACAATGTCCAATGATATTAAATAAATAAAGATGACTTCTATTCTATACTCACGATTTCCTGTTCTAAGGCGAACACGTAATTATTAAAGAACATGTGCAGTTTCTCGTTAGCGTAGTTGATGCAGAGCTGCTCGAGCGAGTTGGACGCAAAGTTTTCGAAGCCGAAGATGTCCAGCACTCCAAGCGCCCGGGGCGCCTCCCGGCCGGGGGCTGAACAGCTGTTGACGTGGCGGACGAGCCACGCGAACGTACGCGAGTACAGCGCTCGCGCCATCGCGTGACGGTTCTCCCGAGCCTGATGGTAATAAAAATATTAATACTTCTTTTAAGAGATTTTCTATATTATATTGAATGATTAATATTAATTATTCTAGATATCTTCTTTTCATTTAAGAGTTTCCTCTTGTCGGTGCAACTAATTCATACATCTTCCTCCAGCCAGCCCTATCCCAGGCCATATCCTTTATCTCCCTATACGACATGACACCTAGTGTTTCCTTTATCTGTCCCATGAAGTTATTCCTCGGTCTTTCTCTAGATATATGCTGTTGATTTAAAAAGATTTGTAATAAAGCCTATTGCATGATTATTTTTGTGAAATGTAAACATATTTTTATGAATAGGCTAATGTTGAAAGCGTTTTTTTATCGGAAATTATGTAACCCAGTCTGTGCTATCTGTATATGCTGGTAGGGTAACAGTGATGGATGATAGGTAAGGATGAAGTCAGGTCAGTTGGCCTATAGTGATCGACAAATTTTTATTGGAGACAAATTAAATATGGTAAAGAACTTTCCGTTAGTTCTATGCCATTGGAAATAATATTTATTTATAGGAACACCAACATCATATTGCATTAAATACACTACAATATTAATGCACATGCCTTTTAAAGGTATTCACAGCATTTGCTTTAACATAATTATACTGTATGAAAAATATAAATAAATATATATAATAATTACAAGCATATGGCTTGTTCGCTACCATTATAGTATAAAAAAATTTATCTTGTGAAAAATAAGTTCATTTGCTATTCTAAATGGTAAATAGAAACATTGTTTGAACGATTTTCGCTTCTTTACCAGGAATCATTCGGATGTATAATCTATTCATGTACAAATAAAGTATAAATATATGAGGATATTGAGGAAATACGACATATAGCATACCTCATGTAACCGCAGAGGTATATCTGTGACATTTCCTCGTACGTTTATCTGTCGTTCTAACAACACTCGTTGTGCGGTAGGCGGTGCCAACCCTAGCAAGTTGGCGACTGCATCCACTGCTTCCGCATCTTCCGGCGCTAGGGTTGTGCGCTCTCCGTCTACATCCTGAAAAAAAAAACGTAAAGATAGAAGGATATAAGTAGTAAATAAATATAGCATGACTGCATTTTAAATTCTATATAATTACTATGCGTTTAATTTTTTTCCAGTTCTCGTAGGAATATTCATGGGAAATATAGCATAATTACTCTGGGATGAAATTTTAGAACTTTATAATAAGTAATAATTATTTAATTTTTAAACAGATTTTTTAAAATCTATCAGCAGTGTGAATAATTTTATAGTTAAAATCATGTATTCCAAAGATTAGAAAACAAAGAAAACAAACAACATATCCTCCTCCTACAAAAAGTCTATGCTCAAAGTAATATTTATTTATTACTATTGCAGCAATATTACGTGAATTGCAGAAAAATTATAACTAAATAAAAAAAAATATATATAACAAGAGGCGGAATTTATTGCTAAACTATCTTTCCAGACTACCTTATAAGAGAATTTACCTGAAACTGTATATTCCCGAGCCACAGCACCGCGGCAAGCACTTTGAATAGTCCCTCACACATATGGGGCGGAACTTGAAGCACAGTCAGCGCTAGCTGCAGCGCTTCCAGCTTGCCTTGCTCCCCGCCGCGGCCCTTTCGGGCCTCCTCATCTTCTGGCCTGAGGTATTTGTATTGGACGTCGTCACGAAGACGTAGCGTGCTCCGTAGTTCGGCATTGTGCTGAAATATATACGTAGATTGATAGTATGCTCTTAATCTCAATGCATGCCGACTAGTTGCTTTCTGCTGCAAATTACAAAGATTGTAAAACATTACTATGTATAATTAATGTGTGTTAGAGGTGAAAAACGGGAAATCCCTCGTTTGTTTTGTATGTCATTTTTATTTTGTTTGTGTTGTCAGTATTTTTTAGTATTATGAATTTTAGGCAGAAATGGTCACGTGGATGTCACGTCGTTACGTAACACCCACATGACTATTTCTACCTAAACGTTTTTAGGGATAGAGGACGTTTCCTAAAGATTTTAAATTTAAAATTAGAATTACGATATAATTTTTATATAAAATTCAACTGACAATAATACCTTAGCCCCTTCAACCAGCTGATAGAACACATGATAGTTGGTCTCCCGCGGGGAGGGTCCGGTGATGCGCGCGCGTTCTAGGAGGAAGTCGCGGAGTACCGCACCACGGATACCACCGCGGTGGTCTAGGCGGACCTCCACGAATTTGCCGAACCGGGACGAGTTATCGTTGCGCACGGTTTTCGCGTTACCTGAAAACGATATATACCAATATTTATGGAGGAGACTTTTGATTAGCAGTTATATTTATAATTATTATATTTACCAAACGCCTCCAGTACAGTGTTAGCTTCTAGGATCTGTTGTTCCGCCCACGACGCCTGTCCACCCGCCGCGCACAAGTACTGAAGTATCAGTTTTGTGGTCTCCGTTTTCCCTGCACCACTTTCTCCTGATATCACCACTGATTGATTTTTCTCGCCATTCTATATAATAATTAAAATCGTGTTAAAAATTAGACAAAATTCATCATTAAACTTGTAAAACTGTTGTTGATTTAATATAAAATCACCGTCAACAAAGCAAATTATTACAAGAGAATGCTTGTTTCCTGACAGCCTGGCATACTTAGACGTGCTTAGTAAAATTTGTGGATTTACAGTAGCATCAATTACAAATGTATTTTTTTGGTTATCTATATATAAACGTATTTATATAAATGCATTCCTAAGAAGGGTCAATTTCAAGCAGACGGTCGGTCGTAAATACAAAAGCCAAAAATCTTATTATGTAAGGGTGTAATATGAATAAAATCATATTACGCCTACCCTAAATAATTGGGATAAGGGCAAGAAGATGATGATTTATATAAAACTATACGTTTTAAATCTGCATATAAACAGTCAAATCTGACTGCATGCAATATGCATTTAATTGCAATACATTCTAAACATTTTAACAAATACAAAATATTAACACTTTTGTTCCATCGAGCTATGTTTATAAAAAGAATAACAAGATACGAAATAAATTAGAACAATCTGTTTTTGGCTCGATCGATGGTCGATATGCGGGATGTATTCCTTTATGAAATATAAAAAATATCAGATGATATGTTACCTGTAACGAGCTGTACGCCGATTCGGCTAGCGTGAAAACGTGCGGTGGAAGGGTACCGAAGGATTTCCCTCGATAGTTTTGCATGTGCTCCTGTCATAAAATAAGGGGTATTTAATATTTATGAACAATTTTTCAAAGATATTATATGGGTTTGTATCAAATTTTATGGGAATTTTAGTCACAATAAAATTTGTCAATCTGTTTGTGGTATTGTAAGATTTTAAAATAATTGGGAATGACCAAAAGATCTTATATATAAATAATACATAGAAATTATAGAATTTACGTTGACACACAACAGTCCTGAAAAGTGAGGTCTTATGGTTTCATGTTACGCCTTTATGCTAATGATATTATTATAATTTCTTTGTAGTAGCTATTACTTTTCAGATACAATAGCGCCATTGCTATTACATGAAACAAATAGGAAAGATTCTAGGAAAGGCGAGCTAGATAAAAATATATTACCGCATTCCTAGAAAATATCAAAATAAGTCAGCATTTTTCACATTGCGACTATATTGCGTTGTGTGAATGTTTTGAAATATTCCTAATAAAATATTCGAGTTTCTCTGGTAGATATAATAATTAGGTATAGCTCATTAAAACCTAATGGGCATTGTTTGGATATGACTTTAGTTTATTACAAAAAACTTTAATATTATAATATTTATATACAAACAAATTATTTTTAGTACCAAACAATAGTTGTAATTGTCATGTTTAGCTATGAAATGCATTGAAAGCTTTCATTTTTGAACGTTAACTTTCGACAAATTCGAATATTTTAATAGTTAATGTGATATAAAATGTATGTAATGCTATATTTAATTGTTTCCTCACTAAAAAGACTTTATATGCGGAATTTATATTTCCTTTGTCATTGGAAAGTGCGTAATGGAAACTGTCAAGCTATTGTATGATGATAGAGCGGGGAAAAAGTTATAGGCAGTTGGTTATTATTACAGACATGCGATATACAAAAACAGTTTTGAAGTGTGTTCTCAACGTTGCATTAGTTAAAAAAAAAACAGTTGTTACGTCATAAAATCTTATGCGTTCAGTTCCTAGGTGAATCTAATTATGTATTGTCATGTTATAAGTAGTGATAAATATTGTGATTGACAATTTTTAAATTTTTTTTGTTTACTTTAAAAATAAGGCAGTCGAAATGGGTATGACTATAACCAAGTAAGTTTTATTATATTGATTGTAATGCTAAACATAGATAAGCGGGATATATTGCATATTTTTATTCTTCAGTCTTAGCACTTTTTTTTATACAACTTAGAACGGCAAACAAGCTGACGGTCCACCTGACGGAAAGTGATAACTGTCGCCTATAGACATGAGCAGTACCATGGACATAACAGAGTATACTGTTTCGCCCATGATACCTCCCATGCGTTGCCATTCCTGAGGACTCCATCATCACCAGAAGCACATCCATATAAAGTAATTTAAAAAGACATTTAGTATTATATATTATTACTTATACTTAAAAACTTCACTTACCGTTGTATAACATCCTAATTCCTTATAAGGATTCACTGCGACTAAAATAGAACCTGTGTATGTCTGTAGGTATTGTTCAGGAAAATAACAATAAATATTATTACTGGTAGTATATCTATATAATAAATATGCAAGTATATAAACACTATTTGGTATTGGATTTTCCGCACAATTATATAATTATGCAATAATGTGGAAACGTGTGTGATGTACATTGTAATATACAATGCGGAAAAATACAAGTAAAAATAATATTCAATACGTGGATTAAAATCAAACACGGATCTCTACTTGAATAGATTTAGAAAGATTGATTTTGTATTCGCAGAGTTTAATGCCTCTCATATTGAGGGTGCAATATTGGCATAATAGCTTGACAAACTGACGCTTCACCAGATGGAAAATGGTTGCCCATAGACAAGACAGCACTATGGACATTTGGATTGTTCAAGGTACATGTCAAGTGTTGCTATTTCTGAGGAGTTAGGCATTTAGTCGCCGCGTGGGACCGGTATAGAAAACCCGGTCACCCCTTTCTTTCCCGTGGGTGTAGTAAGAAGCGACTAAGGATATATACCTACTTAATGGTCGAGGGATGGGCAGCATCGTCTAACTGCAGTTGCCTAGGGGGGAAAGGGATTGTTAGTTTGGCAGCTCCATTGCTAGCAATGTGCCCTATTAGGTCGACTTACACGTGAACAATTCTTGTTGAATTCGTCACGATGGGCTAACTGACCTACTTCATCCTTACCTATCATCCTTCACTGGTACCTCGCCTGTGTATACCGATAGCGTGGGTGGGGTTACAATTCTATTATCACCAATAAAAAAAAAAACTGCAGTTGCCAACCCGCCTGCAAAGCGTGACAACTATTCGCAAAATCTAATAGAGGGCGGCCTATGTTCAGTAGTCGACAATTAACGGCTTACATGGCATGGTACGGTCGTTTTCCATCAGTATATCTGATTCGCGGCGGAAACAAGATTGCGAGAGATAAGAGTATCAATGCAGACGACTTTCGTACAATTATTTTTTATTCTTCAAGGCTAATGCTATTTAAGGTTCCATTTTTACTTTTTGCTTTAATTCCCCTAAACCTAGATATCATTAGTATTTGGATAATTTCATCAAAAGGATACATAAATGAGGTCGTGCTTGTATCGTCTCTTGAGGTTATCGTTGATGGCGTCCTCTGTGATGTGCGGCATCATGGTCATGTCGGGCACGCCGGGCCCCTCGTCATTCTCTCGTTCCTCCATTGTGTCTACAACACAAAAAAAAAATAAGCAATGATAAGTGACTCTATGTAATAAGAGATAGCAAGTTTCTTTTCTACAAGAATATTGTCTATTTTAATGGAAAGTAACCTGCAATACTCTTTACATTAAATTAGTAACAAATTGTAATCATTCTATAAATTAATCATTTTTTTTATTTGTACTACTATTGGCATATTTGAGCATTAGAAATCTACTTTTTGATTAGGCTTATTAATTGGTTTGTTCACATTTTTATTAAGTTCTATTGAAACAGACTACAGTATTCTATATATATGTTATAAATCTTTTAGAACTTCCAGATATGGCCGTAGTAAGAGGGGTAGGGGGCCATTGATGGACAATGCTCTGCCTTAAAAAACCGAATGCCCTACCTTAAAATGAAAGGCCCCAAGAACATTAGATAGATTCGCTTTTTCGAAATCACTGAATTATGGCTTTTGGAATACCAAAAAGTTCTTTTGCCCTACCTTAAACTTGAGTCTAGATACGGGGCCCTGCTTCCAGATTTATTTCTTTTTTTTGTGTGTACCAGTACAGTATCTGATAAATGCTATAACTTTACTTTTAAATAATTAAATAATATGCCCTACATTTACGTATATTCTTTATCTTGATACACCGCTACAAATAACATATATTGACCATCTTCGAGCGTATACAACAAACAAACACTATTATTAGAATTGAAACTCGAGTGAGCATAGAATATAGATAGCAACCATTCGCTTAAATTCAATATGCCAGTACTTGAGGCAGGACGCTCCCATCGCCAAGTTATCTGGCGGATGTGTCACTTGTGGCTACGTCACATCACCCTCCCAGATGTCATTTATCAATATTATACATAATTGGCATATTTACTATCTGCACAGGCCAATACCATTAAGTTATTCGCAGAATAGGTCGGGAATTTATTTCACAGTCAGTCACTGTTTTCGTGTTGTTTACGATTTATTTTATGCGATATGGAATGGCTATCCAACTGACAACCTATCAGATACAAGGTGGTAGCTGCGAACTATAGAAATAAACAGAACTATGGGCATCATAGAATAAACTGTGTTCATGGTTGTCATTCCTGAGAATCATAGGTGAAACAGTATACTCTGTTATGTCCATGGTACTGCTCATGTTTATCGGTGACAGTTACCACTTTCCATCAGGTGGGCCGTCAGCTTGTTTGGCAAGTATGCTGTGATACTTAGCCACGGAAAAAACTTAAAATGATATTATTAGAGTTAAAACTAAAGCTTATAAAAACAGTTGGAAGTATAATTTGTTTATTATATGAATTTACATTATAAATTATTATGGGCATTATAACTTTTTAAAATCAATGGAATGCATACATGCATGACTAATACTATTTAGTTACTAGATAAAGTAAATTATAATAATAGATTACATAAATCATGCACGATAATAACTAAAACAATTAAACAAATATGTTATTTAAATAACTAAAAAGTGTTAAACGAATTTTATATATACGCATGAATGTTAGGGTAACAGAAGTAAAACTTTACTTGCTTTAAACGGAAAAAAGTGTGACCCTACAATAACTGAACACTAATTTAAAGAATATAGTTCAATATAGCAAAGAAAATATGCAAGAAAATCCATTATAATATTTTTTAAACGAGACAGTATGACTGTTCGTTTGTTACCGGAGGGCAAACAGCGCTAACAAAGCAACAAAATTTTATGTGAATTGACAGTCATTTATAATAAAAGGCGGTAAAATATTTATTCTTCTTCAGAACAAGTACTGCCTCGGCTCTTAACGACTCAAAAAAACTGTTATTACAGATATACCACGTCGTTATAGAAGAACACTACTTCATCCCGGTCAATCAATATGTCCCCGTTAATTATATATGGACGAAGTTGCGGGCACAGTTAGCCCGCTATAAAAACTCAGTGGCAAAGTTAGTTCGTACGAAACTCATTAAATAGGTTTTAAACAAACTTCGCAATTACAGTTTCTCTTTTACACCTAATGAATGTACATTTATGTAGGCATCTAGTCTATACTAAGTTAGACTCTGCAGTTGGTTCCAGTACAAATCATAGACTTACTACTGCGTAAGTTCTAATAAGAATTTCGAATTATAATATTACTGGGAAGCAGTAAATATGAAGCAATCACCATATAATTATATAAACAATACTGAAAATGTTTTCTAATCGTGAATAGAAAGTGAGTTTATTAGTTTGTTATCTCTTGCCTCGTTAACACAGGGGGCAAATGAGTATGCAGCTCACCTGATGGTAAGTGACTACATATAAAACTGTCTATAGAATATACTTCTCTTATGCTCCTCTCTTGCTTTACTATATTTAATACTATGAGTAAAGAACTGTCTTGCGCCGTAAACTGACTATCTACAGAAGGAGAAGATTCGTTATTAACGGAGATAAGAACTTCATTGCCAGCAATATACCCTCTCAGGTCTCTGTGCAGCTTCCTTGGAAATAATCGTGGCTTATTTTTAGTGAAATTATAACGATGATTCAACTGACTTGACTTCCTCCTCATCTATCATGCTTTACTTGGCACCTCATCAGCGTAATAGAGGAGGCACCATCATTTTATTTCCATTATAAAAACACGGTGATCGTAGGTATATTGAATTACGTATATTTACGAACACAAGATGATTGTTCAAATTATGACAAAGCAATCCCTGTTAGCCGATCAGAACAAGGAACATATAATTTCATTGTACGAATCATTCGAAAGTTAATTCAATTATATTTAATACCATTTCTATTGAACGGCTGCAGTGTGGCGCCACGCTTATCGATTACGGCATGGTAAACAAAGATGAATGAAAGTCTCGCATACTACGAGCTATGAGTAAATTCCCATTGTCACGCATTAGTCTGGGGTGTCAGTTTAGTGTTGTGAACTCGTTGTACGATTCCAAAAAATGTTATTGATCAGGGGCAACCCTATTATTATTATTGAGTAATGGGTGTTATCACCACATGTGGAGTATTTGGCATTTAACTAAATACATTGTTGATAAATAATCAACGATATTGATATTTTATGAATCCCAACTGCATAGCGTAACAATATTTTTTAATACCACCATCCATTTATTTTGATATACGGTTTATTGAGTTATAAAAAATAAAAAAAAAATATTATATATTTCTTAATGAGTTCATAGTTTTAAGACGAAAAGAGTTTTGGTTTAACGACGGGGTTTGAGAATAGTCGACGATCCCAAGTTCAGAGGCGATATCGAGTTCTCAAGTCTAAGGCGAGACTTTGCCTCTTTTTATGTGTCCCTTTGTAAAACGGATTGTATTCTGAGGAATAGTCTGAAGTGATGCCCACAGCCAACTTTTATCATAGCATCGCCCGCCATGGACAGGGAATTCACCCTCATACGCTTAAACCTAAATAGTCAGGTTTTTTTTATTCTAACTGTGTTTGCTGTTGGCCGTAGGTGGCCTTTACAGTTTTACCGAACGCATATGCAGGGGCGAATGCAGACGGCACTCCAAGCCCGCGAGAGGAGAGCGACGATAGGCGTCGGCTCTTTTTAATAGAATGCGGGATGCGCCCAAGAGCGCCTGAGTGGCTCGGACCTAAACTTAGGCCTTCAATTCCTGTCAAGGGACGGCGAAGGGTCAGTACATCGTGATGGGTGGGGACTTGGAGTCGTTGTGATGCGCTCGAGCGCAAACCTGCGCGCGGACCGTGTGGGTCTTCGTCACCGCCAGCGGGGACTGTATGTGCGATGTGCGGGAGTATTTGCGGGGGCTCTTGGCAAAGATTCCGTAGGGAGTTAGTGTGTGGTTTTAAAGGAGTTGTCTCCCACGAATGCTCAGGCTGTGGAACGAGCTCACTGTCGAGGTTTTCCCTAGAGATTACAGAATGGAGCTCTTAAAAAAAGATATATTAAGATTTCTTTAGTAACGTGCACGTGACACCCTTCGTATTGCAGTAGTCCATAGGTTACGTTAACCATCAAAGAGGATAGAAGTTTACTTGCTACTTTTATGGAATTAAAAAAAGTTCACTTGATGGTAAATCGCATACTGGATGAACCCATAACTTTGTCCGTATAGTAGTTGAATTCGAATGTACGGAATGGTCATCAATAAACTACTTAAAGATGCACTAGTTTTTTTTTCTTTTTTTAATTTATAATAATGGAATGGTAACCCCACCCGCGCTATCGGTATACACCGCGGGGCACCAGTGAAGGATAATAGGTGAGAAGATGAAGTAGGTCAGTTAGCCCATCGTGACGAATTCAACAAGAATTGTTCACGATGGTTTTCAGGGGGAACCACGTGGAGGTCGACCTAATAGGGCATATTGCTAGCAATGGGGCTATCAAACTCCATTACTAACAATCCCTTTCCTCCCAAGATACACTAGTTGATACTGACTCACTCGATCATAAAAATTTGTTCAGCCATTTTTGCGCGATTATCATAACAGACATATTTAAAATGATTGTTTTTATCTTATAGCTTATTTATAGACTCTCAAGTTAGCAGGTTGACCTTTTCGAAGTTCACTCTGGGAACCGCCATAGTTGATACTTGGTAGATTCGTTGCATGTTGTTCGCGATCGATTAAGTGATTTATCTTCATTCTTAATAGCATAAACCATAAAAATGAAGGTAATTCTTCTTAGTTCAATAGGAACTAGGAAGAGTTGCAATTTCATTTTCATCGATAAAAAAATAAACATAATATCGCCAAAGCTTCTCACTTGGACAGCTTCATAGCATCCGGTAGGTGGCGCCGGGCGTGCGGCTGCCAGCTCATGTCAATGCTAGCAACTTTGTATGGACCTAAACGTTTTTCCTTTCGTTACATAAGATCGAACAATGAATATACTGTATAAAGTTTTAATGTGTACAAAATAAGCAAATAAATAGTAAGTGAACACATACGAGAAAGCTTTTGCTCGTTCGATTATTTTATTGTCTCGGTAAAAGTTTTTCTTATTTT